ACCTTCTAACCCGGACCTTCTAACCCGGACCTTCTAACCCGGACCTTCTAACCCGGACCTTCTAACCCGGACCTTCTAACCCGGACCTTCTAACCTCTACCTTTCACTTATCATTGGTATTCAAATCTGGACATCGACATGCGCAACAGATCTGGTTCGAGAAAGTACATCAGTGGGCTAGGCCATTACTCGCTGAGGTTAAGATCAATCAATCGGGCTAACCAGGTACTCAGTAATTACTGCCCATTGAAAGGGAAAAATAAATTCACTCCCCATGGCCGGTTGGCTATATTGCAGTATGTATGAGTCTTGTTGACTAATGTTCACCCCAGCTCTGGAAAGTAGGGGATCCAGGAAGTCTAGATTTCTGAATTGGACGCTGGGCAGTGGAAATTCAAGCGCAGGTGTTAGACTCGCAGTTACAGTAGGAGACATCGATCTCCCACCGTGGCCTTCGGACGAATGCCGTCCTCTCACTTCATCGGCCATCTCATGTTCTCCCGAGAAGTTTGGATCGGCTGCTACCCAGCAGATTGCTTCCGCTACACCTGTTGAGACTATTGTGCTCATTACGATCGGGAAGCCGACTCAGTCATCTCCCTTCGTTCTTGCTGTTGATAATAGGCCTTTCTGGTTGCCGCAATCTCTCTTGACATGATCATTCAGACATGGCGCTTGTGGCAGCCAGAGATGCCACTCTTACTGGCTCGATTGAACTAGTGCTTTTCCCTGGCAGCTCGAAGATTCGATGACTGATCTCTTACTTTTCTCCGCCGGTATGCATTCTAGTCGTACGTTGTGGGGACTGTTGGGTGGGTAGGTGTATACAGTGTCATGCTTCTGTAACATACCAGCGAGGAAACTGATTTCTTCTCCCCTTTTTGTCATGGTACTGGTGGGTGTAATCTTGCTTCCTAAGGTGGAGGAACAGTCTGTGGGCGAACAATTTCCTGAGTATAATGCGCGGGAATCTATATAAATATATATATATGTCCGCGTCGGCCGGCGATATGTGTTTCAAGCATAGTGAATGAGTAGCCGTATGTTCGAGTGATAGTAAACATCAATAAAAACGCCATGACCCCACCATACACCTGGAAAAAATCCAACATTGAATGGAAGTGAAGCAGATTAGACGAGAGATCTGTAATATGCCGGGCAAGTGGCGAGATGACTTTGGAAGTGTATATATACTCTCATCTCTCCTCATACATTCGTGCGTTTCGTGCCTTCCTCACAAACGTACCTCTCACTCTAGATCTTGAGCTCAGGACAACAGTGACCAGTTTATGTTCGTTACCACTCATGTTCGCTTACCACTAATGTTCGTTACCAATAGCATTTAGCAGGCGACATGTCCCTCTATCCCAAGCAAAGGTCTGTATGAATGCTTGCCCTTTTACACTTTCTTTGGTGATCAGTGCGCTCGGACTTAGGCGTCGTGGTGATGATGAGCAGTATGATCCTGGACTGACGATGAGCGTAAATGGGTGTCATGCATAGATGAATGCACTGTGCGCGTGATGGTAAAGTTGGCAGAAGCGAGGTGGTTTGTGGATGAGAATGCAAAGAACGGGCACACGAGGGTGTAACAACATGGACCTCCTGGTTGATCGTTCCAGTAATGCTGTTGTCTTCTCTGAGATGCTATCTAGGGGTTTGTGCAGCGGCGATGGTTAATGTCAATTTTGGCGCTGGGGCGTTATATATGCGCCATGAGGACTGGCAGTCACAGCCACAAATAAGACCACAAGGTTGTGTAGCAAGTGAGTGAATGGGAGTGACGGGTAAGGACACGTTGACAGATGGGCATGTATTATACCGTGTTCATCCTGCTGCGATATTCATTCATCCTCGCCTTTCTCGCGGTACTCAGAACTATGGAATGCCTTACAATGTCTGTTTGCCCAGGAGATTAACAACGAGTCAAGGGCGCCTTAGATTTCATGAATCTCTGTTAGGCGATAATGGACAGGAGAACCATTCCATGAGTATGCGCTTTGCTAATGATGATCAGCATCTTCGGGAGATGATAATGTATACATACCGTTGCAGACTCAGTAGATAACTAAACGCGGGATTTGGGTTGTGAATGAGCCTACCGGGTACTTAACCAACTTGTGGTGCGAGGTTTATAGCTTTTGAAGCGGCTGGTTTGTATATATACCATCAGTATAGGTACGTCCGTGCTCTTTTGGTTTTACATTCTGCAGCACCTTCTGCGCTGATAAGGTTTATCTGGAAAAATTATGTGCAACTGGAATTTGTTCGGAACATTATGTATGGTGTCGCCCCCGGACAGAGAAAATTGTGGCGTAATAGTTGTGTACTGCTGTGCACGGTGATGATGGTTAGTAGCCCTAGTTGGTGACAGTACCTATACTGATATTGTGCAGAGCTTGTTGAGCTCACTTCTAGGATCGATTGTGTATGCCTCCGAAGTCCAAACCCGTCATATATGCTACGTGGTATTGAATTAGGCCAAACATTGCTCGCCTTTACTACCTTATTTGTCGGCGATATTGATATGATTGTGATGTAACAGAATGTCAATTAGGAAATCACGGGATAGTTTTCGTGATATTCACCATTGGGGGCACTGACAGAAAATAGGGGAAACAGCAACCTTGATGATGAGCTCGATTACCGTTTTCAACAAGCATTCAACGGAAAGGAGATGTTCGCGCATCACTCCTCTGCTGACCATTCCGGTGGCAATTCGCTTAGAGAAGGGATATGAAGACGTCCATTTTTCTGTCTCTGTTTTTGATGCAATCGAGGCTGACTTTATACCTACCTAGGATACCAAACAATCCATATGGTGAAGTGTACTTTGCCGGGCAGGATACTAATGCAAGTCTCTAGCCCGATTAATAGACATGATACATTAAGCACGGCCTCCCATTCACCACCAGTGGATGGTAGACTGCCGGGTAGCTCTCCAGTCCCACTACTCGATAGGGGGCCGATAGGTATATATAGCATATTCTCTTTGCTTTAGAGACTCTACTACACAGATATCTTACATCTCGATTGACTGGTGGTCCAGCATCTTCAAAGGACTGATGGCTTCTCTCTTCAATCTGGCTTTACCGATTAGGAGAAAGGGCTGCCAATCGAACTTCATATGCAAAAAATTGCTGCGTAAGCGATGATGACACACATTGCGGATTGGTGTTGATGACGAACATCACCGTAGATACCTCAGGAAGGTCAACGCCGCGCTGACAATGGACGAGCACAAAACATCGCATCAAACTTGCAAACCTTGTGCACTGCTGGGGATAGATTTGACAAATCAAGTTGATAGAGGACTTCTTTGCACATGTATTTCGTAATGAACAAGATCATCATCGTGATGGATCAGGCGCGAGAGCTGTTGCTGAAAGGTAGGGTCGGCAGCAAAATACCGGAGCTCATGGATCAAGGAGACGATCAGCTTTGCAGGGTAGGTAAGCCGCGTGAGCAGCCTATTCACTGATTCTACACAAAGAGACAATAGAGGTCGTTATCAGCATGTATCAGGGTAGTGAGGACTTGTGAAAAGTGGTCAGTTACGCAAGCCATGTCACATAGCAGCACACGAAGGCTATTAATGCCACTGTTTTCAGAGGGAATTGACGTGTTCACGTTGCAATAAACATGTGGCCTTGCGCATGACACGGCGTTGACTCATATACATTCCGACCGACAAAGTTATTGTCATCTGACAATACAATGAAACTGAGCAAACTAGTTGCACCCCGTTGTAAAAAAAACTAGTCTCGTATATTCAGTAAGAAGTAAGACACGCCACAGCCAGTCGTATATGTAGGTCCTGTTCGACGGCTTTCGTTCTAAGCGGACTCTGGATCCGATAGGTGGAGGCTTAGGGGTAGCTCTGTTCGCCCCTTTCGCCCTTTTCACCCCATCCGCCCAACTCATCCATTTCACGCCGTTTGTATCGTTAACATCGTTAACGACCTGTTCGACTCCGTCTGGAATCTTCTTGTCGTACGTTTTATTTCCAGAGGCACATACGATAGCCGCAAAGCTACCTCCAAGATGACTAGGTCCTTGTGGTTGGTACTATCGCACCGGGGGTATCCTCTGGAAGCCGGGCTGATACGGTCCTTCGAGTCCTATCTAGGCACTTCCAAGCATATATAGCATATTTACGCTCTAGTTCATGCCCTTTCACTATCGCCATACTAACTGTACCATCAATCAGGTTTGATAGATCATAGAACCCGTTATCTCTCTTGAATCGCGAGAATACTAGACCAGGAGTTCGTCACACCATCGATCTCAAACCACCACCCTTAACTTATTTTTTAAACCACTAACACTGATCAGCGTTTCTCGGCGACGTATTCATGCCACCCCACTGCCCTCCAATCCTCCGAGGCATTGCCATGACCAGCCCCTTCTTCAAAGACAAGTCCATGACTACCGCCTACCGACCCCTTCCTTTAATGTACGCTACCATCCTCGGGTCCGATCACGTCGCCACTAATAAATGAACCTAGTCTGCTGGAAACTTTCACGCCCTGTGCCCTTGAGTGACTTCGCTACCGTCTTGATATGCAGCGACGTGGCCTATATCGAACACAAAGAGTCGCCCTGCGCACTACCATGGAAGCTATGGCCCACTGCAGTAGGCATCATGCCTGTTGAATGGATCTGGATGTGGACACTGATACTGGAACCGAGCAATAAGATTCTGGCGCTGTTGGAGAGGGAGGGTGTGATTATGGATACTACGAGGCCTGATGGAGCTAGGGTTGTGGATGTGTTGGAGGAGTCCAATGCGTTCGTTGATGGCTGCGCGGATGCTGTTTCCTCGGGCGGTCGGGGGGCTTGCGCTTTGGGAGTCGCTAAGTAGCTAGATGAGGGTAGTAGACCTTTTGTCGAGGGCTTATGTTGCTATTCACGTATGGCTGTCACGGGTATCTGGCACTTGGATGTAGTGGAGTTGTTCAGAGTATATTTATGTGCCACCGTCTCTTCGATATCTCTACATAACGCAGCAATAGTACCATCCTTTCGATGTTTGATCCCTTTCTTCGAGTGGTTCTCTGTTTAGGCATTAACAGTATGTAGCAGCCACGTGCAGCATTATCTGACCCTCACCTTTGGGGATTCTCAGTATCTGCACTATGATCGGACCTTGGCGTAAGCCAGTCCTGTGATCCGTTTGGACCTGTCGCCTCTGTTGTAAGGTCGGTGGCTTCACGCTCCTGGATAGAGGCAGATTGATTGTCTTCGACTGTGATAGGCGCTGTCAGAATAGGTTTGGCCATGACGAGCATGAGAGTAGATGTAAGAAGAGTTGTGGACTTCATGTTGATGCTTGTAGGGTCACTTGTTGGAATAGAGTGAAGAGTATGACTGCGAATAGCCCGAAGTTGGTCGACACTGAAATCGATACATTTGAGAATCGTGGTGTTGTTTATATAGTGTATTGATTTGGGCATTTCTTCAAGCTTCTGCACTGAATTGTCAGCCTCGACTTAACCCCCGTCAGTTGTCAGGGGTAAAGGCATCAGCCCCTACCTTTACACACAACAAACCAAAAAGTGGACATGATCATGAAGCGCATTCAATTTATCCACCAATGAGACATCATTAGCTCAAGAGTCTCGCAGCGTTGGCACGAGGTCTACAAGGCTGCCACGCGACGTATCCCAGAATAGATTTGTGGCTTGCTGCATAAGCGAACTCTTGCATCGTACCATTTCTGTATTGAGTAAGTGGAAAAAACAAAGTACGTTTTTCTAATGTTCTGTAATATTTTCAACATCTCAGTGCAACTATTCATAGCTTGTCAATATTTTAGTAAACTCTGCAGCTGATAAAGCGTTGCTGCAGTTCAGCCATTCAGCCAATATCCGGAAGTATGGCTGAAACATAGTGCTGAGATACAGACGCAGTTGAGGCACGTACTACTGCTTGATCAAATAGATTATAATCATATAAAGATGCCGTTCTTCGTACTTGCAGATGGTCATCACAATATCCAGCCATATCACTCTTCAAAATATCTCCCAATTTCTTTAGACACCAACATGGCGTACTTTCTTCTATTCTTGAGTCTTCTTCTGACGCAGGCGCCGTTTAGTGCTGCACATGGACCCAAATCGACATCGCCGCTTCGAAAGACCACTATAACGTATGGTGCTGGCTCGATGATCGAGGATCTGCAGACTCGAAAGGATGTTTCAACGTATCAATTAGCTCGCCATTCCATGTCATCCTTTCCACCAGAGACAGACGCTTCAAAGCCATGCACAGACTGCTACATCGTCGCCATGCAAGCCGACCTCACCTATCTTGATGGTACTCCCGCAAATTGGGATTCTGGTGTCTGGCTACACCATTTCATGCAGTTCAACAACAAAGAGGTAGATGCGGTCTGTGGTAATATGGCTGGAGATCTATTCTTCACTTCCGGCAATGAGCGTCCTGAGTGGCGGCTGGACGAGCATGGCCCCTGGGGCTACTATGTCAGCAAAGACGCAGAGTGGACCAACGTTGTCGAGATAATGAACGAATCGGGCGAAGACAAAGAAGTCCAGATCTCCGTGCACTACGAATGGATTCCAAAGAATAGTCCAGAAGGCATCAAGTATCACAAGGCGCAGCTACTTTGGACGAACATAGGAGCACCATGCGGAGATGGCGATGTTACTTTGGTCCCTGGCATCTCCACATATGATTCGGACTCATGGACATCCACTGTAGCAGGACGCTTGTTAGTGGCCAAGTCCCACGTTCATGATGGTGGACTTAACTCTACCTTGAGTCTCAATGACCAGCACATCTGCATTTCAGAGCAATCGTACGGGGCGAATGCGAATTTTGTTAGTTCTGATGGGCTTGCCCACGTCTCAGGAGGTTCTCAGTGCAAGGATCTCGGTATCATCAAAGTTGGCGATAAATTGCAATACTCTGTAACGTATGATTCGGCTAAAGCGTTGAAACACGATGGGAAATACGACGACATCATGGGAGTATCTTTCATGTATGTCGGCGAGGAGTAGATGATATAATAGGTATGGAGTTTCTTCTGGGTGGTCAGACTTGTTCAGCGTTTCTTTCAGCGTGTGCCGGACGCCTGACAGATCATCCGTTCGTACATATAATTGACCCTTCATACATTTGTTCTTTCAAGGCCATCCACGAGTTTATAATATTCATGAAAACAACTGTTCTATGATGTGACTGTGCTCCATGTCCGGAAGACTTTGCCATCCACAATCGCTATGGCATAAGCAGGAGCCGAGCCATGAATGAACATGTTTTAATGCGATCCACTATTGCGCGACCCCTGTGGTCCGTCCCGCCCCCGCCAAAACGTGCGTATGACGTCAAATTGCCATCAGGATTCCGCATGACCCCACCATCGAGATCTGGTGTTCTGACCATGGGATTCTGACGAAATCCCATATCCACACCATTAGTATTTGATTACTAGATGGCACATGTGGATTTCATACTTTATGCCAGGGATGCGCATATATGATAAGGCGCCGCAAGATCATGACGTGCAGGATTTGAATAAAGCTACATGACGAGAGTATACTAGGGATGGGACTTGACCGGCAGGCACGTCGCCCTATAATGTTTACGCCTTGTCGCCCCCTTGAAAGACACAAGCGAGCGATGTCATTGTAGTGTCATTGCCCTCTCTAGACAGCATTTGCGTCCCGATTCCCCAGTCAGGTTAAGTGTTACCTAGCTACCTTATACATTTACCTCCTGCCCAAGCTCCTGTTCTCTTTCCGTCTTCTCAAACTGCATCCAAATCCTCCTGTTCAGAATGGCTCTGTCTCAAGCCGCTTACGCTCTTGAATCCGCCCTCGGGCACTCCGGCTCCGCGATCACCGCGCAAGATGTCACAAACCCATCTCTCACACCCGGCGCCGGCGACGATACGGAGACAATGCAAGCGCTCGTATGGGCTGGCAAGAACAGCGTCAAGATGGTGACTGCCAAAAAACCCGTCGTCATCGAGCCGCGAGACGTGATTCTGAAAGTTACTGGTAGCACAGTATGCGGCTCCGACCTGCACCTGCTGCACGGAGCCATTGTCGAGATGAAGAAAGGCGATATCCTGGGTCATGAGTTCTGTGGTGTTATTGACAGCATGGGTGCCGACGCCGGCCGTACTGGTCTGAATAAGGGCGACCGCGTGGTGGCGAGCTTCCAGATCGCGTGTGGCGATTGTTATTACTGTAAACAGAAGCTGAGCAGTCAGTGCGAGAAAACGAATGCGAATACCCTCGAGGATGCCATGTACGGCGGGCGTACAGCAGGTATGTTTGGGTATTCACATTTCACGGGAGGGTTCGCTGGCGGACAAGCTGAGTATGTGCGCGTGCCCTGCGGTGATGTAAACCTGCTCAAATTGCCGGATGATGTGCCAGACGAGAAAGGTCTTTATCTGAGCGATGTGATTGCGACAAGCTGGAATTGCGTTGTTGATACAGGTGTCAAAGAGGGGGACACTGTTGCCATATGGGGCGCGGGCCCAATCGGGCAAATGTGCGTCGATTTCAGTTTTATGAACGGAGCAAAGCGAGTCATTGTCATTGATAGCAATTGGCGACTTGATTATATCAAAGAGAGGCATCCGAAGACTGAGCTCATCGATTTCAAGAATCTGCCTAAGGGCACTAGTGTGGTGCGGAGATTGAAAGAGATGTGTGATGGGCGAGGCCCAGACGTGGCGCTGGAATGTGTAGCGGGCGAGTATACAAAGGGATGGGCGCACTGGTTCGAGATGCAAATGGGGCTGGAGACGGATACGAGCGAGATAGTGAATGAGATGATTGAAAGTGTGAAGAATTACGGGCGGTGTGGTATTACAGGAGTTTATGCTGGTTATGTAAGTGTTCTGCCCAACTTTCAAATCTTCATTCGACAGCTGATACTGGACTGAAGACCAACCATTTCAATATCGGCAGTTTGATGGAGCGTGGTATTCGACTTATCGGCAATGGACAGGCTCCAGTCCATCTGTACTGGGAGAAACTTCTTAAGATGATCCAGGATGGCAGTATCGATCCGCTCAAGATGGTGTCTCACCGGGTAGACATCTCGCAGATGGATCAGGTCTATTACAAATTCGAGAAGAAGGAGGATGGCATGCAGAAGGTGTTTGTGCAAACCAAATTCTCCCAACCGCCATGTGCTGGCTCTCCGGTCTTGACGAAATACTGATAGGAGTTTGTTCGAGCGGTGCACGGTGCGGAGTGAATGAGAACAGCATTTGTTTTGACGGCTGGAGTCCAGGATGTGCTAGCTTCGAGGCTGATACCTTGGTCCAGAGAAGGCCTAGAGCAGTGGAATCGATCTTGAAGTTATTAATTTTGCTCTGTTCGGTATCTTTTTCATAGAAGTGATCACGCTCTGATAAACTCTCAAGGACCGTCACACCATCCCTTTCCCTGTTTCTCTTTATATATCTGCAAACACCCCTGGCTGGAAGAATTATGCATCCAGATCTCACTGTAATCAGACGTTCCAAACTCCTTTTGAATCCTTTTCTTCTTCCTTTCAAACTTCGGTAGAAGCCTCGCGCGAATCTCACGTGGCTTGGCCTCAAGCCGTGCAGCTAAATACCTCTCGTCTTTTGGTTTGCGCTCTTCTGGTAATTTATCAATCGGTTCGATGGCCAGCACTTTCTCGTCTTCAAAGGCACGACTAACGACTTCAACGTGGCGGCGTGGCATTACCTGACACAAGAATTCGAGGCTGGCGTTGATGTTCAAGTCGAGAGCCCGCCGGGGATTGACTGTCATCTTGAGAAGCACGGCAAGGATGTGTGGAAACAAGATGGCAAAGTCAGACTGTGAGATATGGACTGTTCCACGGACAGTCAAGAGCCACGTCGGTGCATCCTGGTCTTTGGCTTCTTGGCATAACTTCTGAACAGTATCGAAGTTCTGCTGCCAGTACATAAATGCCTCACTGTTGACCCCTAATAAAGGAGCATTGATCCGATGTTCCGGGTCTTCCGCGGATGGCCCTAGTGGCGCGCCCCAAATATCCAAGATAATGCCTTGTGAAACCCAGTTCATCTTGGTTCTGTTGCGCAGAATTTCGATTGTGGTGGCAGCACCGAAGGAATGACCCACCATGGTGACATCCTTGATATCGAAACGCCCTTTCCATTCATTCCAGTTGATACCCTCTAAACCACGGGAGCTTGATCCCACGTTTCCTTTCCGCCGAAGATTTCTTTGTGCAATCATTTCGCCGTCGCCTTTCTCTAGTTCGCTCAATACCCAGTAGGCCTCCTCGATCTCAGCCATGCGGAATTTGATCTGGTCCTGTCGCAATTGCGTGTCCACGCCTTGGTCGTTCGATGGACTTGTATCGTACGGGTTGCCTTTAGGCCAGATATAGTCTATCATGTCGTATCCTACTTTCTCCTTCTTAAGCTCCGCTCGATTTACACCTGTGCCCGCACGATGCGCCATGCCGTTGGGCTCAGATTTGCCGTTCTTCTCCTGGTCACGCGATTCCTTGGTCCTATTCACAAAGGTTCTGGGCGCCGAACCGTCCCTATGCTCGATAGCACACACAACGAATCCATGGCTGGCGAACTCGCCACATACACTTGAGTAACACGTTCTGGTGCCTCCAAGCCCATGGCTAAACATCATCAACGGAAAGACCGGTTCATGGGGATATCCTTCTGGCGGCTCGCTAACTTCGTTTTTCACCTTCCAACCCTCATGCCGCGCATTAGAATGCGGTGTCCAGTGCTTTGCCAACGGTGGATTTCTGAAGGCCGGAAGTTTGGTGTACATGGTAGTCGCCGTAAAGAAGGGCACGGCAGCCGTACCCAATCCAGCGAAATCACCGTACCCTTTCGCCATACGCACTCGCGGCCGCGACAGCCAGGTCGCACGTGACCAGTGCTTTCGTCCTGAGGGATCTGGTCCAGAGCCAGTACCGATGATTGACGGGTAGTAGACTGTCATCAAGATGGTGTCGAGCTTTAAAATGCGCACGCCACCGCGAGTGATGTCTGAGATATGGCGCGGGTCGCGGACGGGGACTTCGATGTCCATGCATCCGACCTATATTCGGCATCAACGGATATACTACCAAGGAGTGAAATCGACGCCTTGACTCACACTGTATGGACCAGCATATTTCGGTAATGTGCGCTGTAAAAAGCCAATGTTATCTCTCAAGCTTCTTGGAGGACGCGACTTTGGTTTCTTGGCTGTTGGTACGCTGCCCCGACCGAGTCCAGTATTGGACCGACCTTGCTTATTCGAGTTACCAGAAACCCACGCTGGAAAAGACATGACGGAAACAAAAGAAACGGGCTAAGCATAAATGCAGATGCTTGCGAAATGATAGTTTGGCAGTATTCGAGATGCCAGTAATTATCCACCGCAGTTAATCAGGTATGCCTCGCGACACGCCAGTTCGGATACGTGCTAGCGCGATACATTGTGCTGTGACGTCAAGCTTTCACATTTGTTTGGAAATAATAGCTTCAAATTTAGTAACTCTGCCAGCTTTCGCACTGTGCTGAGGATGACTTTTTCAAGTGGTATAGTGATTAACATAAGTAAGACGTTCCCATGAAGTCGTCATGCCACTACGCTCCGATCTCGAACGTCCCGACTCAACATAGGGAAAGCACGCAGAAAATGCCATGTAAGGAGAGACATACTCTAAAACCCTGAGCATAATTGTACAAATCTAAACTTCACTCATATTCTGCAAAGGGACATAGCCTTCCTCTTCCCGTTGCTTCCGCGACCATGTCCCTCGAACACGTTGCCAGAGGCTGAGTTTGCGCTCTGGCCTAATCTCACCAGCATTGTCCCTATCCATCAATTCTGCTGCTGCAGGATCCAATTGCTCTACAGACATCCACTTTGGCCTTCGCCACCACTTCAACGCGAGACTACTTGCAACGACAGACACTGAACTGCAAGCCATGGCTGCACCAGCTGCCATTGGATGAAGGTGATAACCCCAGGGTAGGAAGAAACCCATTGCGAATGGTAAACCGATAATGTTGTATCCGCAAGCCCAGAGTAAATTCATTTTGATGCGACGGAAAATGCTGCTAGACAAATATAGAGATGCTGGTATAGCCAGGAGATCATTTGCGTTCATGAGAACAATACCTGCAGCTTCCATGGCGACGTCTGTGCCAGAAGCAAGAGCGATCCCGACAGCTGCCGATGCGAGAGCTGGGCTATCATTGATACCGTCACCGACCATAGCAACGACGCGACCGCTCTCGCCCATCTCAGCTATGATACGCTGTTTGTCAGCTGGTGTTGCAGAAGCGTGAACATTTTGGGGTGCGATGCCCACTTGGGATGCCACGACGAGAGCAGATGGAAGTGTGTCGCCGGTGACGATAGACGACGAGATGCCGAGACGGGCGAGGGCCAGAATTGTAGATCTCGCGGCTGGCTTGAGCGAATCTGCCAGAGATATTGTGCCGGTGTATTCATTTGCGATAGCGGTGTATATGGTGGTAGTCCCAGCGTAGCGCAGGTCGTCAGATTTAGAGGATGGATTACGGTCCTCTACAGAACGAATAGAGTCGAGGGTTGTGCGAGGGTCTTCTTCATCATCTGCACCGTCCGGGAGTTTGATGCCTTGAGACTTGAGGTACGGCGCGTTTCCAACAAGGACTCGGTGACGTTTGCGTTCGGGGGAGATAGCGGCCTCAACGAAGGCCGAGATTCCTTCCCCTGGAACAACTTCAAAGTCACCAACACTACCGTCGAGAGCAGACTCTGGTCCAATGTTCAAATAGTCTTTCGCAGCAATTACAATGGCTTTGGCAATAGGATGCTCGCTATTCATCTCAGCCAACCCGATTAAGGTCCAGAACAGTCGCTGCTTCTGAGTGTCATCCTTCCATAGCCCAAGAATGTCTGAGTTGGATACAGCCATCTTACCAACAGTCAGAGTCCCAGTTTTATCTAGAACAACATGATTGACTTTGGTAGCGGTTTCTAATGCAGCTCCTCCTTTGACTAAAATGCCGTTCTCTGCGCCGACGCCAGTGCCCACCATGATTGCGGTAGGTGTACTCAGACCAAGTGCGCATGGGCAGGCGAAAACAATGACAGAGATACAAAGCTTAACGCAAACCATGACCTTGCCGCCGCTTTCATCGTCGAGGAAGATCCTTGGTGGTCTTCGAAGGACATGGCTAAGCACCATCCAGACAAGGAATGTAGATAGACCAAGGGTGATTATTATTGGCACAAAGTATCCAGCGACTTTATCAGCGATACGCTGAATCGGCGCACGGCTAGTTTGCGCTTCTTGCACCATACGAACGATTTGGCTGAGTTGAGTGTCACGGCCTGCTCGAGTGACCCTAAAGTCCATCTTACCAGCACCGTTAATAGTACCAGCCATGAGGAAACTGCCTTTCTTCTTCTGGATGGGCATAGCTTCGCCAGTCACCATGCTCTCATCCACATAGCTCTCGCCACGAATGACGAGACCATCGGCAGGAACCTTGTCGCCTGGCTTGATAATCACGATATCCCCCAATTCGAGAAGTTCTGTCGGGATCACTTTCTCATCGGAGGAGCCAGATGCAGCCTCTGTGGGCTTTGAGTATTTCTCTGGTAATTCCCATCCCTCCGCGATCTTGGCTGCGGCAATGGGATCTGCGTAAATTGTTGTCATCGATGGTGCCAGCGACATCAGTCTAGAGAGAGCTTTCGAAGTTTGGCCTTTAGCTCTGTTCTCCATATAGCGTCCTAGGGTAATAAAAGTAATAAGCATTGTACTTGTGTCGAATACAGTCGCTGGGCGGGTGTTAGGTGGGACCACTATGGACACGATCATCGCAGCAAGGCTGAAGAAGAATGCGGCCGATGTGCCCAATACAACAAGAACGTCCATGGTGGGTGAGCCATGCTTCATAGACTTATAAGCGGAGACATAAAACCGGTTTCCAATACCAAACTGGACTGGGACTGTAAGAGCTAAGCAAACAAGGTCACCGAACCACAGGCCAGTGGTGATCTCCCAACTGCCGTAGTCCAAGACCGGTATGCACATGGGCAGTATCATGCTCGTCAAGAGTACCGGGACAGCAAACATCAGAGATGTTCTGAAAGCGCGACGCCATTCCTGGATCTCTTTTGTTTTCGCGAGTGACTCGAGTTGGGCGTTGTTATCGTCAGCGTCGGCCATCAGTGCATTGAATCCTGCTGCTTCGATAGTATCTACGATTGTTCGAAGACCAACTATTGTGGGTTTATAGTTTATGACAGCACGGGTGGTCCTGAGATTGATCGATACGGACGTGATTCCAGTCACAGCTGAGATTTTATCCCCAAGATCGGATGCATGCTCCGCTTTCGACATGCCATAGATTTTGAGAGACACTGAAGACGAACTTTTTGAGCTCTGAGATCCGCCTTCGAAAGACGATATGATCTTCGCATCGAAGCCACAATCATCTATTATCTCGGCTATTCGGTCTTCAGTGATCTTACTAGGATCGTGAACCACGATAGCTCTTTCTGCCAAGAGGCTAATATTGAATTGTAGGATGCCATCTACCCCATCAAATCCGTCCGTGACTGCTTTCGTGCATGCACCGCATGTCATACCTTCTATGCCGACGGTCGTGGTTAGAATCTTTGTTTTCCGGGTGTCGATTTTATGAAGCTGTGATGCTTGCGATTCCATGATGGTTGCGTCAAATCCAGTGTCATCGATGACCTCTACAATTTGCTCTGGTGCTATTATGCTAGGGTCGTGCTCAATAATTGCTCGTTCGGAAAGCAGAGAAATACTGAATGATTTGATGCCTGCGACATTCTTGAAACTTCCTTCCACAGCCGACGTACATGCACCGCACGTCATACCGCTGATTGCGACAGTGGTGGTCATCAGGGATATGTTGGCTTCTTCAATGATGTTGTCGACGGCTCGCGCAGTCGGAAGGTCGGACGACAGTACTTCGGCATCAAATCCGCGGTCCTCAATCATTTCCTTTGCTTGATCGGGGGACAGCTTCGCAGAATCGTGGACGATAACAGCTCTTTCCATTACTAAGCTCACGCTCACCGTTCCTACTCCTTCAATGCCTTCAAAGGCGCTCTCGATTGCAGAGGTGCAAGCTCCGCAAGTCATGCCCTCTACTTTCAACGTTGTTGTTGTCATTGCTGTCGCGGTCATCGCCAGTGTCGGAATTCGGGGTGTGGGAAGGGCTCGATCGGCATCCAAAAGAGACGCGGGTTGGGAGGAACCCGACATTGTGAGTGATGGCGGTCCAAGTAGGTTGGCGTGAGGTATCGGAGATTGTCGCAAAGGAATATGGAGGACCGGAGATATTCAGAGTGTCATATTAACATCGCTATGATCCTACGGAAAGTAGGGAAGAGTGCAGAGGAACAAAGATGTAGACTTCAGGTGATATCAGCGGATCTGGAAGGCCAGCTTCGCGGAGGGGTGAGGGCAGCGCCGAGGGAGGTGTGGTGAGAAGATGCGACGATAGAGAGTATCTGAGTAATCGAGGTGGCAGTGGCGTCGAGTGAGAGATGGAGTGGGACCGGCAGCCCGGGGCCGGTGACCAGCGCCAGCGCCTACCTTATAAGCTGCCTAAGGTCGCTAAGTTTGTCGCAGCTGAAAGCGCTGTTCTTTCCCCGATGGGACCCTGACTTGCCCTGCCTGGCTAGGCGGGGACCGCGAAAACCATGCGTGGGCCGTTCCGTTTCGGTCTAATATGATTAATCCAAATTCTTGACTAGGTACGCTACAACACGGACACGTACTTAAACAGCGTCCGATTGTCTCTGTTCTACACTGCTCGTTGTTGCCAATATATCAGCTCAGGCAGATAAGCTTCGCGGTTTCGTATGAGCAGTCTCAAACCGCCGTCATTCCAGCCGGGCGCTTCCTGCAGGTGATTTTGATACGAAGCAGCCCCTGTATCAGTTCCATACCAGTCAGAGATATCTGAATTCTTCACAGTCTTATTTTCCGCATGAGCCGCCGGTCGCTGAGAAGACTTGCATGAGTCGTAACACCAGTACGCATTGGCAAGGTCAAAGACCGCGTGGCTCTCCACCAACAAAGCGAATACGTCTCCACAGCAAGGGGTCAACGTATTCAATAAAGCCCATTCCCGAATTTGGCTGAACACCAAGTTTAGGGTGTTTGTGAGCTTCAGAATTAATAGCAGTAATTAAAGTGAATGTAGCGCTGGTGAACATCAAGGAGTACTATTAAAAAGTGCTGATGATCATAGAGAAGACATAACTTACCAGCTGCCCAAAGATATCGATCCGCACGTGACCACGCATCTCTGCCAAACTCTTGGCGTTTGGATTATCTCGACTCTTGCATATTATAGCTTATTACCTTGTCACTGCAAGGAGCTTCGCAGATCATATGTGCGCGCTGTAGGCGCACCAAAAGATACATACTCTTGTTTCAATTACCGTGCCTTTCTCAGCGTTCTCTTCCCAGCATGACGCTCTCTTACAAGCAACGTAAAGTGGACCATGTCTCGAATCTGACTGGAGGCAGCGCGTGGGAGGTCAATCTGGTCACACTTGTTGCGCCGGTGAGGATCAGACTGTAACCTACAGCTCATAATCAGTTGCTAATCTAGCGATTAGGCCGCAGTACTCCTATGGTCCGTCCTCCAGTCAAGATCTCTGTTCTTCACGCCGTATACCCCTGGCGCGTGCCTCGTAGACTTCCTACTTCAATGTGGAGCTATTCTGTTCGCAACAACGCTGTACTCCCCTGCGCCACTTTTGCTCAACTTCTTTATTATACTGCCTGCCATTGTCACGTACTTCACTTCGAACTCAGCGCTGCGTCCTGCGAAAATCAAACCTACACAGCAACCAAAGCACGCGACGAAAGCCGACGCAACCAAGCTTGACCAGTTCCCGATCAAGCCTTTTATCACAAGTTACCGTGGGGGAATGATAATAATAACATGTGTGGCAATTCTTGCGGTTGACTTTAAAGTATTCCCGCGACGATTCGCCAAGGTGGAAAATTGGGGGACTTCACTCATGGATATGGGCGTTGGATCCTTCGTTTTTACGGCAGGTACCGTATCTGTGCGCTCAAGCCTCAAAGAAAGTGCCAGCGGTAAGATGCAGCCTTTTCTGCGGCGATTTGCTGCATCTTTAAGGCATTCTCTACCTCTTCTAGTTCTCGGCTTGATACGTCTCTATAGTGTCAAAGGTCTGGATTACGCCGAGCATGTCAGTGAATATGGCGTGCACTGGAACTTCTTCTTTACTCTTGGACTTCTGCCGCCCTTTATGGCTATTTTCCAGTCCTTGTTTGCGCTTGTGCCATCATATGCTGCTCTTGCATTCATCCTAAGTTTTGCTTATGAAGTTGCTTTGGATGAAAACAACACCAATATCAAGGAATTCGTGTTTCTCGCACCTCGCACGGACCTGTTCTCGGCAAATCGCGAAGGCATCTTTTCTTTCATCGGGTACCTGGCCATCTTTCTCTCAGGTCAGGCTACAGGGACCTACGCACTTCCGCGTCAAGTGATTTTACCAAAGACTGCCACATTGTTTCAGAAACTGAGATCATCGACCGTAGCCCGACTGGTTGCTTGGGCTGTTGTATGGTGGTCGTTGTACTATGTCTCAGTCTCCTATAACCGGTTCAATCTCCGTGTCTCGAGGCGCTTGGCAAATATGCCATATTTTCTCTGGGTTTCCGCATTCAACACGTCCCAAATGGCGTTGTACTGTGCTATAGAGACAATTTGCTTTCCTGATCTATACACTTCTCCAGATAGGGAGACTGAAAAGGCGCGCGCGGAATTCGCGACCAGCTCGGTGCTGCGCGCCTTTAACAGGAATGGGCTTGCGATCTTCTTAATTGCAAACCTTTTCACTGGTGCGATCAACATGACGATGAATACGCTTGACATGGAGAGATCTGAGTCTATGGCTATTCTTATCAACTATCTTGCAGGCGTCGCAACAGTGGCGCTCGTCTTGGACAGATTTAACATATCGATAAAGCTATAGAGGAATAATGTTGTAGTCTTCTTCGTTTGGCCAGTGGAATCATTGACTCTACATAGCCTCGGAGCATGTCTATCTACTTACAGCATGATGTGCAGCGCATTGTTGCCTTTTACTACCAGAGCAGGAAGCAGCGGATTGTTGCGAATCCAGACTGCTTCCTTGATACTCACTTGGCAGATATCCCGAGGAATCGATGTGGCCTACTTAATTCATCCATGTATGTGTCTCTCCACTCGACACAATCAGATATGCCGCAACCTACAGCACAGATATCTTTGCGAAAGTAGATCTATGGTAGCTTTGGTTCTCTTGGTCGGCGAAACAAGACTTTCTCACTCTTCGAAATGGGTCGCTCTATCGTCGCGCGAAGATTGAACATTGAGATCAGGGTCTCATCGTGCTATATTATCTTCTCCACTCTGTTCAAAGTTGTTACAGGACGTCATTCGATGAATGGAACTGATAGCTGAAACTCATAACAAGGTGATGATTATTATAGAGCAGCTGTGGTGAATGAGATGATTCAAGCACTTGCTTTGCTTTGTACCCGGATCTTGTCATTGCGATGCCCATAGCACTTCCTTTGAAATTATTCCTTAAGCCTTCGATGCCCATATACGTATACTTTGCATGAAACATTGTATGAGAATCCGTGCAACATTTCCCCATCGTTTGTTGATTTCTTTGTCTTTGTGTCGAAAAGTTCGTGCGACCTATTCCTTTCATTCTTTCTACCTTTGGTTTCTTCCTAGAGACATTTGTTCTCTCAAGCAAACCCACGATGTTTGCAGCTGTGAGCCATCTATCAGAAATGTCCAAGACTGTTGATAGGACATATATCTTACCATCATAAGACACTATTCGTCCACAAGAGCTTCCCACACACGTCTTTCTTCGAATATTACACCGTCATAAAATCCCAGTCATTATTGCTATTTTCTCCACCACCATGAATATCTTCAGAATATCTCACTCCATCGCACGACCGTTGGCAACAACGCGTCCAAACTTGAGGAACTTCGCTCCCCAGAGAAACCTTATTCAGACTGCTATGAATACACAGCAACGTTCGATAACCACCACAAACGTCTGGCTAGCCAAGAACGCCTCTAAGAGGCCTGCAGCTAGCAGTACCAAACCTACACTTCGGGCTAAAGCCGTACGCCTGCCCGAACCCCTAATGCACAGCCAGAAGAAGGGACATATCAAACACACTTCTCCAGGGCCACCTGTGCTCTCTAACTTTAGAAAATACTCTTGCGAGGCCCTCTCATTCGCCCTTACTACCACGGCGTCGTTCATCGTTGTGTCATTCGGGCTCTACGTTGCCGATCCTTTAGGTCTTCGGGAGGCAAAACAGGATTGCCCAGGTACAGAGACGCGAGATGATAATCAAGCTTTGGATGAGGTTGATACCCTGGTTTTACGCGAAAAGGAGCGAGACCGTTTAATCACCGAGATCCGGAATGCTAGGCTGGCCCTGCTGAAGCTAAAGGCTGACCTGTTGAGAGCACGAGTCCTGCACTCTCAGATGGCCAATCGTGTTGGTAATGAAGAAAGTTTGCGTGGGTATGGACGGTTTGGAAAGGCGAGGGATGGTAGAGAGTGGTTGAAGAAGGACGAAAGGAGGTTGGAAGAAATGATGGGGAGGGAAGATGTGTTGGAGAGAGATATTGTGGAGAAAGAGAAGAGGTTAAGAGAGATCAAGGAGTGACCGATCAGGGATCTAGCCGAACCATCAGAGATGTATGGTCTTGATGGGAGAAAGAGGAGACTTTCGAATGTAAACATCTCAGAACAGGAAATGGGAAAACAGATGCAGTGCGAACATGGATCTGCAAACTCTACACTCGTGTCTTAACCTTGTACATGACCCGATGACTTATATGTTGTCGCCTCAATATCTTTGCCAAGAACTGGCTGCTTTCCAGACATAACCCAGTTTCTCACATGTGTGATCGTTCTCCCTTTCACCGTCCTATCAATCGAGCCAACACTGTTGCCGTCGACCCAAATGTCAAACTGGTCCGGCTTGAGATCAATCTGGATCTTTGCATCGCCTTGCTGAATCCAAGCATTGGTGTCTAAGCTTTTGGCATTGACATAAGGTTTACCCGCCTCTCGACTATCGAACTCTAGCGTCTGGGCTTTGCTGCGGAGGAAAATACTGAGGACGAAATCGTAGCTGTCTTCGTCAAAGGGGTCTCTAGTACTGCCATCCGGGTATGAGAGCAGAGAGAGAGTGTCTTTGCTTTCGCGATTTGATTTCGTGGAGACACTGCTAGGACATCTGAAGACGATCGACCCACCGTCGGAGATGGGCTGTGCAAGAGGATTAATCTTGTTTACAGTGATAAGATCAGTCACACCGGTTCTGTTGCAGATCAGCTGCCTGGGCCAAACGAAGTATTCATCTTACTCACGTCGAGGAAGCATTATCGCGGTCGGGGCCAACGCCCAGTGTAGGAATGATCACTGGCTCTGTGCGCCCAGGCACAACCGATGGATCTTCTGAGAATGTCATCTTCATCTGGAACACGTCAACTTTTAGTCCGAATTCGGGTTTGCTGAGCCATTTCGCTTCATCCACCACCTCTCCATTCATCTTGACGCGATAGTATAAGCCTTGGAGGAATTTCTCTACAGTTACTGGTTTGAGATTGTCCAAGCGCCCTTGCTGTATCATCTTTATCAGATAAGATGTTAGTGGGATATAGGACTGAATCATGACGTCGTCTGCTTGTCGATCGGCACAGTTGGAGCACACTTCTTGTCCGTCACGTTCGGCTGGTTGACTGAAATTGTAAACATTCGTAACAAATTCGTCCTTGGCGAACGACTTTCGATCTCTCGGTGCATCGTCAGGGCGAAGGAAGACTTCTAGATTGAAAGGCTCCCCATTGAAAGCAAACCTTTGTGATTGAGTCAGAGTCATTTCGGCGTAGCTTGAGCAACTCACTTCTTGAAAGATACGCTAATGGCATAGTCGTTCAAGTCTACCGTCCCATCCTTATTCTTATCGATGATCTCGGTTTTCCCGGCAACTCCTCCGAGAGCTTCTCTTCTGACTTGACCATATGCTTCGTTCATGTTTGCGAAGAGTTGTTCCTTGTAAATGGTATGATCCTTGCTCTTCCAAGGCTGAAGTTCTGGATAAGTGTACCCGAGACTGTACCAGTTGATTGCGTCTTGCGGCGTCCACATCGTGCCATGTTCATCTTTATGGAATGGACGCAAAGGAGTTTTGTTCGTGATTGCATCCCCCAACCCAACGATTTTTTGGTCAAAATACCTCTGTTGATCCACATCAAACCACTTTTCCTTGTCACCACCCACGCCTGTAGAATCTTGCTTTATGTCTTGATTCAGGGTCTGCCATACAGCAAACAAGCGATCAATGTTACTATAGGGAGTCAGATGATGATATAGAATGAAATCCGGACATGTACCAGTGGTGAAGCCAAAACACCGGGTCAAATGTAGCTACAGGAATTTGCGACATATGTCCCCCATCTAGTCATACAGTCAGTAGTATTAAGGTAACAGCCACAGACCGAAGATTCTTACCTCCGCCAACCCAGTAGTGAATGTTGTTGTGAATAAATTCCAGATTGATATCTTTCATGACCTTCGTCGTACTTGCTGTGACTGATGTCTCATCTAGATCTCGAGCGAGGGTTGCAAAGGAACCCCAATCTAGGGGATACGTCAAGAGCCGATACACAAGCTCAGAAGCAGCACCATAATCAAAGCCAGTTATAGACCCATGCCCTTTCAACATCACATTGGCTTGATCGTCATCGACAAATCCTTCAATCCACTGCTTTTCGGTGGGCCACTTGTCACGGTCAAGACCACGGCTTGTCGCATGGCAATCGCCGTACTATAAAATAAGCCAATATTAATAATCTATTTCGAGGACCAGAGATTTCTGACCAGGTCTTCATGAATTCTCACCTTTAGGTTTATACCTGTGTCAAGATTCCGTAAGCTCCCCACCCCATATTGGCTCATCGGCTCGTCATTGGGCATCTTGAATTTGTACATGGGGTTTTCAAGATGCACTGACTTGCCATCTATCTTGATATTCAGCGTAGGATAGCTTAGAAACTTTGGTATGGGATTCTTGGCCCAGTCCCAAAACGGCAATCGCCAGGTATTTGCCGCTTTCTTCCACTCATCTTTGCTGTCATTCGGTCGCTCTTCGATGATTTCGAGCATAGACTCATAGATTCGTTGCTTTCAATTTCAGTGAAGAGCTGCCGATCCAGAAAAACTATTTTGAACTCTTACCTCATACAGAAGAAGATATGGTCGATGCCAGACTGGAAACAAGGCATTTGCATGCATACAATACCCTCTTCGAGTGTTACCTGCGCCTTGGATCTCGGTCTCGGTAAGATTATCTTCATCCCATGATTCATACGGATAGCCATGAATCCCTAGCTGGTGTGAGTTACTCCATGACAGCGTGTCATGACAGAAGATGCCTGACAAACCTGCAATTTGAAAGTACGAGTCTCTATCGGACGGATGGACCTTTTGGAAACGATCAAGAGCTAAAAAGAATAGAATGACTTGTCTTGCGTCTTGAGGATCGCTACTGGTCGTCCACTCACTAAACTCTCTTCTTACTGGTACCTCGCCATTGCCACCGATTCCTGCTGCGATACCACGAATGGGATAGGTCTTGCGAGCCATGTCAAAATGATGCGCTTCTTAGGGGAATGCTTTTCGCCTGTATAGGCAGATTATGGAGATATCTATACCTGGCATTCGCCATGTTTTGCGCTCAAAGCTGATCAGGATATATCCAATCATCAAGCACTTTCGGCCGCGCTCCATAAAACCACGATTCTGCTGTCACATCTCGATCACTACGCTCGTATGGGATATTTACAGCGATAAGATACATCGGAGTTAGATCGAAACAGATATTGCGTTCAAATGTGACTATGCATGCATATGCAGTGGCTGGCTGAGATCATGCATCTATGTGGAGGCTTACTGCATGCATAAATGTGTTGTTGTTCGGGAGGATAAGGAGCAGGCATGGATGTCGGTGACGTTATGCTGGCTTGTGGAATTGCATAGATTTTGCTGATCTCACTTCTTGATCGAGCAAGCGAATAGAATATCCATTTTATGTGCGTCAGGTCCGATTAAGAAGAATGAAATGGGATGATGAGAGAGTCGCCGAAGCGCGAATTTAGGGATTGCCAAGACATATACATGAGTCACGTGCCTTCATTTCGGAATCTTGTTCCGTGCAAATTCATACACAACCGCCTTCTAATGCCTACTCCATTAGAATGATCTTCTTCCCGCGCCCGTCTAGATTGCCATAGATATCTCCCAGTTGTTTGCCGACTACTACTGTATCCGGCACCTGATATGACTTCATCTGGAGGGCCTTTTGTAGGAATCCGTAGACCATCTTACCGACCTCGTTATTCTGGATAGCAACAGCCATAACATCCATCAACGTTACGCCTTCGAATTCAAGGCCTTCACCCTCATAGCTCTGAGTAGTTACTGCGATCTTGCGACCAGACACAGCAATTACGATATCTCTGGCGAGTTTATGCGTTCCTGGCATCCCAGCAGCATCAAAAACTCCACAAATGTCCATCCCATTCAACGCCTTCTTGACGTTCTCGACTACGACGTTCTTATCGTTCACTCGATCATCCACCACCTCTTGGGCGCCAAGGTCTTTGACCAGCTTGGCGCTACTGGTGGATGCTGTCCCGATAACAGTGTAGCCAGCTGCTTTTGCTAATTGCACCGCGTTACTTCCAACGTTGCCTGACGCGCCGATTATGACCACCGCTCTAGGCTCTGACAAAGTTGCCGGAGGAACAGTGGGATTGGAAAGCGCCAGGAAATCCTTCTGGAACAAAGCCGCTGCTGCGGTTGAGACACCGAGGGGAAGAGCAGCAGCGCTTTGATATGATATGTGGCGTGGAATACGGGCTGCCATATTGTCTGGTATGGCAGTATATCGTTGGAATGCGCCGTGTCTGTTCTCCTTTGTTCCGATTGCCAAAGCATGACCCAGGACTCGATCGCCCTCTTGGAATGCTGTCACATCAAGTCCGACTTCTATGACTTCTCCAGCAACATCAGCACCTGGAATCTGAGGAAATCTGTCATACAAGGTATATTTGTCGACTGGGTTGAGTGATATAGCAGCGTTTCTGATCACTATCTCGTTATCCTCCGCGAATTGGTCCTCTGCGTCTCGGATGATGAACCTTCGGTCAGCAGCGTCACGAAATGCAGCTCGGTTGTCGGACATATTGGGTTTGTATTGTATCAAGAAAGAGCTGAGGTGCAAAGAACTGATGTGTACAGTTGCATGGGGCTTCAGTTCCTATCAATGTACACAATCTCCAAGGATTTCTTGCACACGCATCAGCTCTGATAATTAAGGGTATGGCGTCGCGGAAACGCATGTTGCATGGGGAAGCCTAACCATATTCGCTCATGATCCACGTCGAAGTGGTGCTGACATTCGGAATTTAATTGGTCCAACCCCATGCAATTCAGCTCAAGGAGAAAAATGCCACATTTGACATGCTCCTTATCTCAGACATCGTTCTGAAAGTGGTAAAATTCGATATTCACATGTACTGCGGGACCGATTAGGTCCGTGAACTGTTGAGTATTACAGATCATTGGTGGGTCTATGTATCAGTACCTCCAAACCAAGTATATACCTATCTGAATGCCCGCAGACAATTCTTCGTTTTCTAATCCTTTGCCGATTGATTTGTCTTGTGCAGTGACTGATCTGCGTAACGATGGCGGACATATGGCAAGATGCAAGATCTGCAAGCTTCACGAAGGAGAAGCTGCTTAATCATATTCAAGAGCGCGGCGAAGACATTGTCAACGAGCCGGACCAGAAGTTACAGTATACGCCATTGGTATACGCCATCAATAGCATGCGCTTCAGAAATGTCGAGCTGCTATTGAGCAACAAAGCCGATCCTGAGAAACCTGTTGGAGATGGGTCTGGCGAGACTCCTATGTACTTCGCTGCATCTTTGACCAAAAACGGGGCAAGAATCGTTCAGCAACTCCTATCGAAGCGCGCCAGAAACTTCGATGAGCCAACCTCCACGAAGAAAGAAACTCCGCTTATGAGGGCGGTTGCTGTTGGACGAGATCCCGAGGTTGTCAAGTTACTCGTACGCAATGGTGCTTCGCTACAGAAGAAGAACTCTGATGGCAAGACTGCTGCAGACTTGGCTGCAGAAATTCAAGATCCAGACACCAGAAAGAAGATTCAGGACGCTCTCAAGACTGTTCCGGACAGGGATCGCGGAGGTGTCTTGACGTATTTCTCCAATTGGGCGGTATATGTCCTCAAATTCTTCAACAGATGGACGCCACTCGGTAGCATTCTAGCTGCTGCTTCGAACGTGTTCTACAAAGTGGCGGGATCAAAGATCCCCGAATTACCGGATGGAGAGGTAAGAGATCTAAAGTCACCGATAAGCTATCGGCTGACGTGTAGGTACAGACAGTCGATGAGCCTAAGACTGTAGAAGACTTCAAGAATAATCTCCAAGATGCCATCAACGAGAATGGCCTCGGGAGATTCTACGATAAACCTGGTGACACCTACTTGGACGACGTAGCGAAACAAGTTTTCGACCTTAAGAATGATCCTAGCAACCCCTTGCAAGAACCCCCAGAGTTACAAGGCCTCGCGAATCTAGCCCTGTACCAGCCTGTCATATATTGTGGTATGTATTCTCTTCGTATGAGCTTGACCTGAAAGGCGCCATACTGAAAGATCTATCTAGATGACAGTGCCTCTATGCGCGATGACTTCCCCAGTAACGGCGAAAATCGGTGGCCGCGTCAGCGTGGTCTTGTTAAGCGCATCACAGAAATCACAAACCGGGCCGTGCCAAACAAAAGAGGAATATTTCTTCGTTTCCAGAACAATCCAATGGCAGGTGCGGGAATGATGGGTGATGAGGTAGACACAATTCTGACAGCCGAACCATCCGAAAATAACTGGACGCCCATTGGCTCTGGGCTCAAGAAGAATGTGCTACAACCCTTGGTCTACGACGTTGTGAGTAGCGGTAAAGAATTAGAACGACCATTACTTATCTTGATGACTACCGATGGATGTCCTTGGTGTCAAGAAGACGCGAAAGATGGTATCGAGGACAAGATATCAATCGAGTATGGGTTTTTCCGGGACAATATTGTCGAATGCATGGATTTCCTCAAGGAGCACAACTACCGCCGGGATAGTACGTGTATCTGCATACCTTTAGTGTCTATTGCTAATACGTTCACAGCTGTAATTTTCTGTCTTAACCAAATTGGAAGTCATCCTGATGCAACATGGTTCATGGGAGCACTAGAGAAAGAGTCTAAACTAAGCCAGGTGCTCTATCTCACAGCTGGTAGGTCTCATAATCAACGAGGTCTGAGTATTTATCTAATCTGACTCAGAGCGTCTCGACGACAAGTTCGATGATCTACAAGAGAATGCTCGAAATCTGGAGACATGGGTAGGTTTCCAAAGAGGCAGAAGAATAAGAAGTCTTCGCTAACATTGATTCACTAGCTTTTGGAAATACTTCTCAAGCCACTTACATCCATTTACGCACCGTAGTATGTTTAGGTATGTCATTGACACTCACGATGTAAATGAGATGGTGTGCATGGCGACTTACATGTGATAAAAACCACATCCCAATGAGATTGGCGAGTCTCAGGAGTTTTCCCGACTAGGTAGCCTCTTTGACTGTGGATTCATCAAATTGCCCCTGGAAGATCTAAATCATATAGCACGTAGCTACTCCTTGAATCAAGCGTTGTCATTGTTCTGCGGAAATTTACTTGTTGAACCTCACCCGAGTTCCACACAGTAGTGCGATTCAGCTGGATGAATAGAAAACGACATTCCGCATCATGCATGACGGCTCAGTCTGTGCTGGTCCTACATAAATCCCCTCTCTCCAGATCATTCGTTGAATTGCCATCACCAAACACCATCTATATCACAAACAGACACTCGTTCTAGTCATTCACGAAATGGGTTCCCTCAATCCTTTGTCATTTGTGACCGGTCACCACAGTAATCAACTATTCGCCAGTACGCAACCTTGTTTTCGACTGACATTGCACATGACCTTCAAGAGTGTTACTTGATAGCGAGCCCCCTATTCACGGCCAGATTGACTTAGATTCAGAAGAATTGCCACCGTTTCCATGTGTAACACGTGATATAAGTGGTTGACGGCTCTCATTACGTCAACCAGAAGGGTAGATTCAACGCCAAAACCACCGTAGCCATGCGATCAAACAGCAAGTAACGACGTCCTTGTCGAGGGTATCTTCGACGCCAGCCAAACGCCAGTATAACCCGATAATGCTTCACTTGACAGTATGGAACCAAAATAGTGCTTCATTTGCCAGTAAATTCTGACTCGAGATGCTGGGGCCAGTTAGTCATAAACATCGTCACTGTAACGAGTGGCTTACTGTCCACTCCGGCACTTCCTTGAGTTTCTGCCACATAAATTTCTCTAGCCTGTTTGCAGCCTTGGCGTATGGTGTGGTCTCATTATTGTATTTCCGACAGTTGTCGAATATGAGCTTGGCGTCGCGGATAAAGTCTTCAGGAGTGGGGTACATGTCTTTCTCATGTCTCTCTTCCATCGTTGCAAGATCCATAGGCTCCTTGATGACGTCATAATAGTCGGCCACTTCATCCTTGTTGACAGGTTGCTGGAATGGCCATGCATTGCTGTTGTTTTGCATATCGTTCAAGAGGTGTAGCAGCTGGTTATAATTAGGCCCGTGGCGTGGAGCACGAGCGAGTTCATCCATATCTGGAGACCAGCCAGATGCTTTGATAGCGGGGATGGACAGTGGATCGATTTTGCATATGCCGTCTTTCCACTCCTTTGGGGGATCATGAGATACCCAAGATTGGGAGACGGACTTGATCTTGGCTTTGGCTGCTTCTTTCTGTTTCAGGAGCATCCGACCAGACTCAAGATACCGTATTTTCGGAACCATACTACACTGCATGATTGTACCTCCCTCATAATCTTTGATATAACCCATCCACCGCGGTCTTTCCAACGTTATTTCTTTCGTGAAACCTTGTTTCTTAAAGTAGCCGATAGCGTAATTGTCCGCATATGTCAGGAAGTGCATAACGTCCGACGTTCCCTTGACGTAGTCTTTCAGATGCGACATGAGATGTGCCCCATAGCCCTTGACTTGCTGGTCCGAAGAGATAGCACAAAATACAATTTCTGCAAACTGTCTTCCCTTGAACGGTCTATACGTAATTCCTCCGACTACCTCGAGCGGTTTCTTTACGATGGCTATTGATAGATGGGTTCTATCGTAGACTAATCGCGCGATATAGTCCTTCGGCATTTTCGGTAGCTGTTTCTGAAAGATACACTTGAGGCCCGTGAGGATAATTGAGCTCTCTCGTTCGTTGTCGTTATTTACTACCCTGAACTCGATCTCGCCATTTCGCTCTTCAATCACTGCTGGCTGAGAATAACGTTAGCCATGGAATTTGTCAAGGCTATCGTCCAGCATACCTTCTCCGGGAACGGCACAGCTCGGGGTGCTGGAGGTTTGGTATCTTCCACTGAGCTCACTGAGTCCTCTTTCTTGGTCCGCTTTAGGGGGCTTGCATCGTTGAGGCCATCTTCAGCCTTCCGCTTGACTACAGGCCTGTCAGTCGCGATACTCTGTGCGCGTGTAGCACCTCTTGTGAGATGAAGCCCGAGGCCATGGTATCGATTGCGGCTTGCCGGAAGCGATGCCGCACGACTTCCCATATAGTCCGAGACTGGCCCAGTCTTTTTTCGAGGCATTTAGACCAGTGTGCTTTGCGACCGATGGCGCATGAATGAGCATCTCGATCAAGTTGGCCTCGGGCTCCAGCGCGATGAATTCAAAATTGCAGCTTGTTGAATGGTAAGACATACCTTCTTCTTTCGCCACTGTCATGATCGTAGTCTCTCCAGAAGGCGCGACGTGAGTATTCGGTGATGGAGGACGAGCCAACGACTGCTCAAGTGGTGCGGAGTACTAGTGGGAGCGCGTCGCTGGAAGTGGCGTTATTTTGCCTGCTCACACCGCCTGTTGGAGACAAGTAAGCATTGACTAACTACGGCGCATCGTGGGCAGTTGAGGCCACGCGAATAGCTCACTTCTGCATTGATTGATTGCCTTTAACTCAGACGCAGAATTCCGGTTCAATCATAAATGTCTTCACCTCTGAAGCAAATTTGGGACGCCGCTGCTGCGAACCCATATCAGCCTGCTGTTGGCAAAGACAGCCAATTCACCGTGGGCTTCGCCTTGCTGCTTACCGGTAGGCACTCATGACTGTGAATGGGATATACACATGGCTGACTTCTGTAGGCCTCATTCTGACAGGAATCTTTGGTCTCAGTATGTCATCTCTATACCCAATGGAAGAAACACATTAACTTTATATAAGACCGGTCCATGATCAGCATTCCATTATTGGGCGTTCCAGCTTCTCTAGCTTTCGGGTTCGTGAACTACTCTACTATGACCTACGAAACATTTTGACGTACGCTTAGGTTCGGCGCTGTGTATATGATCTGTGCTGTCGGCGTCAACGTCTAAATCTCTTATTCCCTCGATCCCATAACACAAAAGCGCGGCGTTCAAGGAACTCTATTGTATCATACTGGTGTGGTATCAGGCGCGGGCAATAGCTGAATACAAGAATCAAGGTCCTGATTTACTTCTACTATCGGCCGTTTCCCCCCTCAGTGACCATGGAGAACGATACCGATAACCAACCTACGTTCAGTGCTGTGTCTAGCACGGCAAGAACACTTTATCAACTACTAAGATGTATTTCATTCGCAAGCAAAGCCCAGGTCCGACTATCTGAAGCTGGTATGCGCTTTGGTGTAGAAGACAGTAGTGTCATGGAAGGTATGTGGGAGGCCATTACAGGGACCACTCAGCTCAGAGTGTTCAGGTCATGCGTTCCTCGGAAAAGATCTCTTTACGACCTACCAGTACAATGCTCCTCCACCATCGCAACATTCGAATACACTCAAAAGCGACGATAACGACCAACTCGACGAGCCTACTTCTCCAATCTTCGAGATATCCCTTCCTTCGCTCCTCGAGACTCTCCAAATTTTTGGCCTTGCCGACCTGACGAGCACACGCACCAACCCCTGGTCGCGCGCCCCAGACATAAATCAAGCTTTCGATAATCGCGTTCTAGGCCTTACTGGCATCTGTAAACTACGCTACGCTCGACCTGGTGCACCGCTCAGCATTGTGCTTGAGGAGAGCGGCATCACGACGACCTGTGATCTCGTCACATACGAGCCTACTGTCACAGAGGACATTCCATTCGCACGAGACGCGCTAATGCTGAAGATTGTCATGCGTGCTAGCTGGTTGTACGATGCTCTGTTAGAACTCAGTGCAACAAATCCCGAGACATTGACCCTAACAGCAAGTCCAGTGGCGCCATACTTTGCACTTTCAGCCGCTGGCCCGCTTGGTAGTGCGACAGTTGAGTTCTCGTCTCGCGAGCAAGGACTATTGGAAACATTCATGGTTTCGCCAGCCATAAGTGGGAAGAGAGGCAAGGTCGTCAACAGCTATAAGTTCAGCCTTATCAAAGCTGCGCAACGAGCCATGGCTGCGGCAACCAAGGTTAGTATTCGTGGGGATCATCAGGGCGTGTTGAACCTTCAATTCATGATCGAGGTAGACACGGAAAAAGAGAAGATCAGTTTTATCGACTTCGTGTTCGTGCCACTTGCCGAAGACGGTGATGAAGAAGGCACAGAGGATGAAGAAGAAGATGACGTGGGAGACGGCAGGAATAATGCAGATGGGGGCGTAGTGAATACCGATGACGATGAGGAATAACACTCGTCGATGGAGACCTCAAGCGTGACCTGCCCGGTTGTAATTATAAACAATCACCCGTTTTGGACGGTCTGACAGCTCCTTCCTAAAGTATGTACTCTTTGTTAGTCATCTATGGTTGGACACTGAAGGACTCCGTGAAATCTTCGCCCCTATCTTCCTTTGTCTGCCTTGGACAATGTTCCAGCCTGTCTGCCAACGGTGCTTAAGCGTACCACTCATCATGAATAGTTTTCCCGCCGACATCGCCCAAGACATTCCACATGAAAGAAATACTATCCGTTCCAGCATTCACACAGCCAATCGAAGCATTGCACAAAGCGAACATGCCGAACATCGCTCACCAGCAACGATTCTGTATCCCCAACCCATGAAACACCCACAAAAAAAGCCTCGACCTAGTCCCCTTCTCAAGTGAACAATATTCACTCAGACACCGTATCACATCAGCAAAATCCGACATCGGCCATGACATCCAACGCCTTGACAGTTTATCCCGTTTTTGATGTGGTTGTAGCCAATCGATGCTCTGTACTGTACTAGTTCACTGCCGTTACCATTCACTATTCTCCCACACAACCATGCCCGCGTTTCACAGATCTATATAGAAACACACCGATTGCGGTCATGATGTTCAACGCTTGTGCTTATTTACAATGCATATACGGCTAACCAATAAGGATAGAGCGTCGTCGCAGTTTGAAGGACACTGCTAGTCATTCACTCATCATAAAGAAAGGAAAAAAAAGACACGTAATCGCACATTCTGGGATGAAGAAACCGAAGTCACTAATGTCATGATTTTCTCACACTGGCAACTAATCGCCCAATCAGTCACAAATCGATCAAAGTGGAAGTATGTACCGCTGTTTGGTGGAAGCAGACGCAGACTCCATCCAATTTCCAAATGACAGAAGCTCGAGCATGAAGGCGCCGACGTCGGGCATGATATCTAACACACACAATATCACTCATTTTCTGCCTTATTTCTTACGTGGCTCGCGAATCAGAGCTCAGTTGTTCTTAGTGACGTAAGGGAGGCACCGGAGAGCTTGTTATGGGTGACTAAACATCGCGGTTCCTAGAGATGGCCGACGTCGGACGTTGGCATGGAACGGGTGATATCCAATTCTCATTCAGCCCTTTGCTGTGTTTGGTCAAAGCTAACCAAGGGGCTGAAATCAGAGTTAAGAGAGAGGCAAGAAGGTTTTGGGGGGCTGGTGTTTTGTTTGAAAGAATGCTGACGCACGGACACCTAGATTCACTCCGCCGACATCGCCAAGCTGAAAGCGGCGAACGTGCATCATTACTGCATATGACTGGGAGTGTCCCAAGGTCCTCGAATTGGTGTTGACTGAACAGATACCAAATAGTGCACAACAACAAGTATTGGCCGGGGACATTGCACAGGATTCGTCAACCCCCTCCAATTTTTTCAGTTATATACTATATCTCTTCTGCTTAGATTCATCTCATCAGAGATAAAGTCTGTATTGTCTCATCTCAATCCTCGAGACGTCGTTCACGACACTAGTGCTTGCAGGAAAAGAGACCGTCCCTTAGCGCCCCTAGTCAGAGTGATGCCGGATATATATATATATCCAAAATTAGTCACCTCTGTCTGATGCGCAACATACTGAAAAAGAGAACCCAAGCATAGACGCCATAGTGATGCATCATGGGGTACCAGCAGATAAAATGAGATCATGTTATAGGCCAGTGGTAAGTGTTCCACCGGCAGACGTGGTAGCGTTCGCTCACCACTCGAATTCACCAGTAGCCTTATGGAAGAGGTAGTCTTTCCCATTAGTGGTGAGAATACCATCCTTAAGGGTGCACTTCCATTTGTTCTTGACGCGCTGCACTTTGTCATAAGTGCACAGCATGATGTCGCCAATGTCCTGGCTGTCATCGTCTGCTTCGTTGAGCTCATCTTCTGAATCATCTAGGTCCGAGTTTATGGCTTCGTCATCGGGTATCTTTTTCTCGTCATCATCATCGTCGTCATCGTCAATGCCATCAAGCTGGGGCACGCGAGGCTCGCTTGAGGATGCTTGGGATGGCACCCAAGCAGCTCGACGCTTCACAGCCTTCTTAAGCTTGGATCGCCTAGACGCAGGGATCTCATCGAGAGGCACAAGGAGTCCACTATCCATACTCGCAGAGAGTGAGTCGATTTGAGATTGGAGAAAAGCGTCAGCAGCCATTCGACTACTTTCACCCTGGGAGTGCATTGCTGCAAGATGGGCAGTCCACTCCATGGGCTCATCACCGGCACCATCATGTTGTGCCTGATACACATTCGACTGTTGTTGCTGTCGCTGCTGGTTCTGAGCCTGCAACTGCTGTAACTGCTGCTGGCGCTGTTGCTGTGCCTGCTGTTGCAAGTGTTGCTGCATTCGCTGCATCTGCTGTTGCTGATTCTGCGGGGGCATTTGGATGTGCTGTGGCCGCTGTTGTCCATTGGCTTGGGTTGGAATAGCGGCTATGGACTGAGCAGCCTGGGATCCAAAGTCTCTCTGAAGAAGGTCTGCAGCGCGTTGCTGGGCTACGTTCCTGTCAAGACCAGACCGATAAGTCGGCACGGGGGGCGGATATTCTTGTGAAGGAAGGTTGCTTAGTCCATCTTCCTGCTTCATCTCCTGCTTGATCTGGGGCCCTGTGTAGTTGCTACGCTGGCCAGGTTGTTGTCCGTTCATTGACGTAGTTGATTGCTCGGGTTTCGGGCCATTCGAGGGTACAGTGGGTGGATTTATCGGCTGAGGAGGTGTGGGATCCCATGGATAGTTGGCACCCTTCAAATCAGTGAGGCGTTTTTGCCATCCCTAGAGACATAGTCCAGTTAGCGGCGATACTCTTGAGAGGGAGTAACAGGTGACCCATATCACGTGAGTAAGCGAAGAGGGAAGATGTAAGAGGCTAGTCCAAAACAGGGACAAGCGGGGCGGGGTCAGCGATGACTCTGGGTATAAGAAATGCCCCAAATACACGGCAGCGCCCCCGACCTTCGTCCCATGTTCGCCCAACGGTCCAACCCCCGCTTTTGCCATCGCTCACTACGCAACGCAACCCAAACTCAACTCCACGCCGCCATCTCGATGCGAAGTGCAGTGACAAAATGACAGTTGCGCCCGTCTCTTTCTATATTTGATTGCAGGCAGAGACTATAACAACAGAAGACATGATGTCGCAGCTTGACGACAAAGGTGGTGCGTCGACGTAGGATTTCGGCTTACCTCTCTCATCTCGTGCAGTAACGACTGGTCGACACCATTCTCGAGGAAATCATTCTCGGATGCCTCAATCACCTTTGCGATGATGGCCTGATAAGTTGCGCCCTACATGAAGTGATACTATCAGCATGGCCCTTATCGTAGCAATGTGGCCGTGAATGGCTCTTGTCGCTGCACGCAGCTTGGGGACCACTAACAACAATGCCGTTCGACATGATGCCACAGATTTATTGGTGTATGAAATGGTATTTCACTGATCGATATACTGGGAGTCCTGCGCGTTGCTGCCTGTCGCGTTGCGTCGTGATGGGTGTCACTGGAGGATGAAATTGGAGGTGAAAGGGTCAGGCCAGGGCGATCGCAAGGACGCAGCAGCGTCGGCGGCAAGGACTTTATTCGATTGCTATCATATATAATGAACCGGCAGAAAAGGTTCCGAGCGGTTGTTGGGAGGTACAGGTGCTGGAGCCGTTGCGCTCCTGGGGTCGAATGTAGGTGTAGAACGGTGAGTTTGGTATGGGAGGCTGAAGTTCAAGGCCGTCAGGTCGCTTAGGTAATCAAACTAGTCCGCACCTAGCATGCGGCGCTCGATCTGCGTTAACATATGCCTATAAACTATCCCACTCAGAAATATTATTGATTCTATGCGAATGTGTTGCAGTGAATTAGGCTCTGCAAAGAAAGCACCAAGGCAGTTGAAGGGTGTGTCTACCTTGGCCCTTGTCCTTGCTCTTCATCCATTGGCACAGGCACAAAGACTGTCGGTCCTTTATTAGGCGATTGACTGCTTTCGTTAACTCTTATTTCGACCAACACTACAGCGTCGCCGTTGTCTATCCAACGACTCTCTCTCGAATGAGCAAAGACTCATTCATACTACCCTACCATCAAACCCATGGAAAGCTCCACGTGGTCAAAGCTACAAAGTCTTCATTAACGGACGTCAGGCCTGCGAATGACCCGATCCACCGGCCGACAAGTCTTTAGACTGGCCCAACTATGGCTGGCAATAAGGCTAGTTAGCATCTGCAAACGCGTCATTGTACTCAAGCTTTCCTCTGAAGCTCATTCCAAGACGACGAGAAGCTTGACCCATAGTCGAGTGGCGCTTTCGACCATCAACTCGGATTCGTGATCGGCGGGCAGAGATGCTCCACGTTCGACGACTGATGCCGTCATACCGCTTGACTTTATCTAGATGTCCCCTCGAGATCTAGAATTTTAGACTTCAGCATATACAATCCGATACAAGACTAGGGTCTAGATGAGGTTTATATGTTCAGTCACCCTAAAAGCACGGACCAAGCTTAGGCTCTAATTATAGTAAAGGATTATGCGATAAATTGAGGTATATAGCCAAAATCGAAATTTGGCCTACGGCCGAGATATAAGTCTCAATTATGTCTAAACTTAGGTTATAATCTTGATATCCTGGTAATCTTTTCGAGGGGTAGATTAAGCCTATTTTCTCCATTAAAATTTCGGCCCAGATTGAGCTTGTATGCATTAGGATTGTACATGCCGAAGTCTGATTCTGGATATTCTTCTTTCCACATCGTCTTTCAAATACTCCAAGTGTTTGAGTAGCGCGTTTCGCAAAGACTACTCGATTTTTGGTCACCATTCATGATGATGGTCATATCCCTTGTCGCTCTTGTGCTTTCAATTGGAGCTGTCGGACAATTCGTACCGGCCCCGACAGATCTCACCACTAAACAGGGATACGCTGGGGTCAGCGTTCGCTACAAAGAGGTACCTGTCGGTATCTGCGAAACAAGATCGTATGTCAAGAGCTATGCCGGTTATGCAGATGTTGCCAAAGACCAACATATATTCTTTTGGTTCTTCGAGGCACGCAACATTGACCCGGAAGAGGCACCCTTGACCATTTGGATCAACGGAGGTACATATCAACGTATTTCCGAACTTCCGGAACTCACAATCTATTGTAGGCCCTGGTTCGAGTTCTATGATCGGCCTTTTCCAGGAAAATGGACCTTGTGGTATTGACCAATCTGGTGCTGTGGTGGACAATCCTTACTCTTGGTCGAATGTCTCTAATATGGTAGCATTGACATCTCCGCACCCGTAGACTATGTCAGACTGACAGAGTCCATAGTTGTATATTGATCAGCCCACTCAGACTGGCTTCTCTTACTCCATACCAGTTCCAGGGTATCTTAACCCTAATACTGATAGATTCATTGTCTTAGACAGTACAGTGTGTCCAGAAGGCATCACAACCTGTGGCACATATTCGCTGCCGGATCGAGCCTTAACCGCGACTTCAACTGCAAGTGCTGCACCGAACTTCTACTTAACACTACAAGGCTTCATGGGTGCATTCCCACAATACTCTGGAAATGACATACACTTCGCTTCCGAGAGCTATGGTGGTCATTACGGCCCGATCTTCAATGGTGAGTCCTCATGTATCATATTCGCAGTCAAACTAACTGCTCCAGACTATATCCTCAAGAAGAACAGAGAGGCGAAGGCTGGTACTAAACGTATTGACCTGAAGTCTGTGCTCATTGGCAATGGATGGTTCGATCCCATTGTACAATACCCTGCGCAGTTTAACATGACGGTCTTCCCTGGCAACACGTACGATCATTTCCCATTCGACGTATCGATCGAGGCTTTAATGCATGACAACACCTACGGACCTGGAAACTGTGTCGAAAAGGAGAAGACGTGCTACGCGTCCGGTGCAGATGAAGACTGCATCGATGCCGACGAGTATTGCTACATAAATGTGGAGAATATGCTCGACGATTACGCCGACCGTGACGGATACGACATCCGTTACCTCACTCCAGATCCATTCCCGTACGAGTATTACATTGACTACCTCAACACACCTCATGTCCAGTCTGCTATCGGGGCATTCCAGAACTTTTCAGAAGGCTCTGAAACTGTGGCTGAAGCATTCGGTACTACTGGTGATAATGGCCGCGAGTCCGACACTATTCATGGCATCCAGAGCCTACTTTGGCAAGGCGTGCAGGTGTCACTTTATTTTGGTGATGCTGACTACGTGTGTAATTGGCTCGGCGGCCAAGTTGTCGCAGACAAGGTCAACGCGCCAGGCTACTCCGCGGCCGGTTTCGTCGATATACAAACGTCCGACGGTATCACGCATGGCCAGGTCAGGCAAGCGGGCATATTCTCGTTCGTTCGGATCTACGAAGCAGGGCATGGGGTGCCGTTCTATCAACCTCTCGCGGCGTTGGAGTTCTTCGAGCGTGCGATTGGTTGGACGGATATCGCCACAGGATCGCACAACCTCTGGCCCAGGTATATCACCAGGGGTACAGAGAAGAGTACGTACCGTGAGGGATGGGGCACAGTACAGACAGAGGTTACGCCTGATGGGAGTACGTATAATACAATGACAAATACGCCAAATCCGCCGGTGGAAAGAAGGAGTCTCAATGCGCAAAAGAAGAGGGGGCTTTTGAGGAAGCCAAAGCCCGCGAGTGCAAAGAAGGAGCATGTGAGGGCCACTGAGAAGCCCGATAGTTGACCAATGTTCCCGTCCTCTGCCGGTAAGAAGGCACCCAAGATTGATCATATCTTGTTAAATTGACTTTATGGACAGATTAAGACGCATATATATACATATATACCTACCTCACTTTCTTGACCTACCCATATAATCGACAGGATACCTACCAAGGCATATTATACCACTTAGATCTTCGCCCCAGAAGCCCTCATAACCACTTTCCCATGCACATAACTGATCTTCCTCAACCTCTCCGCCGCCTCTCCGTACAACTCCCCCCGTAACAAACTAAACACCCCCATCTTACTCCTACCCTGTACCTCCCTGGCCTTCTCCAGCGCCCGCTCCAGCATCTGGCCCGGCTGGACAACCTCGTCGACAACACCATCCCGCACGGCCTCCTTGCCCGTCCATCTGTGCGCCTCCAGGAGCATCTTGCGCGCAATTTGCGGATGCAGCTTGAGCCGCGGCAGCGCACCGATACCCTCAAAATGCAGCCCCAGGTTGACAGGCGGCATGGAAAAGAGACCGCGCGACGCGTTCATGATGCGATAGTCATGCGCGAGGGCAAGGGGGCATGCGCCGCCGAAGGTGTGGCCGGTGAGCAGGGCAATGGTCGGGAAGGGATAGTCCAGCAGCGTGGCTAGGAGCGGGTAGAAGCCGTCGGTGTTGGCATGTGGGTTTGTGTCTGGTTCGTCGAGGTCGAGGCCCTGTATATGGATATGTGTGAGGTAATGTGTGAGTTATGTGCGGGAGGTGGGGGACTGAGGACGCACTGTGCACCAGAACTTCTCGTCGCTGCCTCGTGTAATGACACAGCCCTCAGCGCCCGGGCCCAGTTCCTTCTCAATGTCGCGAAGCGCGCGGATGATTTCCTGAGCGAAGCCTGAGTCGATGCGGTTCTCGGGGGCTTTGCGTAGAGTTAGGACAAAGACTTGGCCGTGCCGCTCGATGGTGAGGTTCTGGTATGTCATTGTTGGGGGCATCCGGAGATGGGACGAGGGGCTGTAAGAGCGATAACGGGTGCGGAAGTGCTTGAGGCGTCTACATTGTTTCGTATGGCATATCACGTAGTCATCGGATGGATGTTGTTGACGGCCGCGGTTATGAAGCTTCCCCGCGTTACGGGTTCCGTGTTAGTACATCCATTCCGGACCATGCTTGAGAAACCCTCCACGTTCGTTCCCAATATCGAGCAGCATTTCCACCACGCGCGCGACGAGCAAGATAATGACCCAATAGCTTTCATAGTATGGGTCCTGGGCGGCGTGGGCAAGACACAGCCGGTGCTCGTCTATCTCTGGCGGTACTGCGCAGACTACACGCGAGACTTGATGAATATACATGAAAGCTACTGTTCGATGTGCAGACAAGAACCGAACAGGTAGATGTGGTAGTGGGTGACGCCGTGATGGCTGTAAAGAGCTGATTCTCGAGCTAACGTGATCGCTGGCAGATTCTATTCTACAGCGCCGGCTGGGATTGAGGACGAGACTGATAACAGCTACGTCGACCTGAGTCGCTATATATGCTGCAGGAGCCTCTACTAGACCTTATCATCACGACACAGCACGCAAAGGGCCTGACGAGATTGCATGTTCACGTCGAAGAAAAGAGCAGAAGCGAGGCAGTCGACTTATTATACACGTCACCACAGGTCGATCAGGCGGGCGATACCTCGGTCGAAGTCTCGGACAGAAGATCGTGGACGAGATCGGCTGCCTCGCACTTGCGGTGAATCTGGCAGGCGTGTACGTATCTAAGACGTCGCAGTTGTAGTCTTCCATCCAAAATCATGTGCCCGAGTATCAGGAGCGGCTGCGAGAGTTGCTCTCACAGATGCCTGAATCTCTGATCCATCAGCACAGCACGAGTATACTGACCACCTGGGAAACATCGTTTCGAACCGTGCAAATACCGTGTGATGAGGCGAGTCCACTGCTCACGCTACTGTTCTTTCTAAGCGCTGATGACTTGTTCCTGGACCCCTTCGGCATCGGCGTCCTGTCGGTACATAATCCAAACGACGAAATAGCGAGATTGGGCATGCTTATATCGCCTGAAGAAGTCCTTTGTGTGCGCGACTTTGAACGAGAGTGTTCGAAACTCTACGCGGTACTTGGTTGGTGACCTCCCTAAGGTGCCAAGTGCGCTCACCGATCTCGTTATGTTACGAATCTCATCGATATGTGCGTTCCAGTCTAATTGGAGCCCAAGTACAAGATTCCTGAAAGCTCTCTCTTGCTAGCTGAGTACATATACGTCCTAAAATCGTCGCAAGCCTGGGCCCTCGGCAGTGAGAGCAGCCTCTCCGTTCAGCAAGCCATAACCGAGCCAGCTCCTATACTATAATCTTGCAACAGCTCGAGATCAATCCTAATGAGAACAGCACATCATTGTATGAGCCAACGGCCAGACCGCAATCAAAGTAGCTGTGCAATGATCGCATGGAAACTGCCCCATTTAACCCACAAGCATCTGATCGGAGTACACCTAGAACCCGAGTAACGACAAAACATCAACACCGAAGCCCTGGCTCTGAGCTTCGTCGTTCTTGATTTATATTAATGTACTTCTGCTCGACCACTACGAAGGACATAACAGTATAGTATCCAAGACCTGCTTATAGAGTAGCTAGTCTAGGGCAGTATAATTTCATTGTAATCCTATACACAACGTGTTCGATTTGGCAGAGTTTGAATGTCGTAGAAGACCTCACAGGGCCTCGTCTGTCTGAATTATTGCTTATCAGTTCAGCATCAGGTGATCCAGCTCCAAAACTCGTTAGAACAAACGATCTGCAACAGTCTATGGCTTAAATTCATTCTTGCAGGCCTAAAGCCGCTAATTATACTCTACGCAAATGTTGGCTTACCCGGATATGGCAAGCGTTGCTGTGTCGCCTGAGAGGCTTCTTAGCTTCCTGGTAAGGCGTAAGATAATTTTTTTAAGTGATGGAAGCCTGCCATGTGTCATATATTTCAATGTTTGGCGCGACCCTTCTCGCTTGAGCGGTCAGTAGGAGCGCCCATGCTTTCCTATCTTTAGCCTGTCTAGAAAGGAAGAAGCCCGCGGAGAGAAGTGGCTTCGTTCCAAGCCAAAACAAAGGGTAAAAAGCGGCAGACTCCCAATCAAGGATTGCCTTGAGATTTCCACTGTCATCTGCTATAATATTTCCCGGCCCGAGGTCAGCAAACGAAAAGACAAAGGGCGTTATGGAATCGACGGCAAGAGATTGTGATAGATAGGCCTGCAGTTGGTCGATAGAAAAGGGACCGAGAAATTGAGGTCTCCAGGAGGGCTCGGATTCTGGAGGCCCTGCCGTTAGAAACGGCTCAACAATGCCCTTGCTATCGGCTGTTTTTAGCTGATCTGATCTTCGACTCGCTGGAGCCTTGCAATATCGTGTAACTGTATCCGCGAGTTGAATTTGCTAACCAGTGGGTAATGATGTCCAAGCCTAGTTCAAGGTTCTTCCTTTTAACCGATTCGAGTATTAGGAACGACCGATTCCACTGAACATCAATCCAAGAGTGTAGAATTTCTGGTGTAGGGAGATTCGACACTTCATTAACGAAGCGAATAGTGTCACTTTCTAGTTGCATTCCAAGTCGCCATGCTTTGACCTTGATAAAAAGTCCTCCAATGTTCCAAATTGCAGCGGCTGTGCCAGCATGATGGAAAAGATCTTCATTCGAACAGCCATGCTTTCTTAATGTGGCCAAAGTACTACTATTCTCATGTAAAGTTCAAAGGCAATATAGTTTTCCGTCATCGTCTTTCCAGCTCTTTATAGTATCTGTTGGTATTTCAGATACAACTTCGCATGTTAGCATAGAGCCTTATAGCCAGCGATCTTGGGAAATATGGACGATAAAGTCTTCGACGGGATGGTCCGTGAGACTTCGATCTGATTAGCAGGATTCATAAGAAGGAAGCGGAAGCATACCAAAACATGTCGATCGTAATCGGGTTGCGTAGGCTGAATTAACGAAGTAATCCAGATGGGATGAATCCCGGAGGGACGGGTGGCGGAAGTAAGCTGGAAGAAGTGTCTACCATACTATAAGTATATCGCCTTATACCTACTTATTTATATGAGTTCTATAATATCTTCTATATCTCTCTTATTAAAATACTATAGAGGCTAGATAGATCATAAGACTAAAAAGATAATTGGAAAAATTTGAGACTTAGAGAGAAGTAAAAGTATTAGAGCTCTATGTACTAACCTACTATAACAGTCACGTGTAGTGTACGCGTGACTTGTAATAATAGTATAACTCTATATCTATTATATATCGCTCTAGTACCAAGTACCATATAATTTAGATAAAAGTCCAAGTGTCAAGTAGAGCTATAAGATAAAAGTCCTTTTACTTAAGTATTCCGGGTTCTATTTCATTATATCTATAGATAGATTTATCGTATCTCTAAGCTTTAGTTAAATAAGTTAGTTTTAGATAACCTTCGATAGCTACTAAAAGATTCTATTATAATATATATCTAGATTAATTAAGTAGCCCATAGTCTGTAAACTATGGAATGCTTGTCTATATACAACGTGCATGCTAGTAAATCAGCTGGCCAGCCAGGCTAGGGCAGCCTCGCCCGGCCAAGTCCCTACCTAATTAGCCTCGCCCGACATTCAACAATGATCCACATCTGATCTAACAATGAAAAACATCAGTAGCATTCCGGAGTCGGAGCCTAAACCTGAAACTGCTACTCTTCAAGAAGTACTTACTCTCGACTGTGACCAGTTTCGCCAATTCCTAAACGATTGTCATACTAGCCATGGTTTCGATATTTCGCGTATATCGGATTTGGATCAATACCGTGAAAGTGAGGAGCTGGCCGACTTGATCGAGAAACTGACGTGAGTACAAAGCTCCCCTCATTCTTATACTGAACTCTGCTGATGACATATTTTCAATAGTTCCACGAGAGAGCAGCCGGACTCCTTCGTCAACGCGTTGATGAAATCGCTCAGCAAACTCGCCCAAGACACGTCACAAAGCGAAGCGAACAGGCTGTCGCAAGATCGAGATACGAGGACCGAAACCCCGTCCCCTAGCCCTGAGCCCGGTTTTCCCCGTGATAATGGTCGGCATGAGGCTTATTGCCACGACGCACTCGTCCAAGCGGGAGGTCGCCCCGTAGTGTCTTTCGCACGTCTTCTTCAGACCATTGAAATGGGTCAAGAAGCCAGTACAGACATATTAAGATCATGGCTCATAGAAGCGGACCTTGGCAAAAGCAAGGTTACCGTACCGCCTGTTTTCTCAGCTCAACTTGAAGATTGGACGACCTTCCGAGGGAGTTGGCAGTGGGATAATCGTGGCCAGTGTGCCAGCGACGAGGGATTCGCGTATTTCCTAGAGGCTGAAAGAAATATGTGGACTCACTTTGGGGAAATAAGGTTCGTGTCTGCATCCTCTTTCGAGTCGGACACAAGACGCATGTGGGACGATCAACAAAGGCATTTCGAAGTATCCAACAAGCAAGATTTCCCAGAATACGTACGAGCCGTTAAGAAACGTCTTACATCCCACCACTTTCTGCAAAATTTCGAACTCGCCGAGGATCCGCGACGCCAGGACGCATGGACGACATGGGTAGAGTATCTCAACTATACCTATTGGTGGCAAGATACGCACGCAGAAATCATGAAGGCAGAACAACCGGACTATCAGAGAGCGTGGGACGAACTAATCGATTTCGACCACACCAATGACGATGAAGAGCCGCCTTCGAACAAAGCCGAGTGGCGTGCGGCCAGGCATCAAATATGCAAGTTTGTCGAAAAAACGGGCATGTACCGAAAATATGAGGCATATGTTCACCGACAAGAGTTACGTGCGCGCTGGATTCTTGATTTACTGCCTGCTATGGAAGTTGCCTCATCCAATCAGCCAAAAAAGACGACTCACAAACCTGGTACGAGTGGCAAGAACAAAAGAAAGACTAGGGACAATGGTGGCGCTGTATGCGACGAAGCCGATAGCGAGGTGGATTATAACAGAAGAACTGTTCATGAGCTGAAGCTTGAGCTCAAGGCGCGGAAAATATCTTTTGTGGGCTTGAAATTGAAGCAACACTTGGTTAGAAGGCTGCAGGAGACAGATAGACCTCATAGCTCTCACAAGAGAACCAAACTTGATGGGCAGCATGACGTCTATCGTTCCTCGACAGCACAGCCTGAAGTGGGACTCGAAGTTGTCGCTGATCCGCCACTTCGCCGCAGTGGACGCCTACGCACTAAAAGACATATCGAATAGGCATTAGACACACTCGTGTCTTGATACAAAAAAGGACTCTAACAAAGGACTGTGATGTCATAGCGAACTCGAACATAGTTGAATCGCAGGATAACAGGGTAACGTATATGCATTGCGAACTCGTAGACTCAAGGCATTGCCATTATATCACAACTCTCAAGAGCTATGTGTGTCTTGGACAAGTTGATCCGACACTCTGGATCGCTTCTCGCACCTACTGTCTGACTCTCGATTGGCTGGTGCACACTCACCTGCGTCTGGAATCTCTTGCAGCCTCGACCGCTTCCGATCAACTGGCGGGACTACAAGTAACGTCTTGCAAGTATTCTTAGTGGTAGTTTTAGAGTTTGACACTTGAGACTCAAACATCGTTGACGGGTTCAAGTCAAAGAACGAGGCTGAGTTGCCTCCGGCCAGAGCAGCAAGGAGGTCCGACGTTGGTCCAGACAATCTTGGATACCCCATCCCCAATCCTCGGACTGTTTCATTATTGTCATTCGCATCGATCGTAGTGTTTTCAGTATGCTCGAAGTCGCTGATTTCGGCTTCGGAGGCTTGTTGATTTGCAGGTCTAGGTGTCATGCAAGCATTATTCGGGGTTTCTTGTCCTTCCATAGCCTCGGCTCCTAATACGGCCAGTGGACGTGCCAATTCGTAGCATGTTCGCGCAGACGGCCTTTTCGTCGGATCTACTACTAGCATTTGAGCTATTAGGATATGTAACCGATCTTTCTCGTGGCCCCTCTGGTGTATCTTGAAACGGTTGACCATGATATCCCCCCAATGATCACCTGCATATTCATATTCTGATCTCCATTCTGGTAGAGATCTGTGCTCCAGCTCGAACAGAAGCACAGCCACAGACCAAATGTCGACCAGTTGACTGTATTTCGCGGCATGTGTTCCCTTCGTGCGATTCTGTAGATGCGTACAAAACACCTCCGGAGCCATGTACAAACGAGTACCGCAGAAGGACTGAAGGTCTGCTGATGGCTTTGACAAACCAAAGTCGATTAGCTTGACATGAACCTTGTCGGCACTCCAATGTTGCACCAGTATATTCGCCGGCTTGATATCTCGATGTGCTATTGACTTGGTCTCATGTAGGTACGAGATGCCATCGAGGAGCTGGTAAGCGATCTGTCGCCTTTGAAACGATGTCGTAATCTGGTATTGGTCTTTGGTCAGGTCGCCTCCTGGAACGTACTCAAAATAAAGGGATGGTCCGTCATGGAATGTGGCATACTTGAAAGCAACGATGTTGTCCTGTTCGGGTAGGTCCCTGGTCAGTGTATTCAATAGGGCTTAGTTCAAGACATCATGCTTACATGGGATATAGTTTTCAGGATGTCGGCTTCTCGTTCCAATTCTCCTTTGCGTTTGGACTTAAGGCGTTTCTTGGCAAATTCCTCTCTAGTGGTAACATTCCAAAGGTAGTCGACCACCCCAAAGCTTCCTTTACCAAGCTCTCTGGTCCAGTATATACCGTTGGATTCCTGCACTGTCGGTGTTCGATCCCCTCCAGGGGTTGGCATCGCAGTCGATGGGCCACTCAGGATACCGAGGTCTTCGAAGAGCTTGTCAGGGTCCAATGTTCCCTATAGGTACTGTGCGACTTTGTCACGATATATTGTAGACCATGTGTCATGGTTCGGCACCACTATTCTGAACTGGACTTTGTTGACCAACTTGATGGTCGCCCAAGGAACAGTCTGCCGTAGATAAGGCGGACCCCGAGCGCTCCAGGCACGACTCTTCACTCGAACACCCTCTTCGTCGTCGTAAATCACTCGAATTCCAAACTTGGAGCCCAGATCTCTGACCACGAGTTCCTTGTGTTCGTCGAAGGTCAGCATGAAGTGAATAAAACTTATACCTTTCGCGTTGGGCAGCAATACGTCTGCGTTCTCACCTCTACCAAAAACCAATCCGGCACGACTTCGAGGAGGATCGCTAAACCTTATCGCCAGGCAGGGCAAGTAATCCAGCTCGTCCCAGTGTGTTACCTGCCTCCCAGGATTCTTAGCCTTGGACCGCTTGTCTTTACGCGGGGGTATCGTGCGAAAGTTGTTCTGCTCTATTTTCATAGTTCGCAACTGGACCGTAGACTCGTCGCCGGGGTAAAGATAAGCAACGATATCTGGATGATCCGGATCCATTCTCATGCAAGTGGGATGGCTTCTTGTAGGTTGCAAAGCAGGCAGTATTCTTGGGACGGTAGCCTGAGCGGGGTATAGAAGTACGAGACTATAGTATTTATAGGCGCAGTTGTAGCCTTGTCTCGATACAGCCTTGTTTCTGCAAGGCAATTCAAGTCAAGCGCAAGCGGGCTTTCAGACAATCCCTGTACTGCAAGCGCAATTGTGAAATTCCAGCCGCTTGTCAAGCGTAAGCGTGCCTCCTCGATTGCTTGCGACTATTGTAGACTATTGTATCGATTGTGGTTTATGGTTTTAGGTACCCTAACTAGGTAATTTAGTGAGTCGGATCATCAGTCACGTGATAATATTTAAGTCGATATGACTGTCACGTTGTTAGTCGTACCACGTGACTGTTTCTAGTCTTTCCAGCCCAGCTTTTCATCTTATGTACTCTACTACAATCGGTAATCCTTAACAATTCAAGGTAATTCTATTAGTTAGATTATAAGCCTACGCCTAACTAGAACGCTTGTCTTGGCAATTTAATACAATTATGCTCTGACTATTGCTTGCCTTGCATGTCTGGATGTGAGTTGTCAGCAGCTAGATCACGTGCTAGTGCATAATATGAGTCGCAGCTAGCGACCAGAGCAGTCTCTTCTCATTAGAGTTCTTACTATGATCTTTCTAGCTTGCTCTTTTCCTGGTAGAAATTCGCTTTGTCTCCGGTGGTCCGGGTTGTACAAAAGCCCGATCTCTCTTACTTTCTCTAATCTGGTATATTTCACACGGGACCATGACTAGCACCTGAGAAAAGCGTGCGGATTCTATAGATCAGTCTCTTCGAAAATACAGAGTGAGCCATTAGCTACCGGGTCAGATCCATATCGAGTACGGAATGTACCAGGGCTGCGATTTGACGCTCGCTGTACGACATAAAGTGAGTAAATGACAAGATGAAGAATCTAAATATAGCGAACTTGAAGAGGGTGTAAAAGTAAGTACATTCTAGCCACATAACTCGGTCTTCCTAGGGGATAAAAGGTTCGAAGTGTATCGTAAGTTTTTGGATAATGGACAGACTCACTCGCAATGAGGCCTAGTTCTCATGCATACTCGTTTCCAGCCGTGTCTCTTGTGCGATCCTCGTTGTTTGGTAATGACCTGGGTACTAATAAGTAAGATAAATGTATTTACAGGATAATGTACGTATCGGAGATAGTCGTCTAGAGACTCACGTAAAACCTAATGGGGGCGACCCCAAGACAGCTGCTCAGATTCAATGCTTGAGTGATCCTCTACCTCAAATTCAGCCTCTTGAGGCGCTCAACTACTCGTCCAACACGATCAAGGCTCCTAATGACGATGATAATGATAATAATGCTACAGTCCTATCAAACTGCTAAGAAAGCAGAACCGCCCACTCTTACTTGATAACACTGTGCTCTGCCATCGCCGTGCTCGACACATTCAGCAGTTTTCTGACGAGACTCAGGACTTGCACGCACACAGCAAAGACCATGCATGAAAGCGCACATATTCCTTTGAATGACATGAACTGTGACTTGCGATGACACCCACGAGCGCATTGTAACATATCCAAGTCGGCTCGGCTAGTCTACATGTGCCATCATCGACCCTATCGAGGCATGTTCTAATGCATCAATGACGTGAGCGCTAGCTACATCGGGGTAATGTTGATGGATGCGAGAACTCAAAAAGGATCCCGTTCTACTGGGTGGAGTTCGCGTGGCCGCCACGTGGCGTGTGGAGAAACAGGAAAAGCATAATACAACCTCCTCATTCGGGTGCATTCAGACTCGTGTCCAGTCTACGCAAGGCGTGTAAATCTAGTATAAACATGCCAATATGTGATTAAACCAAGAATGAGTTTGTGTGTGAGGAGCATATAGACGCCCATTTTTTTAAGAACGTTATAATATTCAATCTAGTATACATATATATAAGGGCATAAACCTTTCGCAGCCCAGGGCGGTTTGCGGGGTAGATTCTCAGCCTCCGGCCAATGTCAAAAATCCCCCACGCATAGAAGAAAATCAGCCGAAAGTAGGCAGCAAAGGCCTAGAATTTTACTTTTCCAGAAAAAAAAAATAGCATGTCGTGGGGGATTCGTTCGCTTATTCGTAGATCAGGATTTTGCCCTCACCGCTACGTCCAATATCCAGCCATGAAACAACAACATACACCAGGGATATGGGCATTATAATGAAACGAGTACACTCGCTGCGTCAGATATGATGTCGGATTACCAGAGACTGCGGAGGGCAGACTGATTATGGTACTGCATGACGCATGCTAACATTATGATGGATGGCCAACGAGAAACATTAATTGCTCGTCACAAATGCTTTGAAGAATCCTGTGAGGTCGTCCAGAACAGCGGTGACCGTGGAATCGATAAACACCTTTTTTAGACCTACTGCGTCTATGTATAATTAACTTTAGGGCCTGTCAGCTGGGCGGTATAATGTATGGGGGTCGATAGCTTGAAAGCTTGAAGAAGAGGTAGACAGCGGTCGTAATTACTAGATTATTGTCTTGTCTAGACACATTCGCGTAGAAGCTGGATAGACGCCGTCGTTTCGACTTTATTTGCCGCGACCGAATATACTTCGGTCAAGATGCGTCTAATCAGCGTTTTAAAGGTATGATGACTGTTAGTACGATACAACACTTCGCTATTCTATGACAATATGCTACAAGTTTACTCGCTCCAATACCTAAGCCCCCTTTTTGAGCTTCTCTAGACAGTATTCGCTAAGCATACTCATCGAACCCGTCATCCTCAATCCATGCCTTCGCCACCACATCGGCAACGGTGACTCGGAGAACACTGATAACATCAGAGAGTCTAGTATCCGGCTTGAACCCTCTCCTCCAGTCCCACGTCCGTCCTGTCAAGATAGCACTGTTCTCGCCGCTTCGACTTAGCAGACTGCTTCCGACAAGTGAGAACTGCGAGCTTGCTGTCGTCCCGGTCTTCTCACTCAACGCAGAGACGCTCTTCTTCAGGAGATCGCGTGGATCGCTCATCTCAGCGGCCCCATGTGCTGTAGCAAGTGTACTGCGCAAGCATTCCTCGCACTGTTCACGGATGAGACTGGGTGAGGATACAATGTCTTCGGTTGCGGCGAGTAGTGTGTTTAGGTGAGACATGCTGACCGGGCAAGGTTCGATTTTGAGGAGGGGAAGAGCTTCGCCGAGGAGCACAAGAAGGCCGTCTACTTGTAAGACGGATTCGGAGTCGGGATCGTAGAGACCACCGCGGATAGGTGTGGATGCGGAGGCAATGAGAGTCATCAGGGCATCTGTCGCAGCACGTTGACGGGCCAAGATGCGATGTGCAGGTTTTGTACCAGTGGTCGAGGCATATATGTCTTCATCACGTAGGTCGTAGAACTTGCGGACGGTGGCGTAGCCTGATAGGGAGCTCGCAAGAAGTTCAGCAGCATCTTGGTCAATGAGAGAAAGGCTACCAAGAGTCTTCTTTGGACTTAGAAGAAGAGATTGAAGATGTAAGTCCAGTTCTGTTCGAGGTGGGTATGCTGTGGAATTAACAAGGGACAGAGAGATCAGAAGATCGAGAATCGAGTGAAGCTTCTTGACGTTTCGAGCGCGAGCGTAGTAGATCAAAGTTGTGCCGTATTCGTACGTATTCGAGGCGGTAGTGTCGGCGTAACGCTGGATATATGGTCAGCGTCTGCTGGTCATTGTTATGTAAAAGCTCACCTCCGCAACCGAGTTGGCCTGCTCAGCGAAGCCCATCTCATTGAGTTGTACAACAACTTTGTCTACGCGGTCCGTAGAATTGAGTTCCAGACTTTCCAATAAGTCTGTAATGGCGTTATTGGCAGCCTCGACATTATCTAGACGACTGAGGACTTGTATTGCGAGCTGCCAGCCTTCCTTCTCGACCTGCTCTTCGAAGAGTACGTCTCTCTGAGATAGACACTCCGCGTAAATAATTAATTGCTCGTCTTTGATTACCTCGCCAAGCCCGCCGTTTGACTGTTCTCTGCCAAGGCTCAACACCATCAAGTCGCTCTTGTCAAATCCCTTCATGATGTCCCGTGAAGCAGAATGGCCCCATTTTCCTATGCTTGCAATCTGTTCGACTGCAGCAGCAACCGGAATAGAGTAACATCGCAAAATTGAAAGAGTCTCTTCTAATCTGTCCTCAAAAACACAGGCTAAAGCAACTTGCGTACTGTCTGTGGGATTGATCTCGAATTCTTCGTCTTCTGTGTTGATGACCTGACTAAAGGCAGCACTGAGTCTACGGCGATAGGCCATTTTTGGTGCATCATCTGATGTCCGTCCATGGTGTGATCTTGATAGAGAAAGTCGACTGGCGACCATGCTGCCGTAGGGCACCTCCTGGTCCTCCTCTCCATCCCACCAAGCTGTCAAGGCGACAGTTGCTTCTACCCAATCTGTAGAGCTACTGATAAGCTCTTCAGAGTTGCCGAGGAGATGCTCATACACGATGAGGAGGTTCTCATATACAGTCCATGGCACCTTGCTTTCAGCTCTTCTGCTGGCGGCACTGACACTAGGCCCTTTACTTGGTCTCATGGCCGAACGGTCGTAACTAGAACCCTCAGAGTATTCTCTTAAGGAAAGTATTGCTTGTGCTACCATCCGACGATATATCTTCCACCGTTCACCCTTCACATTCCAGTCGCCGTGTTTGATAGCTGGACACCCTTCAATGGCGATAATGGCATCGTTGATGACTTTATCAATCGTGGCTAAGTCGGCACCACGGTAGCCTGTTGTATTGCTTCCATCCTGAATGGAAGTGTGTGCCAAGGAGAAGTTGGCATCGCGCAGCAACTTGATGGCATCCTCAAATTTGCCTCTCAAGCAAGAGGTCATCACAGCATCCCAGAACGAGGGACTGGACGAGAAGTTTCTGCCTTGTGCAAGGACTGCATCAAGCTCCGTTGCCCAGGTAATGTGATGATTGTTGAGCCAATCTAAGAGCACCTTGGGAACAGGAACTTCGCCAGAAGGTGAGTTCGTGGACGATCGACCGAAAAGGGAAGCCCCAAGTTCTTGTCGCGTAGGGAAATGGGGGGGATGGTACAGTTGAAGGAGAAGAGAGGCTATATAGTTTGCTTTCTGAAATGTCTTCCGTTGCTTAGCTTCTGACTTGGACAAAGCTTGCGACTGAAGCGATTGCGGTGTCCATATTCTTGGGAGCTCTCTAGAAAGGGTATGGAGCATTCGCGTGGCCGTAGCGGTGTTCTCGGCCGCAAGAGCTCCATACAGCTCTTGGAATAGATCCTCCTGCTCTAAGATCAACTCGTCGGCCTCGTACATCTCAGTCATGGTCTTCTGAGATGCCAAGCCCAGCGCGAGCTTCGAAAAATCATACTTGTCCTGCGATGTCCGTATATGTGTTTCCACGCTCTGCATAGGTAGACTCAGCGGCTCTCTCATCATTGAGTCTTGTAAGCCTGGAGGGTCGAAAAGGCTCGAAGCAGTTGACATATTGAACCCATTGTTGGGTATCGAGTGTGACGCATTAACCTCGCCGAGGTTCCAACGTGGTATAGGATGGACACCTTCGTCCATTTGATCCAGTGCATCCTGCATCTCTTGACCAATCTCATCTTCTTCACCCTCGGCGTCTTCATCGTCTTCATCATCATCCTCGTCATCTTCGTATTGCGCAAATCGTCCTCCCTTCGGTGGACTACTACCTAGAGCTTCGAACTTGCTGCCATTTCCACTTTCGAATATAGGCTGTCCATGTTTCGCAAACAACTGATTTCCAAACCGGCCCGGCGCATTGTACGCTGATCTACCGGTGTTGCCAGCACCACTCCTGAGCTGGGAACTGCCAAACACTGTTGAAGGGGGTGCACCAATAGGCGTAAACGAGTTATTCGTGTAGTTGGAAGGTGGTGGACCGGCAGGTGTCGTGGACGGGAAAATGGAGCCCTCGTTGCGCGAGTTTGGAGTGGATGGAGGATCGCTAGGGACCTGAAACATCGTCGCTAGAGGAGGTAAGGTGAGGTGGATTAGGAATCGGGCTTCTGAGGTATGATGTTCTATCTCATGTTTGAGCTGTGTGATGTGTGCTGTGCTTTAGATATGCAGGCCGACCCAAAACTTCTAGGAAGACGCTAGAAGCGAGTATACGTAATACAATGATGTATGACGCGCGAGGATGCGCGTATAATCCGAAGTCGTCTCTTGTTCGCGTGTAGTAAGGCGACGCACGCTGATGCCCGCGTTGGAAGTGGATCATCACAAAATGTTTGATGACTAAGCAGTCCTTGGGTGCCTCAGGCATAACAGCCCAGAGCGTGGGCCAAGGTGCACTGGCAGTCTGGGATGAGGAGCTTAAGTTTACTGCATAACACGGGGCTAACGGCTGCCGTAGTCACGCCTTGAAGTGTATATTGTAGATGTACAGCACATGCGGTCAGTAAGTAGCAGGTGAACTACTAGTTACATTCTTCAACACCAAATTTTTTTCGGACTGTGCGTTCCTGAACGTGGGCACTTGCATTATCTCCAAACTACGGACAAGCTAAAAATCCTACGCTGCCCCTGGTCCGAGATCCGCTTCTCCCAAAAAGAAAGCCGAAGTTTATTGGTTTCCGTCTAGTCCTCCGTATTCAGCTGACAATCCGATCGTAAGCATTGTACGTATGTAACGAGACATGTATTCGGGAGTTGTTTGGCAACATTCCCAGGTCTCCACGAGCAACTTCGGCAACCTGCAGGATCAACTCCGCATCATCTCATCTTTACCATATCCACGGTATTATCAGTCCGTCTCATGCTACGTGCAACGTAGTGGCAACGGACCCAGAAACAGGTGCGAGTCGGGGCCCGCATTAGCGCGGATCAGCTGGTCGAATCCCTGGCTGTGATTAATACAATTTGGGGCTTACTGACGTACCATTTCAAAGAAGCTCTACTCGCGCGCACGCTTCCATGACTTCCGGTGTCCACGTCTGCTCACACCCTTTCTTCACATATTCTCATACACTCTCATCCATGCCGTAACGTCCTGCGTCACCTCGTCGTGCTCAGCTCATAATGTCTAATTGTCGTGCCTGGGACATCACTTGATTAGTCACAGATCGTAGAGCTTCCCGGGTCCCGTCCACCATGCCGACTCAGACCTTCTGGCAGAGAACAAAGGTCGGCAGCAAAGTAGGCTTCGACAAGGTCTACACATGGGTCGACAAGCTCGGTGCGCCAGTCAACAGGCTTTCTAATAAGCTGGGATCTGAGGCTTTCTGGCCCACTACCCTAGATAAAGAGAGCGACAAGGCTGCGCGCATTCTGAGGAGCTTCTGCAGTAGGTTCTACTTCATACCGACCGTCTCACCGTCGTTAATGGTGTGTAGAGGATGGCTTCTATCAGGAGGAGGAGATACAGCCCACGGACGGCCCCAAGCAGAAACAGAAGGTCTTGAAGAGGATACCACCAGAGGTAATGTGGACCGATTTGTGTACAAACGATCAAGACTAAGCCGAGCTCAAAAATCAGGTTATCAAGAATGCGAAAGGGCTCGCGATATTTACCACAATGCGCACTGGTCTCTGGGTCTCGGGTGCTGGCGGCAGTGGCATCGTTGTTGCACGACAAGAGGATGGATCATGGTCACCACCATCTGGAATCATGCTGCACACGGCTGGACTAGGCTTCCTCGTCGGAGTGGATATATATGACTGCGTCGTGGTGATAAATACACAAAAAGCATTGGACGCTTTTAGCAAGATCCGCTGCACACTTGGCGGGGAGGTCAGTGCTGTTGCAGGTCCTCTTGGTGTTGGCGGAGTACTTGAAACGGAACTTCACAAGAGACAGGCGCCCATATTCACATACCTAAAGTCTCGGGGATTTTATGCTGGTGTACAAGTTGATGGGACGGTAGTCATCGAACGGACGGACGAGAATGAACGCTTCTACAATGAGCGCATTTCTGTTGGCGATATACTGGCTGGTAAGGTGCGGCACCCACCGTTTGAGACCAGAAGACTGCTCGAAACTATTCGTGCATCTCAAGGAGACACTAATGTAGACTCATCACTGCTACCGTCTGAGCCTGCGCCTGGCGATTATGAGATCGAAGCTGACGGCCATGTATTTGGAGTCCCGGACAAGGAAGATCCCGATCCATTCGGTGTCCGAGCACTGGAGCAGGCTGGACTGGAAATCCGCGAAGCTGGGACACGGAATAGAGTTTCGAGCCAGAATTTCAGTTTCGCCCCGAGTCCCAAGAGTCCCATATTTGGTACCTTCAACCGACAGAGTGTGGATACACTGAGCCAATGGAGCCACAGCAGACGTGCAAGTCAAGTCAGCAACTACGATCGCGTGGTGTCCATGAGCGACATGTCCACACAAACGGATATGGACGGACCTCTTTTCACGCGTCCGGGCTCAGGAGACCTCTCGAATGGGATCCGCGACAGTATCCAGTCGCGGATCACAGAATCCCCCGAACCCAATGATGACGAGCCACAGCAGATCTCGCAAGGTTCTGTCTCGCCTGTTAACGGGCATGCAAGGTCAAATGATGATGGTAATGATTCCATTACCAACAATGACGAGAAAGAAGTGAGAGCCGAGGAGAGTCTGGATTCAGACTCGAAGCACATTCGGCCGCAGCCTGAGGTCCGTGGATCTCAGCAACACGAACGAGAAGTTCAGACGGACTCGTCGGACCACGAACAAGTACAAGTCGATCATCAGACGGTATTGCAGCCCACTCGTCCTGAATCTAGGAATCTTGAAACGCCATATTCAGGCGAGGAAAAAGGACACGATGTAGAACCCAATCATCGAAACGAACCCTTGACGAACGGCCACCGCCATTCCGTCGCTATATCTGACAGCGAGGGAAAAGATTCTGAGGATGAAGATCTTAGCGACGATCTCGACGATGACTACGATGAGGCCGATGTCGAGATATTCGAGAATCCTGTTGTATATCAGCAGGTCCAGACACCTCCCATGGCTCAGGCTGTTTTCCGCCCTACCATTGTCACCGTCAACAAAGCTGCGCCGCCGAAGCTACCTCCACGGAACCCAATCCGGGTGAGGAAATCTCAGGCCTTGGGTAACGAAGGCGTCATATCCGACACGGTGATTGACACTCCAATTTCGAACGATGCATCGCCGCCCGAAGAACGAAACGAGGAGCCGTCGTATCCAAAAGATACAGAAGAGGCGAGACAGTCTGTCTTATCGGCCGGCAGCATCACCAACAGCATTGCTCAATTGCGAGCCTTCGATGACGATGAAGACACTATTGCTGACGATGAAGAAGATGAGTTCCACTCGACGGCAAACTCACGAAAAAGTTCACCGGCAAGAGAGAAAGCTGAACATCTGTGAAAGCGAAGCTGCAAGTACATCTCCATATATACCAGTCTTTAACGTAGCGAATTCCTGCAAAACACCGTCAATCATGTTATGATCTGATAAATAGGCCCGAACACAAACTCTATCCTGGCATTGTGAACATTACAGCACTAACGGACGAAGAGTCGATCCCAGAGCTGTAGCATAATGTTTTTCCAAGAATTGAAATCTACACCAAATCCTTGTGCTGCGCAGCTCAATTCACGATGTAGGAAACACTAACACTGTTCACTTGCCACGGTTGCCAACCCTGTTTTCACATCGCCTTCTGCCTGACCGCCCACCCAAACAGGACAATCACGCCCAGTCACACGCGCAAAGTCTACATCGTCGACCTGTACTCGCTTCACCGTGCAGTAATGTCGTAATGCTCGAGCATGGATCGCCTTAAACCTCTTATGCTTCCAAAAGCCTTGGAGCAGCAGCGAAGCCTCTTTGCAGACTTCCAGCGGCGAGACCATGAAGCAGAAGAAGGCCGGAACGCATTATTCGAAGAGACTGCAAATCGGTTCCCCTCCTCGGAGTCATCCAATCCCACACTCTGCTCCACACCATTCCGCCTTCCGATCTCTTCTGCGCTACCTTGTCTCACAAATGTAGCGGCGTCTCCTAGGAGCTCGAAAGCGATCCGTCCAAACTCTTTCTTCGCAGACGATGACTTCTCAGACTTGTCGAACCTCCGCTCGAAGCGGTGGTCGGAGGCAACATTCACGTCAAATTATGATCTATCATTCAAACCTGGCGAGTTCATAGCCTCCACGCCTAAGTCTGTGCCAGCTGACACGAAGAGAATCGATCGCCGTGCTATGCAATTTAACAACTCTGCAGGTATCCGGTCCGTGGTCAAAGCTACAGACCTTGTGTCTAGGAGGAGTCCGCAAGCATCTCCTCTTCTCGAGAAATCTCAAGACACATCGGGCTCCCCTCCCTTGAAGATCAACTACGGGCAATTGTTCACAGCTCTTTGCATCACCGATCCTACGGCTCTCAGCCACCCCATGAAACTCACCACGTCCTCATACAAACTCTCTCACCTCGGACTGCTGCAACTGGGTACGAGCGGAGTCATGTCTGGGGCACAGCCAGGCGAGCAAGAGACGTGGGACATCTCACAAGAACTAGGACTAGACGGCCGCCCGAAATTCCTCCTCGAATGGCGAGGGACGCTGACAAGTTTCATTCCAGGACGAGGCAAGATGTACCTCGCAAGCCAGATCGACATCACATCCGTCCTGCGCGGCATGGCAGCATACGATCTCAACAACACCCATCAAGCCGAGTTTGCAGATGGTACTAGCCGTCATTCCCTGCCGGAGCCGGACCCAAACAGCACCGCCATGGCCGCCTTCGTCGAGATGTTCACCGACGTCAAGATGCAATTCAAGCGATACTTTGTCGTCCAGCAGAAGCCCCGCTCACGCATCCCGCTGCCCTCACCCGGCACAACAGCTGGATTCCGCCTCCCTGCCTCGCCGCGAGGCAGAGGCCCTGCATCCCCGCGATCCCCCCATCTGCCTCGCCCGCCGTCGTCGCCGCGACCCTATGCGAAGCTGACAGACTACGCCATCATCTTCGCCTCGCCGGAGATACACGCGCGAGGAGAAGACGCGACGTTCAACTTCATGCATTGCCCGAGAAGCGTGCTGGACGCTCTGGAGAGACATCTGGGTGGGACTCGATCGTTCGAGCTACCTGTCAAGTGGGGACTGTCGCGGCAGCTGCTGTGGTTGGTGGGCGTGCAGGTGTCTGACGGGACGGCGAGGTGGTGGGTGTGTTTCCTGTTGGACTGGGATGATGAGATCTTCTGATGTGCTTCTCTTTCTAGCATCTGGAGGAGCTTTGTTTGAAAAGAAAAGATAGAATTTGGCATTGGGGAGGAGGAACAAGGGGCATGTATGGTGTTTGCTATATTAGATTGGCATACCTTTTTTGGGGTGCTTTTTTTTTACTATTAAAAGAATGCGAATCTCGGAAAGGGGGGCGCAGAGAGCGGCTTTTAATGTCTAACTAAACCTTCATGACCAAGTGGAGACAAGATCATACCAACTAATGCACGCACGTGGAACTGGGAGCTAGAATCTGAGGCAAATAATAACAAAGAGCGGAATTTCCGATGTCACAGATTCTAGCCGCGTGCCCTTTTTAACCTATTTCTATACTATTTTCTCTGTAGGCTAAAATGCATCATGCATCATGCATCATGCTTCAAAACAAAAGTGGGGGGCACTTTCTCCAGGCTAAAGAAAGGAAGAGAAGGGATAACCCCACCGGAAGAGGGCAAGTGAGGTATTTCTCCATGGGTCATGAAATCCATCGCGGGGTAGCTCCGCAACTTGACTCGGGCGCACAACGCGTCACCCGGCCCGTCCGCGGAATTTGTGTGTGTCAACGTGAACAGGAAATTTCTTCTTCTTTGCCTTCTCTTTCGCGTCCCAAGACCTAGACCGCCATTTCTCTATTTTTATATTAAAAGAGAGACGGGATACCTAGCTTGAGAGGTACAAATTACATCTCGAAGGTCCTGCTATCCGTCCTTGATCCGGAGCTCCGTTTACGTTCACACAGATTGACATTGGAAGCTATAAAGAAGCTATGGCTGCGAGCAATGGAGGAACCGGGCGGGAGTTGAATCAAGATGTAAGTTTGTGCAGACATGAACACAGCATGATTGCCTTCGAGTTTGCTAATGCCAGAAGCAGAATCCATCGTTCATGCTTGAAGCTCCAGGCAAGCTCAAGTACGAAGACAGGCCCATCCCGGAGCTTGCAGAAGAGCATGATGTGATCATCGAGCCCAAATGGACTGGAATCTGTGGTAGCGATGTGAGTCCTGTTCCTAGCCAGGCACTGTCCATCTATCCAGATGCGTCGAGCAAACCAACAAGACTGTTTTGTACAATTGCTGACGTTGCCCCCTTGGATAGGTCCACTACTGGGTCCACGGCGCGATTGGAAGCTTTGTGGTCGAATCACCCATGGTCCTAGGCCACGAGTCCGCCGGAGTAGTCACCAAGATCGGATCGAAAGTGTCGACACTCAAGGTCGGCGATCGCGTGGCCATGGAACCTGGCGTGCCCTGTCGGAGATGCGCGCGCTGCAAAGAGGGCTACTACAATCTCTGCCTCGACATGAAGTTTGCCGCGACTCCGCCCTATCACGGAACATTGGCGCGATACTACGTCCTGCCGGAAGACTTCTGCTACAAACTCCCCGAGAACATGAGCATGGAAGAGGGCGCGCTGGTCGAGCCGTCGGCGGTGGCGGTACATATCTGTCGACAGGCAAGCATCAAGCCTGGACAATCGGTTGTGATCTTTGGCGCTGGACCAGTTGGTTTGCTCTGCTGCGGCGTTGCCAAAGCGTTTGGTGCGACCAAGATCATCACCGTGGACATCAACCAGGAGAGGCTGCAGTTTGCACTCCGATATGCCGCTACACACTCGTTTGTCAGCCAGAGAGTAAGCGCAGAAGAGAACGCGGCGAGGATGATCAAGGAGTGCGAGCTCGGCGTAGGAGCCGACGTCGCGATTGACGCGACTGGAGCCGAGCCGTGTATCCAGACGGGCATGCAATGCCTCAGAACCGGGGGCACCTACGTGCAGGTAAGCGAGATATCTAGCGAATTATGCAACACATGCCATCAATCCATCAACAAGGCTGACAAGAAATCTGTCCACAGGGCGGCATGGGCAAATCCGACATGACTCTCCCGATCATGGTGCTCGCGCAACGAGAGATCAACTTCAAGGGCAGCTTCCGGTACAGCAGCGGCGACTACAAGCTCGCGACAGATCTGATTGCCAGCGGCAAGCTCGACGCAAAGGCACTGATAACGGGCAAGGTCAAGTTCACCGAGGCGGAACAGGCGTTTGCGGACGTCAAGGCGGGCAAGGGCATCAAGATGCTGATTGAAGGACCGGAATAATAATAAAATGGATGATCCCCAAGAAGAGGGCCAGGAAGGAAGTTGGGGTGACGGGGTGCAGTTTACAAACCTATGATTGCCAAGTCGTCGGAGCGGGTTCCATTCCGCAAAGGGATAAAGGTCGGCTTATTCGGGAAGGGCATATCGACTTGGATAAGTCGGCAGGCAGACACTGCTTGGATTTGTAGTAATATAGAGAGAGATAGGTACGCTTAGCAAGCACGATATGAAACATTAGCGAGCAGGCTTAGGAAACCGACGGCCAAGAAAATTAAGAAACGAAACGAAGCTTATGCATGGGACGAAGAAAACATGTACGATGCATGTAGGTAGGTATATTCGAACGGACTAATTTATGTTTCATGCATACATGTATGTACATGTGCTCGTCTCCACGCCTGCGGAAGCGAGATTGAAGTGAAGCTGGAGCAAAACATCACGTACTGTATACTCATTAAAATATACGAAAGTTCAGTCGTTAAGAGACATCACCTTATGCCCACTAAATTATCATCACACCCGTCTCACACCTAGCCTCTCGCTACTACGACTGCGACGTTTTGGGTATTCATGGGATCCCCATGATAGGGACAAGTAGCCAGGCCCACCAGGGTCCAGGGCACGGCTAGGTAGGTAGGGATAATTAGTGCAGGGATCAAGGGTCAAGGCCGGCCGAGGCGTCTTGGCGAGATAGCAAGATGCCCACGGACGTCAAAATTACCTGGCCTTCTGGCTCTCTCTGAGGTCCTTGTAAGAATGCATACATGCATACATGCTATCAATTCAAGAAGCTCTCTATTTTTAATATGGAATTGGGAATGCAAGCCGTCGTCACCACATTTTAGTATTCTCACGTGTAGTGCAGCGCTGGATTATAGCTTCAGAAACAGGGCCAAAGAAGGAAGAAGAAGAAGAAGAAAGGAGAATAGCGACGTTGTAGTTGGTGCACGGCAAGGTATCGCGATACCTGCGGCCGTCGGTCGGTGTAATTCCACGGCTCTGCCGCGCCGGGCCTTTTTTTCTTTGAATGTTGCGTGGAGTGGGAGAGTGGGAGTGGTATGGGACCTGCGGCGCAGTTTCGGCGATGGCGAGCGGTTTGTGTGTGTGTTCTCCGCTGGTGCATGGCATGGCATGCATGCATGCATTAAATGACAGGTTTTCTCATATTTGTTCTTGAAAACATTGATTGCTGCTGCTGCTGCTGCTGCTCCTCATACCGACAAGACGGGTTTGCCATCCATCAATCCATCAGTCCATCATGTTTGAGTCGTGGATGGCGAGTAGTGTAATCAAGTACTGAGTCGTGCGTCGCGATAAGAGCGGACCGCTAATGTTCAATGGCTGATGAGGCTGACGCTTGACTGCTGACGAGCACCGGGGAATGGTAACTTAGCTAGGCTAGGGCGGGCATTAGCAAGTTGATTGACAGTCTTCTAGAAGGCCGTTCTCGGGTTGTGGGCTACATACATGCACATGTACATACATGCATGGCTAAGAGTTTGTGTCTGGGCCAATTGTGTGGTGTGTTGGTGTATCTGTCCGCGCAGTTTGTGGCTGCTCCTCTTGGGCAGCGGGGCCAGTAGAGAGAGATAGGCGAGAGGGTTCTGGATTGGCTGGAACAGCAGGATTGGTAGGTAGGATTGGTAGAATGGACTGGTAGGATTGCAGGAGGCGCGGGACGGGTCTGGGGACAGGGACGGCGGTGACAATTGGTTGTTATGAAGGGAGAGTGATGTGAGTGTGATATGTTAACTGGATTGTGACAAGAGTCGTTTAGTGGGCGGAGATGGCCGATAAGCCTGGGCGGGACAAGCGGGCAAACCAGTCCAGTCCAGGAAGCTGTTTAAGCTGCTGCTTCAGCCAAACTCAAGCCGCCGCCGCCCCCGTCAGTAACGCACAGCGCCACACACAAGCTGGAGAGACAGACAGACAAGAGAGATAGCAGCGACACAACCACCACACACACGACTCCACCATACCACCATCACCGAGCTTTATAATGGGCCGTGTGCTCCAATTGCCCATCTTTGTTGCGCAGTGAACTTCTTCCTCCCTCCCTCCCTCTCACTCCTCACTTCCCACCCGCGGAGTATAATCTTGGGACCCCTCCCCAAACTGAAAGGCTTGTTTTCCTCCGCCAGCAGCCATGTCGGATCTACCTGCCGCCCACAATGCCTCGCCGCAGGTCGGCGTCGTGCCCAACAACGACCCGGCTCTGAATCCCGCAAACGAGCACAACCACACTCACCTCCACCACAGCGATCGTGTTGCCAATGCGAACAGCAATGTCACCTACAGCAAGGGCACCACCGACGAGCCGTCAATTATCCCTCACCAGGACCACATGGACAACAACCTGCATCGTCGCGGTCACCCGGAGCGATCGCTCAAGGGAGACATTGAGAAGGGTGGCGAGCTGAACTACGATGATGCTGAGAGGAGCAGCGCCTCGCGCTCTGGCGATATTGTAGAGGAAAAGGAACACGACGGCAAATTCTCGAATCTCTACAGGAGGTTCAGGCCATACATCCGTAAGTCGAAACGCAGACGAGCGTGTCACCACCATTGCTGACATTCTTTGCCTCCCAGACGGATTCATCTTCCTCCTCTTCACCGCATGGTGGATTGTTGGACTCGCTCTCCACCGCCATGACAAGAACTGGATCAAGCCGTTTCTGTTCTGGCTCGCCATCTCGCTCCGAATCATCACCCTCTACGTCCCGCTCGCGCCGTTCGTCATGAAGGTGCTCGCCTTCGCCTGGAACAACACTGCTGTCCGTATTAAGGATGTCGTTCCAGAGAAGATGCGCACACCTGCTGCTGCTGTGCTCGTTGTCGCCGTCTTCCTGGTTGGCTCCTTTGCTTCCGACGAAAGCGCCGACAACACTCGCGCGAACCGCGCCGTCAGTTTGTTTGGTCTCGTCGTCTTTATTGCTCTCCTGACCGCCACCTCTCGCAACTACAAGAAGATTGTGTGGCACACAGTCATTGTTGGTTTCTTGGTGCAATTCATCGTGGCTCTTTTTGTGCTCCGCACAAAGGCCGGTTACGACATCTTTGCCTTCGTCTCTGAGCTTGCCCGCGATTTGCTTGGTTTTGCTGGCCGCGGTGTGGCTTTCTTGACGGAGCAGAATGTCGTCGACACCATCCACTGGTTCTTGATCTCCGTTCTCCCGGCCATCATCTTCTTCGTCGCCCTCGTTCAGCTTCTGTACTACTGGGGCACGCTGCAGTGGTTCATTGGCAAGTTTGCCGTCTTCTTCTTCTGGAGCATGCGTGTGTCCGGTGCCGAGGCTGTCGTTGCATCTGCCTCGCCCTTTATCGGGCAGGGTGAATCTGCCATGTTGATCAAGCCGTTTGTCGCCCATTTGACCAAGGGTGAACTGCACCAGGTCATGACTTCCGGTTTCGCCACCATCGCCGGATCTGTCTTGGTCGCATATATTTCAATGGGCATCAACCCGCAAGCCCTCATCAGCTCCTGTGTCATGTCCATTCCCGCTTCGCTCGCCATGTCCAAGCTTCGCTATCCCGAAGAAGAGGAGACTCTCACATCGGGCCGTGTAGTCATTCCCGACGACGACGACCACAAGGCCGCCAACTCGCTCCACGCATTCGCCAACGGCGCATGGCTCGGTCTTAAGATTGCTGGTATGATCCTGTCCACGCTACTCTGCATTATCGCGCTCGTCGGCCTCATCGACGGCCTGCTCACCTGGTGGGGCCGCTACCTCGATCTCCAGGGCGAATACGACCTCACCCTCGAGCTTATCCTCGGCTACGTATGCTACCCAATCGCCTTCCTGCTCGGCGTCTCGCGCGAGGGCGGCGACCTGCTCAACGTCGGCCGTCTGATCGGCCAGAAGATTGTCATCAACGAATTTGTCGCCTACACTGACCTGACCACCAACCCCCGCTACGCAAACCTGTCCCCTCGCTCGAACCTCATCGCCACATACGCCCTCTGTGGCTTCGGCAATATTGGCTCGCTTGGCACTCAGATTGGCGTGCTCTCGCAACTCGCCCCTGGTCGCTCCGGCGATGTCTCCCGCTTGGCTATCTCGGCGCTGATCACGGGTATTCTGTCGACGCTGTCGAGTGCTGGTATTGCGGGTATGCTCGTCACCGATCAGGCTGCGTTTACTACGCCTGGTGTGGCGGGCTAGGGGTTAAGATACCAATGTACTACAGACGTACTGGCGGCGTTGTTTGTTTTTATGCGTCTTTGTGTATGCATCTTGTGGTTGGTGGGCATGTGATTGTGGACGGCGATGGATGGGAATTTATTGGATAATAAGGGGGAGGAGAAGAAGAGGAGAGGGCGGCGTTTTATGTCGAAATGTCGCGGAATCATATATGATGCATGTATGGTTGAAATGGATACCCCCCCAAGCTCTGAAGCAAGTTGAAGCTATGCTTTTCTTTCAGCATCTTGGTCGCGTGCAGTGTTGTTCTGTGTATGCATGTATGTGTGCGTGTGAGTGTGTATGTGTGAATGAGTATGTGTTTTCTTGCTTGTGAATGTGAGATGTGTTTTGTTATGTGTTTCAGCTGGGTAAATAGTTCGTTCATAACGGGTATCTAATTACTAACTAGATCTAGGTATCGATATGTACATAATAATTAGGTCTAGTGTCTAGCTGGGCTGAAGTAGGCCTGGTATGATGGCTAGTCCCAGATAGGAAGGTAGGGTACGGTTGAGGTATGATGTAGTAAAGCCACACACCATACGCCACACGTCACAAGCTACAAGCCACAATCTACAAGGCACAAGCAACACGCCACAGGTATAAGCTATACACTACAAGCCACAAGCCACACATCACACACCACAAGCTATACACTCATATCAGCGAGATCTGTTCTACCCGGTGGATGTATCCATTCATCTCTATGCCTGGAATAGCAATAGCATTACGATATTGGTACACTTGCGCGCAGCTCTACTTTGTTCTTGGATCTTTCCTATGGCATGTACACCCGCCCGTCTCTATGTCTGTACCTCAGACAGACCGGCATCAGCATCGATATCAGCATCTCCATCTCCACCAGCCTCTCTCACTTCATCACCCTCATCGTCATCTCCATCGTCACCATTACCCTCACTCCCATCCTCACCACCACTCCCATCCTCACCACCACTCCCATCCTCACCACCACTCCCATCCTCACCACCCTCCCCCCGACAATACCCCGGCGCCTCCAACGGCCCATCCCTCCGCCCCTCAACCCAAACCTCAGCCAACTCCCTCTCAATCTCACTCCTGCGCAGCTTCCACTCCTCCACTTTAGCCAGCCGGTCACGCAGATCGTTGAGTTCCTTTTCGACAGAGGACTTCTCGCTCGCGGTGCCGATTTGTTGGAATTCCCATTCGTCGCCGTGGGGCCCGCTGCCGAGGGTGAGGGTGAAGGTGTGGTGGCGTTTGAGGGAGGCGCGGGTGGAGATTGTTATTAGGGCTGTTTTTTGTGTGTGTGTGGTTAGTTTGGGGGGAAGTTTGCATGATGGATGGGTGTGTACTTACTGATGCCCTTTGCCTTGGCGCGTTCGTAGAGCAGGCCCTCGACATCACTACTAACAGCGCTCGTGCCCTCGTCCAGAAAAGCGTAGCGCGGCTCGTGATAGAGCAGCCTGGCAATGCCCATACGCTGCTTCTCGCCGCCGCTAAGCACATCCTTCCAGTCCTTCCTGGTATCGTATCCGCCCTCGCGGTCGGGAAGGTAGCCCAGTTTGGCGTTCTCGAGGATCTGGCTGAGTTCGATGTCGCGGCGGCCAGAGTCCCGCATGTCGAGCTCGGTGTGCGGGTATATGACCTGGTCGCGGAGGGTGCCGGTGCTGAGGTAGGGCCGCTGTGGGAGGAACATGACGCCGTCCATGCCGGGGAGACGGGGCCGGCTGACGAGGCCGCGGTAGGTAGGCCAGAGCCCGGCAACGACGCGGGCGACTGCGCTTTTGCCGACGCCGTTGGGTCCGGTGATGAGCAGGTGCTCGCCGGAGTGGACGATGAAGGATAGGGATTCGATGAGCTCTTCGCCGCCGTGGGGGAACAGGCCTGGGCCTACGATTGGCACGTGTTCTAGACGGATGCCGTCGAAGCCTTTGTGGACTGTGCCTTGGACGTCGCAGAGCGAGTAGAGGTCGGGTCGTTGGCCTGCTGGTGGGAAGTAGGCGTCGGCGTGGACGCGATGGAGCGTGCTGATGAGTGTGTATACTCGAGAGGTGTAGCCGGCGAGCTCGGACAGGTCTTTGATGGAGTACATCATACGGCCGCCCGCATCGGCCAATGAGAGCATGAGGCGTTTGTTCGTGATGAATTCCTTCATTCGCCCGTTCTCGCGAGAGCCAGGTTTGCCAGCATCCAGCAACTCTGTAGCTCCGCCAAGACCACCCCATGCAGGCAAGAAGACAGGTAACGAGGTGATGAGATAACCGAATGCCGACCAGGAGTACTTCAGCACAAAGTCTTCGAGCATGTTGTATCGGATCTTCAGACTGTAGATGCCTTCCATCCAGTGTTTTAGTTGCTTGAACTCTTTCTCGAGGAACATCTTCTCCATTTGATCACCACCGTAAAATGCCACCTCTTCAGCATTCATAATCAGCCTCGAATGCAACGCGCGGAAATCTCCCTCTCGCTTGCCTTCAACGGCCTTCAGCTTCCCGAATGGAGGTGATAATTTCCTCAGCAGCGTCGCTGTCAAGAAATAGTTGGACAGTAACCCTGTAAAAGCGATTGGCCCTAGTGACCTCCAGAGTTGATAGTTGAAGACACACAAGTCCACGAATGGCTTGCCGAGCGACGAGTACAGCGATGCAGCTGAAGCACAGAACAACGTAAGGTCCTGCGTGATATACTGGTCGGCACCTTGCCCTATCCCACCATCCAGGTTCGACAGCTTGTAGTAGCTGAGGTTGCTGTTCAGATACAAGTCGTGGATATATCTCGTCAACCTGGTCCGGAAGGCGATGGACACCTTACTCTGCAAGAACTTGATCATGGCATTCGTGTATGAAGCCAAGCTTCCTATTCCACACCACTTCGTGATCCCCCACAGGAAGGCCCGCCCATTTCCTGCGACAAGATCACGCACAATCTCACCATCCAGCCGTGCCACAACCAACGAGAGATACGTCCTCAGCATAAGGAACACTCCATGACTGAGCAGCAGACCAGTCTCTTTGCTGTTCCACCTTGGAATCATTATATTCAACAAGCTCAGGAACTGGTGAAGGAAGGCCAGGTTCAAGCCAGGCTTGGTCTGCGGCGGCGGCACTTGCGGTGTATACCCATTGCCCAAACCCGCCGCTCTCGGCGGTTCCAGGAACAACCTGCGATGCGCATCAAACGTGGTCGGTTTCGTCGGGTATATGGTGACCTTGGACGTCGAGTTCCGATACGGCACATATATGATTCTGGTCCCGTCCTTCATACGCAAGCCGGAGTTGCGTCGGAGCAGTCGTCGACCCGTCTCTTTCTCGGCGCGCCGCTGCGACCACCATCGTTGCGTTCCATAGCCAGCACCTATTATTGAGAACAGTAGGGAGACTGTTGCGAGAAGTTTTGTGAGGCGTGAGCTACGGGCGAAGCGTGAGCGGATGAGGGTGATGTAGCGTGTGTAGAGTACGTGGAGCGGGTCTTCCTTAGATTGGGCGGCCATGTTTACGCATGGTGCGGTGGGCAGACAGTATGAAGACGAATCCAAAAGCTACAACATGTAGTAAAATCTATAACTACCAGTGCATACTGACATGGTGAACGGAGACTGTGAAGTCAGATCGCTTTAGCTCGCATTCGCGCATGTGAACCAAAGCCGCGGCATGTGAAGGTGTTCTGATTCGCTCGTCAGCCTGCACCCTGGCTTACCCTCCTAGTCACGATCTAAGATCGATTGCGTATAGTGTCGTACTATTACTTTCCACGGGGAAAAGCTCTAGAATGAAATAGACTTTATAGGTCTGATATTCTGGGTGAGAAAATGTACGGAAAGACGATATCACGTGCCCACACTAAAACGGCTGAAACTCTACTGCCAACAACGCTTTTCTTTGCTCACCTCATCTTGTTGACCATCACATCTTGCTGCAACAAACTCACATCATTATGCCCAGAAAGAAGAAGACCAAAGCCCCTGCCAGATCTGTGCGACAACCATCATGTAGCAGGCTTTTGCAGGTTCCTCGCGAGATCAGAGACAATATCTATTCTTGGGTGTTCACCTCTACACGGCTGACCTATGGAGAGGATCCTGATGACCCTCGTAGTATCAAGCGAGCAAAAAAGAAAAGCCGACTTCATTCCCTCTCGCTGTTATACACCTGCCAACAGGTCCACCGTGAAATTGGTTCACAGTGGATTGGCTGGGTCCTCTTCAACTTCCAAACAGGAGAGGCGCTGCTGGATATACTCACTGAGTTCCCGGAGCAAAGAGTCGCAGCAATTCGTCACTTACGCGTCAACAGTCGCCCGGTCATGCTTTCACTGCCACATGACGACGTCTACTACAGGCTTGCTTGGATCCTAAAGTTGGTGCCACAACTCAGACTGGACACCCTCACTGTCATCGGTGGTGATGCGGGCATGCTCAAGGGACCCTCAGGCATGGTGGATTACCAAATCCTTGACGAGCTGGTATCGTGTGGTTCTGGATGGAAGGAATTGCATTATATCACGCCCACCTCATCTATCCTTAGCTTCGCCAAGACCACGCAATTTGGGAAGACATACATCCGCAAACCGCAGCCCGAAGTATGGCAGTCGACCCTGACAAATCGAGATGGGCCCAATTCAGGGGCCACGGTAACGATTTTCCGATCTCAGTCACGCATCAGAGAATCAGTACGCCAACCCGGTGCAAGGGAGCTCTACCAGTCGATTGTACCGCCAGAGGAATATACAGATTTTGGCGAAGTAGAGGACACTTTTCTGTGCAAAGACGATCAGGACGCCAGAGCCGTACTTGTAGTTGTCAAACGGGGTCGAAATACCAACGTCGTGCAGGAAAACGGGGAGCCACCTTACGATGAGAATTATGACTTGAGGGCATTGGTCACGGACGAATACCCGACATGGACCAGTATTAGAAGTGGCTACACCGAAGGCGCAAGCGATTATGACGAATATAACGACTATGGTTATCATGATGACGACGATGATGATGACGATGACTACATCGGTAGTTCATATCCTTCAGTGAACAACAAGCATCGGGATGCGTATGGCAATGACGCCTACCAGATGAAAGATGTCAACATGCTCGACCTTGATTCAGACTCTTGGACGCATGCAGACCAGAACCGGCCCGAGCCGTGGACGGAAGAGAAAGCTCGTGCGACATTCGAAAGAATGTTTCGAAACTTCAACTGATCATATTATACGGGGAGGATAGTGCAATGCGCAACTTGTCGACCGGAAGTCGAGGATTACCCACTACATACGCTGTTCGACAATTCCATACGTCTAGGTATGGTGTGTTCTAGCATGATGCGGATGCTCGGTTCACTGTGATGTTGCAGATCTGTACTCATCAATATATTTAAAAAAAATGGCTACTCGGAACATGTAGACGCTCATATATGGAAAGACCAAAAACACGATGTCAACATAGCCCACGAGCTGAAATTTTATGACTTTGTTCACTATTCACTCAATCCTCACCTTTCACACCTCCCTAGTATTCAATCTCTGCACCCTCCCATCCCCACTGACAACATACAGCAAGTTCTGCCTCCTTCCTCTTCCAAAAGCCACACTCGTCGGTCCAATATCTCCTTTGTCTCCAGTCTCTGCCACAACTTCGCTAACCCACCCGTCTCTCCCCTTCCCCACTTTCACCACCGTGTTGGGATGACTCGCAATCCAAAACACCCCTTTTCCATCCGTAGCAAAATCATCCCAAACACTCATAGGGCCAACCTCGAACCCCACCAACTTCTCAACATCCCCTCGCGCCGTACCGTTGGCGTGAATAGCCACACGCCCAAAGAAACCGCCAAAAGAATTCACGAAATATGCATACGAGCCGGAAACATGGATACCATTAACGCCAAGCCTGTCCCCAGCAGCCAGACATGCGCTTGAAATCGCAACCTCGTACGTCCCTCGCCGCATATCAACCGCATACACAACGCCGCCGTAGCTCTCTGCAACCAGCACCCTGCCCTTTTGCCCGGGTACAGCCGTGATGCCATTCAACGCCCTGGCCTCCGGTACTCGCACCACCATCCGCGTCTCGGCACCTATCTTGTCTCCGCCTCCGCTTCTCGAAAGATCCACCCTCCAGATTTCTAGTCCCGTGGCGCGCTGCGCACTAACATTCCATGTCCCTACCGCCACAGCGAACATGTCAGGTGCATATTCTGCGATTCCCGTTACGCCGTTCAGGGGCGGTGGAAATGTAGCTAGAACGAAAGGCGCGACGTGTGGCGTTTCGGGGTTGTATGTGTATATTGTAGCTGAGGAGAGCGTTGTGAGGAGGAGGGAGTTGTCGGCGCGGACGGCGATGTTTTCGAGGAATGTTGGGCCGGTGGCACTGGTTGGGAAGGTGTATAGTGTCTCTGGTGTTTGGAGGGGTTTGGATATAACTGTGGGGAGGAGTAGTGTGAGGAGAGCGATGAGGGTGGGGAATGCGAATGGCATCGTGGATTGGATAGGTTGATGCTTGGGCGTGGAATCTGCGTGGTGCGTTTTGCGGTGGTGTAGGTCCGGAGGGGGGGTGCTCGTATGTACTTGCTTGCACTGCCGGGCTCCGAAGCTCCTAATATCCGGAGGCTCGCTTCGGATCTGTTCCGACACCGGTATTAAATGTATAATACGAAGACTGGATGGAAAGACAATCACGGATGTAGCGGAGCAAGATATGGCGGCGGAGAGTATGAGTCATCCGATAATCCGATAAGACTTACTCGGCATACATATCCCTGGAGCAAAAGTATATCTCCAATTATGGCTGACGACAGACTGTATAGAGTTGTACGGGATCGTTCATGCACACTCTTTCATTAGAGATTTCTCTACCCTATAGCGAGCCTATTTGGGAGCTGCATCTCGGATGTCTAAATTCTGATTGTAACTTTGTAAGCACAGCGTTGGGTGAGCGGGAAAGTCAAAAGATTAGCCACAGGAACAGAAACTAACTTAGTGGACTGCTAACGAGATGGAGTTGTAATACCATATCTAGATTTGCTGTGCTAGTTTGACTTTGGTCACGCAGTGTTCAGCACGGTACTCTTGCTTCTGAAACTATATATGCCTACTTTCCCCGTGATGTGGCTTGCCACTTCATCTAGAATCCGCATTCGCTCTCACAATACCCTCAAGCAGACGTACTCTTCTGCTTCTCCCACAGCTTCGTCATTTCAGCGTCGTCGTTGAAGTCAATCACAATCCTGCCCGCAACCTTTCCCTCTCTCAGCTTGTCAACTGCTTCTGGCATGCGATGCAATGGCCACACTTCGCAGATTTGCTTCAGACTCCCTCTTCGCGCAAAGTCAAGTGCCATATGTGTGTCGTGCAGATCGCCGACTAGGCTGCCCTTGATCTGAAGGCCTTGGAAAACGTATTTCAGCGGATCAGCGCCCAGCGAGGTGCCCTCCGGAGCTGGAACTCGTCGTTAGCAGACCCATTCAGGGGTAAGAACATTATACACACGTAGTCCAATGCATACAACAACTGCACCAGGCCTCATGCCCGTAAACGCAACCGCCTGCTTATAACTCGGTACTGCCGTGACGAACACGCCGTGTGCTCCAATTCCATCACACGCCTCGACAACTGCTTTCGGCACATCCTCAACTTCTCTAAAGTCCACAAACGCTTCAGCACCCATCTCCAGAGCTAACTTCTTTTTGTCGGCCCCGCTGTCTGTGACGACAGGCCGGAAGCCCATGGCCTTAGCAAGTTGCACTCCTTGAATGCCCACACCACCTCCACCTCCAGGAAAGCAGGCAAAATCACCAGCCTTAAGTCCGGAATTCGCAAGCGCACGGTACATGGTGGACGCAGAGCACATGACCGGCCCAGCAACATAGTCCGAGACGCCGGACGGGATGCGATTGAGATACTTCGCCGGCGCGAGGATGAACTGCTGGTATGTACCTGTAGAATTGCACGTCAGCGCTCACTCACGCACATGTTACGTATCCTCGTGTTTGCCCAACACGGCCTCCCATTCCTCGTCTTTTGCAATTTGGAATAAGACTGCTTAGGCACGCACCAGTGACAAACAAGCCGGCCTGCACCGCACCCGCGCAATGCGGGCCCATGCCACTAAAGCACAAATTGCAACTCCCACACGTATCCCACAGTGGCTTCATGCCCGCGCGATCGCCGATGCTCCAGCCCTTGACTGCCTCGCCGACTTTGACTACATACCCGGCGCCCTCATGGCCCGGCGAGCGCACGCCAAAGTCCTTCATGCACGGCAGACCCATTCCCAGGTCGTTCAGCATGTAGTGCAGGTCCGAGTAGCATAGACCCGTGGCGTTGAGCCGGAGCAAGACCTGATCTGGCGCTGGGGAGGGGACCGGGACCTTTTCGACTTTGAGCACGAAGTCGGCGCCTGGATTGTCAACGACGCCGGCCCAGCATTCGGTGGGGACGGTTAAATCTTGGGCTGGGGCGCTGGGAGGTGCGTTTGTTGTCATGCTTGTGGTGTTATAGAGTTATGGCAAGATGGTGAGAGGGGGAGATGTGAGAGGAAGAGAAGATGCAAACTACGTGGACGAAGGAGTCACAAGAGGTATATGGTGGTCTCTCGTGCCTACTTTGATAGCATAGAGCTTACCCATGCTTCCTCTACCTCGGAGTGGAGCTGCGAAATGAGGGGCCCCAGAACGCGGGGAACGGAGGGATGCAACCAGGGCAGGTATCATGTTTGGGAACGAGTGGGCCGGATGAAGCCACAGAGTCACAAACGAATGAGAAGACGTATGAAAACATGACAAGCCAATTGTGTAGCTTCGCACAGGGTCTGACGACATATTGAAGGGAATACGTACCAGAACGCTCCACACTACCCCGCTTACGTAAAGAGATATCACCATATAGTCTTATGCTCGATGAGGCAGATTTCGGAGACTGGTAGAGAGAATAGATCTCTTGACATTTGAAAATGTGACAAGATAATGCTGAAACAATGAGAAATAAACTCGACAATAATCTGGATGTCTTATTCTCGCTTCGAAAGGTGCTTCAGAAGCTCATTGCATAGGATGGTGGGGGAGTCTGCGTTCCCCTCTTGTTCAACCTTGATAACTACAGGGATGATATATAACGTCTGATACTGCGCATCTCTCATGAGCTTCCCGTGTCCATGACTTCCCAAAGCCTGTTCTAACCGCGTCTGCTAATACGTTTCTCGAGTAGACGTATCTACGATGAATTCCCAATTGGGTTCATCTCCAAACGGACAAATTTCACTTCCGAGCCTTCTTGACAACTTGTTGTCGGCAGTAGAAATAGAACAAATCAAGCAACAGTTCGATCTCGAGTGCCGCATAGACTCCCAGGTGCTATGGAGTGGTGTAACACGTGAAGTAGCCCAAGCATGGGCAGACAAAAGGAACTTGCAGACTCTAACGACAGCGATGGGATCGTTGATGGATGTTAAACACTCGTCCTGCCTCAAGCAAGTTAAGACACCAAAACAATGGAGTCTCTATATAAAAGGTGCTTCGGCTCTTTTCGCGTCTCACATAGCACGCCGAAGCTCGAAAGTTACGGTCCTCTTACCGCCTCCTCCAGAAATGCTGAATCCGACCGGCCATACAAACTACCAACTTGTTGAGGAACCCATTATCAAGGGTTTGATTGGTGGGTACTCTGTCGGATGTATTGAGCTGGTCCATCCGATGGTTAAAGGAGCTGAAGAGTTCAGATATGAAACCTGGCCAATCAATAGAGAGGATTGCTGGAGCAGAAGGTTCCCACTTACGATGGCATACCGGATTTCTTGGAGACCGGTCAAAATGACATCGGAGATACGAAAGATTGTGGCCATTATCACTGTTGCCAAAGAGGCCAGTTTTCACTCTGATCATATTCCAAGCCCCTCGTACCAGGAGCAGTCTTCTGTGGAAAGCATCTCTGGTATCATTCTAGAGGTGAGTGCAACCTTGGGCTGGCAATTGAGTGTATTCATAAGCTACAGGAGATGAAGCTAGCAGTCTCTCAACCTCAGGATACAGATCAAGGATTGAAGGCGAACACCAGGGATCTTAAAGCGCAAAGGAAGAGAGCCAATGAGAAAATGGCACAGGAGGCAAGAAGGGCGAAGGCTTTGAGGAAGAAAGCTCAAGAAAAGATGGATGAGAAGGCAAGAGAAGCGAAATTGGAAAGTAAAAAAGCTCAGGAAAAGATTGTGATGAAGGCCAAGGAAGCAAAATTAGAAAAGAAGAGAGCACACGAAGAGATGGAGAAGAGGGCCAGAGAAGCGAAATTAGAAAGAAAGAGAGCACACGAAGAGATGGTGAAGAAGGCCAGAGAAGTGAAATTGAAAAAAAAGAGAGCACACGAGAAGATGGAGAAGAGGGCCAGAGAAGTGAAACTGCAGAACAGGGAAGCCTATGAGAAAATGATGCACGAAAGGATAGAGACACTAAGCAGTTATCTCGGTTGCTTTGGCATCAATTGAGAGACTAGCTATGACAGACGAGAATGCTCAGACTCGGGCCCTTCGGAAAGTATGGAGTCGAGAGTCTAACCCCTTATAATTGAATTCGGCTTCATTTTAACGCATGACTCCTCACATCCGAGGTGCCCAGGCTGCCCGCCTTCGACGTGACGACCTTATCGAACGTGAACATCGCTAAATGCTATCGTTGTGAGACCGAGATAGACAAAGATGCCAGCAGGAACCTATTGCTTTTCGGTCATTGGAAACAGGTCACAAGTCTCTCCTATCTTAGCTTTGGCATCCTCCACGACACTCGTAGGGTATACCGATCAGCAGCCCATTCTTTTGTACTTTTCATATGGATAGCGCGAAGCCATTGCCTAGGCACGGAAGCCACTGACAACGCACCACACACCTTTGATACGTGCCAGAATCTGATATGAAGGCTCTTTCAGAATTGCGGCGGTCTACTATATCAAATAATGATATCTTCCTTCGTTAAGACAATTGTAGTCTCACAGAGTAGTGAACTGTATGTTGTAATTTCATAGAAGCAAAGCTTTCTTCTCGCTTACCTAATTGCTGTCAAGAGCTAGTAGTCAATCCTAAGGAATGACAGCAGGGTGCGAACATAAGTATCGTTAGTATCTCGCTACATAAATTTGGATATCAGGGGATGGTTTAAACTGCCAGGCAGGTTTATTCGCCAAGTCAGAGCCCATTGGTCAATCTGTACAGCCTCCCATCATTGGATTCTCAAGGCACTACCGTGGACAACCTACGCACGCTCGTCTCCCTGCTAGTTGCATGAGAACCTAAGACCTCCATGTTTACCACAACGTCAGCACCGGGAACAAAAGCCCACAACTAAGCTGTTTCAGGTGCAGAAGCTTTGAGTGAGAGGCGGCTCGGCAGAAGTAACTTTTACGCTCCACGGATATGAAAATCTACCGATAATTGTGCGTGCTAGATACGATGGTGTCGCAACGTCTGTATGGCTGGAAAATGAAGTCTATTGACAAGAAGCCTCAGACTCCATCCTGAGGTCTAGTCATCTACGGCTCTGTTTCGTAATGTCGACACCTAATTTTTCCATTGCTGCGCAACCGAGTTGAGTGATGTCACAATGCTTCTCGCTAGTCACGGTCTCCCTGACTCCAAAAACGCCTCAAAGGGATCAGAAATTCCCAATCGTAATTGCCTGCTCTCAGACTCGTCATCGTCTCGGCCTTGACGCCAGCTGTCCGTTCCGTAGGCCCCTGGTGCCCCTTTCAGCATCTTTCTGGTCCACCGCCTCGTCATCTTCCGGACTCAACATCGTCCCCTTGAGCCCAATATACGATTTCTCCCGATCCGTACCTGAGCCAGCTGCCGCCTCAAAGTCCCGCACCGTGAATGTGATCATGCCATCCACTCTCTTCCCGTCTGCATCGACCCAGAACCCATCTCCCGCAGCCATCTTCCGTGCCGCGTTCTTCCCATCTCCCTGTGCGCTCGGTGGCGGCGTATGTGTCTGTAGCTCCGGCTCCGGTTCTGGCGTCCTGCCATCGTCGCCCCCGACCCATGTCCACTCGCGTGGCAGCCGCGCCGCGGGAATCGACACATTGAACAAATTGAAGCACAGCAGACTGAGGTGGCTTTGTGAATGTAGATTAACGGCACCCGTCAGGCGCACACCCTTGCGCGGCCGGAATATAAGAACGTCAGCGGTCACCCAAATCATACACACGGCATATTCGTCCACGGAACGGGCGAGCGCGGGAGAAGGAGCTGCATTGGAAGGAGCGGGCGGGGCGAGGGGACTCTCTGAGACACGGACGTTGTCGTAGGATAGAATGGTGCCGCGGAGAGGAGGATAATATGTGAGGAGAAGCGGCGAGAGGTGTTCTGCGCAGAGGCCTGTAACGGGATTGCGCATGGCGACGGGAGAGAGAGGAAGGTAGAGGGATATGGTTTGGAGGTGGAAAGGTGATTCAGATACATCGTCTTCTATTGCGGGCGCAGTGTTTTTGCTGCTGTGCTTGCTCTTGCGTTTCTTCGTGGGCGATCGGGCGGCGGTGTCTGCGTCTGCGTCTGCGTCCACAGCTTCTGAGCGTTCCTTTCTCTTCTTTGACTTCTTGTGCTCTTTTGATTTCTTGTCCTCTTTGGACCGCGGTTTTGACTTAAACATGTTTGATGTGTGAAGGCCAACAGACATGTCGCAATTGATATTGCGCAAGACATTGAGGTTCAGTCAGAAAAATTCTGGAGTTCGGGCGAGCGTCGGGGAAATCAAACGCCGACGCCCCGGCTTTTGGACCCTGCAACGACATATATGTGGCTTGAACTAATAATAATTCACTTGCTTCAAAGTTTCAACCTCGAACTGGAGTGCACACCGGCTACACAGACTGGCGATACTGTACATGCTACCCGCAATACTCTACTACCCAGACATGCGACACTACTTGGCATATTCTAGCTTCTAAATAAGAACTGTTCCCATAATGATCAAGTACTTACACATCATCCACGCGCAAAAGCAACCGGCGCCAAACTTATATACTCACTAACAATGTACAGCTTTCAATCCCTTGTCTTCTGGTGGTTTCTCCCGCGCGTCGTCAGCTACATTCAAAGCTTTCTCTATGCACTCCTCTACCGCGCCGGCTCCCGCAAGCCGACCCCGGGCAGCCAGCGATATGTCCAGCATAACCGCACAATACACATTTCTGTGCTCGCCATCTTCATGCTCTTCTCCATCTACCAAGCCGTATGGGATATGCAGCGGGAAGGCACTCTGTACGGTGCCCTCGACGTTTCCCCAACCGCCGATGACCGCGCCATAAACAGTCGCTTCCGTCGCATCACCGCCGTGATGCACCCGGACAAGATCGCAGACCCATCGCGCCGCGCCTTCGTCGAGACACAGTACGTGCTCCTTAAAGAATACCGCGACATACTCTCGGATACGGCGAAGCGCTACGCGTATGATCGCCTGGGCCCGGAGGTGCTGAAACTCGACCCGAAGCACTACCGCTCAGTGTGGGACTACGTGCAGTACGGCGGTATTCAGGCCATGCAGACGTATCTAGGCGGGCTGGCGTTTATGCTTCTGGCGCAGTACGTAGGGATCGCGCCGCGCAGAAATCGATTCTGGCAGTGTCTGGCGTTTATGTGTGTGTTTGCGCTGAACGTGCATGTCTTGACACATACTACCGTACCGGCGTTTATGCGGCATCTGAATGCTGTTCTGGCGGCGATAAAGGTGCGTCCGTTACTGCCGTATCAGTTCCTACGCGTTGTGTCGACGACGGCGGTGGCGGCATTTATTGCGTCGCAGCAGGCGGCCTCGATTCCACCGCTACCGTCGTCGCAGCGCCAAGTGGGGATCGTGGATGGCGATCAGACGGCGCATAACCACAAGCAGATCAACGAGATTGTCACGACGCAGACTAGCCTCAATATGGACGGGATGCGTCTGCTGCAGATGGAAACGGCGCCGTTCCAGGGCGATGAACGACAGATGAAAGAGCTGCAGGAGCGCATGTCGGATTGGATACTACAGAACGCCGTACGAGCGGATGCGAAAGTCCGGAATGCCGTCGGGCAGCAGATCATGAAGAGGCGTGAGGGGGCGCCGGCTGGTGCGCGGGGGACGACATGAAGGCTCGAGGTTCGAGGGAAGCTTTTGTATATCTGCATAGCGAGGCGCCATAGATGGGGTGGATATAGAATCGTTGCTCAGGATTGCCAAATTTGTATCAATAGTAGGTGATTTCAAGAACACATGGATTTGCTGAGCTGGAGCTTCAGAAGGGGCACTATTATCTACATCCATGCGAATCTTCCGGCACCGGCAATAACGACGTTGCCACACTTCCAATGTCACCGAATCTGTTCTACTAACACACCTCAGACGCTTCTCAAGCTGGTCCGTCAGCAGAATCCCTTCTCATACTACCACTCACTATCCACCATGAACGGGATCCTGGACATCGCGAGAGTCAAACCCTGAGGATTCAAAGTTCACCCCAACCACTCTCTCTTCTTTCCGAACAGTGAAATATGTATGGTGTGCATAGGCTACCATAGTGTACAATGTCTCAATCCATCGACCAATGTTGACATGCGGATATAGCAAGATCTCATCTGGCCTCTGACAACTCGACAGCTAATGTCACCACAGCGATGCGAACAGCGATGCCAATAGTTCATAGTCGAATTCACATTATGCAGTGCGTTATATAGTCCCTCGAACGCCTCATTCCTGCAGATACAATCTATATCATGTGATCTTCTCTCGCATCACATGATACCTCTTGGTAAACCTTAAATTGAAGGCAGAGAGCTTGACCGCCAAACATTTACGACCACTCCACGGCAGCAAACCAAGAATTTGAGACACTAATCTGAAGCATTCAGCCTTATCCCGTACTAACAGGGTACGTCAGGGGATCCGAAAGTGCTCCATCCCATCATTCCAGCAGAACAGTGTATGAGCTGCCATGTCTGCCTATCCGGTATATTCTCTAGACAATACAATTGGCAAGTTCTTTGCACAGACATCCGCAACACGCGAAGCATGCGACACCAAAGCTAGGGACCTAGTCGGGGGGACCATTGTCCCCATAGCCGTGCAAGGCAACTGTAGCTACTCGGTCTACGCCGGTGCCAAGTCCGAATTCGTGGTTCAGTTCCGTCTGAAATCTTTGATGCTCGACCTGGAGATTGCGGCTCTGGCGCGGAAGATATATGGTTCCTGGGCGCCGAGTGTTGCTTTCCATGGAGAGATGGGAGAGAAGGGTGAAAGAGAGCTCCTGAGCGTGTATGTTATGGATCGTGTACCGGGTGTGAGCTATCTGGATTTTATGCTTGTGAATGGCTTTCCTGAGAATTCGGATGAGAATTTCATGCGGCGGAAGATACTTATGGTGGATGTGGCGCGGTATAGTTCATTTTTCGTGTTGTCTTATTTTTCAAACATGAAGATGCCTCTACATATCTGACCAGATAGCGCTGACTTACTACCAGCTTTTTCGCCCTCTCCTGGAAATCTCCCCAAGAAGTTACCTCAACCTATCGCGAGGATCTACGCCGAACGTACACCGAAGATCTACAGCTATTACTCGACAACCTCCCCCACCGCTTCCACCAGATCATACATGACTGCCTCCAGTTCCTCGACTCCATCCTCTCCCTCCCCATGGTCCTCCACCACCACGACTTCAGCACCTGCAACATCATAGTCGACGCACAAACCAGCCGCCTAACCGGCGTCATCGACTGGGCCGAAGCCGAAATCTGCCCCTTTGGCCAGAACCTGCACTCCCTCCAAGCCATCACAGGCACGCTGCACCTGCGCAACGGCTGGCGGCGCTACGACGGCTACGAGGCGCTGCAGCACGCCTTCTGGAGCACGTTTCGGGCGGAGGTAGGGCATTTGTCTGGTGAAACCGTGAGGGCGATCGAGATGGCGCGGATTCTGGGCTTGTTGCGCGTGAGGGGGTTCACCCTGCGGCTGGCGAATATGGCGCCGACTGTGCCGATTCGGGATGATGAGGCGGGGAGGTATAATATGCTGTCTTTGGATGGGTTTTTAGTTGATTCGGAGACGAGGTTTGATGGGCTGGGGTAGTTGAGGCAGGTGTTGTGATGATCAGGGCAGGAATCGGGTGTGGGATGGGATGGGCTTTGTCCTTTGGATACTGCGGTGGCTATTGTTAGACACACTATAACGCAGCTGAAGTGTGGAGTGAAGCGAGGGCATGGTATGTGTATATCCATCGATCTATCCACTACCACGCAACATAATAACTGCCATCACGCGCAAGCAGACCAAAGTATAAGGCAGAGACATGCCTAAGTGGCCCTCTAGCTAGTAAAAGCAGTCAAAGGCAGTCAGAAAGCTTTACTAAGTTCACACCAAGATCCAATGCCTCAGATTGTGACGCACACCGCGCATCGAACACAGAAGATGCACGTATTTGCATGCTTGAGCAGCCCAACATATATATCTAGAGAAATCCAATCCTAGACACTCATTCAGTATGGAATATACAGCCGAGTCGGCGCTGTCACGCTCTGTAGCGTCTGAGCATGGCAAGTCCCAATGGATTGAGGAAAAGTCCGCGCGATATGCTCGTCCCCTGCGTCTCAAACGAAGGAGATATTACACCGGCATCAAGAACCTGCTATACCTTCATAGCTCAGGTAACATAACAACATGAACACCTCAGTCAGTCCCCACAATGGCCCCTACATCTCAGTCCAGTGCACATCCTCGACTTTCTCAGTGACTAAGCGCGCAGTCTTGGGCTTGAACTTCCGATCTGAGCTCTTCTTGCGCCGCGCCATGGCCTTTTGCTCGGCGCTCGACGCCCCGCCACTACTACTACCGCCACCTAGCACGGCCTTGAAGCGGGACGCGAGCTTGGAGAGCGGGTTACTGGACTCCTTTCCGCCGGTATGCGTGGTGGAGGAGGCCGGGGGGAAAGGGGCTGTGTCAAGGGGGTTGTCGTGGGGCTCGAAGAACGAGGGCGTAGGCAGGGGCGGGGCGTCCGGCTCGCGATTCTGCTTCGAGCGGGGAATATTGCGGTCGAAGAGTTTGGGCGCGATGGTCTGGCCTGGAGGCAGGGTAGCGGCGGCGGTGGTTGGGTCGATTTGGGAGGCGCTGTCACGGCGATGACAGGAGGCGGCGGTGGAGGCGATGGTGGTGGAGGTAGATGTGCTGTAGTGGGAGCCGGCGCTCGGAGAGTGGATGTGCGAGCTGGAGAAGATGGATTTGAGGGAGCGTGGAGAGAAGGGTGGGGATTGGGTGGTGGAGGGTGATTGAGCGCTGTGCAATGATGGTGAGCGCTTGCTCTCGTGGCGGCGGGAGTAGAGACTGGACTGTGGAGATCGTGGTTTGGGCATGCCGTCGCTTGTGAGCGGTGCGAGGACGCCGCTACGAGGAGATCGTGAGGAGCGGAATGAGCGTGGGGATAGGGGTGGTGGGCGGAAGCGGGAGGAGTGGGAGGTTTTGATGGGTGTTGGGATGGACGAGGTGGTCTTGTGGGTTCGTCGATGCTCGCGGGCTTCGTCGAAGCTGGAGGAGCGGCTTGATTCGATGCTGGTGCCTTCAGAGGATATAGATTCAGGCCTCGACTGTTTGTCGTCTTGGCCATTAGTCTCTTTCACATCTGATGGACTAGATTTATGGTGGCGGTTGTGGTGGCTCATGGCCGGGGATTCATAGTAGGCAGACATATCAACAGCCAGTGACCTGCACAACGAATAGAAAGGCAAGACGAAACGAAGGTAGGAGAAGTGGGAGTGTTGAAATGGTGAAGTTTGAGACAAGGCCAGTCCCCAGAGCTGGGCAAGGCTTGTGTAAATATCAGCAGCAGGGCATCAGGACAAGGATAGAAGGCACAGGCCGAGTCAAAAGCACGACGTGATAAACATTAAACAGGACGAGAAGAAACAAGACAACGCAGGGATCGGCATGCTCTGAGAAACGAAGCAGAAACGGGGGCGACAAGGGAAGGAAAGCTGAAGGGTGAGGCCGAGAGACGGGAAGATATTCATTCAGTTGCAGGAGGGCAGATTGACCGGTTGATGGCCGAGTGAACGAGCCATAGAGCAGTCGCCCACGGACCCGATGCGGTGGATGAATAGTAGACTGCTGCAAGGCTGGACAGAGCTACGTACAGTACTGTACGGTCTGTACTATGGCATTAGAGGTCTGGTGAGAGCAGCAGTACCTAATATCTGCCCTCCTTCCAGCATGGATCCCATGGTATCGCCAGCTGTAGCCAATGGTTAGACTGTCTTTGGGCGCCAGTTAGAGGAGGGGGTTAATGAACCAGGGGTGTTGGTTTCTCGAGCGCTTGCGAGAAAGACAATTGGAAGAAGACGTCTATCGCGGGCCCACGTTTGCGGCACAGCAGCACATCAATGAACACGAGGGCTATGGCTGAGCGCTTACACTTGATATTGCACTGTGATTGGTCGCGGTGAGATCGGAGACCCATCCGGAAGCGCGGTCGCGGTGTTAAACACCCTCTCTACGACTCTACATACATATTAGTGTTGTTTCTCCATCTCGTGTATTAGTGCGCTCCACCCCACAAGGCAAGTAATTAATATTGCGCGTCCAAGACAGAGAGACGTAGCTTTCCTTTCGGTCCTTTGCTTGACGCCCTTCTCCATCCTTTGGCTGGCAGGCTTAACTGCTTGAGGCGAGCCTGGCATTCCCTTTATCCTCGTCTGATTTCGGATCCCCCATTTGCATCAGCCCATCCCGCACCTGAATGCCATGTCGAACTGTTGTTCCCTTTAGCTGTTGCGACATGTACATCGTGCAGCTCCAATCACACAGTCGTCGTCGCGCCATCGCCGTCTTCCTAGACAAGCAGCAGTCGCAGGGGCGTGCAACCTCTACGCAGACTTCAGTGCTGCGTGACTCGGCCCCATTTGGCAGTGGGAGAGCCACCGACTCCATCTCGCTGCCTCACAAACCCTGGCAAACATATCAGAAGACGCGCTTCACGATATGTCACTACATATCGCGACCATGCTCAGCCCCACTAACCCCGCTGCATCGACATTGATGATATCTCAACATTATGGCGGCACAGCAGCTGCAGAGTCTTGGCCTCTTCAAGCCTCCCGTCTTCCGAGGCTCGGCTCGCAACAAGGGCCCTCACTACCCGTAGTGGCTAAGGCCTATTCATATAACCTACTTTAGCCTTGATCATTATCGGGTATCTGCTCGAGATCATCTGCAGATGAAATATGCATGTACTGCCTCGCTCTCTTAAAGTTGATGGTGTTTACCGCGTAGCACGTTCGGTTCTCTAGTGTTGATATAATAGTAGAGCAGCGGTAGACCTAGCATACACTGTCGATAGATTTAGCTGACACAAACAGCTGGAGAACCTCGCGAATGGGGCTCATAACTCTTGAACGCACCACGAGCCTGCGCCATATGCCTATTTACGAATGCTAGTCACGATTAGCGGTTCATCAGAATAATCTTACGATAGATTAGGCATCCACGAACGAGATGCTAGCAAATGGCCTCACGGTAGAGTGGGTATCCACCTTCGAGAGGCCACCTCTTCGATAGACTAGATATCCACCGACTTAGTAGACTAGAAATCCACCTTTGTGGGACCATCCGCTGGCATCTCGTTGGTAAGTGCCCAGTCTATTGTCCTGTTGCACCTTCTACCGTAAGTAAGTAATGTCTATAGATAGCCATATGACGGAGGCGTGTAGTGAAACTAATAGACTCGCATACCAAACTCCAGCCCTTCTCCCTTACATCTGCCATGACTCTTTAAACTCGTCTTCTAGTACACCAGGGACATGTCCTCTTGAAACATGACTAAATATTTCAGAACGTCGCAAGTCTTGCCGTAAACATGTACACTCTTCTACTGCCTACATCTTGAACAACACAAGCTTGATGAAATCGGAAGACAAGCTGTCGACAATCTCTTGCACTCAAACAAGAAGGCCGTTGAATTATGTATGAACACCCGCTCTAGCACTTACTTTTGTGCTTATGTCGCTGCGGTCTAGCGCTGTCGTCTAGTCATTTTCTAGATACTCCTCGCACCTGCTCATCAACATCATCATCTATTTCCATACTGACCACATCCACCTCCAAGTCTCAAAGTTCTACTTCCACTCTTAACATCTACATTGCCTCGACTTTCATTCGGTCCGCTCACAAGTTTGCTATCACGATTCCAGCCATACCGCATCGAACCATGATTGGCGTTATCCACAGCACCAATGTGTCTTGATCATACGATATGTAGCTAAGTCTATCTTCTACGGTAAGACTAGCGCCTATATACTCGAAACTGATGTTATCCGCTACCTACTCCCGCATCGAGCTAATTTAGCTGGGAAGTAATTAGCACGATGTACGACCTCCATCACCTCAGCAATGGGTGTGTTCATGTTCACGTTGCAGTCGACGTGCTGTCTGCGCCTGAGCTGCGAATCATGGATTCCTCCGTGATTCACGTTATGTAATGTAGAGACGTCGGACAAGACAACCACTCACATCTACTCGGCATGCCGATATCCAGCCAGCCGTCCAACACTACGGTCCGAACGCCAAATGATTGGTAATTCTGCCGATAGCGGACGGGTTCGGCCGTAAATACGGTTAGATATCTAATCTGAGGCAGCTCGCAGGATACCAGCTCTTCTTCTCGGTTAATGATACTGCAACCTTAATAAGGCCGCGACCAGCGTGTAGTATCTGGGGAGACAAAGCGCTCCATATAGAAACTGCCGTATACACCGTTTGCAGAGCTGATCGAGCGCACACAGAATCACCTACATCCGGCAATTCCCGTTCTGTACTGCGTAGGGCTTAGGCCAGCGCCTCGGAGGTCCGAAGCCGTAACAAAGCCGATGTCTTAGGTCCGACAAAGGATTTTAGGGCGATCCAGAGAAAGAGAACATCTCTCGGCCGGCCACATGAGTCAGTCGCAGAGTGAGTGTGTGAATGACAGCACGCTGATGGGATTGGATTGCTGCATTCATCAGCCTTTCTTGGGGGCTGAAGTGAGTGAGTGAGATGCGGTAGGTGTTTCTTGGTGCTTTGGGGCTGATATGCAGAGGTGTAGCTACACTTCGAGGTCGTGCTATGATATGTTTGCGGTAATGAGATATAGGATCATGCTTGACAGTGTCGATGAATCAGGAAACACGTTTGCGGTGAGGTGAAATGTCTACTTTGTTAATTGATGGTATGAGTTGCCAGTAGGCGTATGGAAAGCCCGCCACCGAAGAATGAATGGTTCCGAGAACGGACATTCTGAGAATTCTTTGCAGGATCTGGGGCAGACGTTCCCGGAATGGTTTAACCAAACGCATGCCGCCACTGGACTCGTGTATCCATCCGAAAAAAATTTAGTCGAGTCCTTGAGTCGTTCACCACAAGGAGGGTCAACAGGGTTCTCAGGGCATGCCTATGAAACGTTCGCGCTTGTGAGAAAAATCTTTGCAGAGTGGCGCGTGTATCGCTAATGTCAAGTTTTCACGAAGGGTCGTGAGAATGTTTGTCACTCAGACAATGTACAGGAGGTGCTCGCGAGTGGTGGCTTGATGTTGGGCCCGTCTGGAATTTTCAATTATGGCTGTTGTGTCGGAGCTGAGACTGTTGACTGTGGTTTCGACACGTCACATTTCCTGGACATACTGAACGCAACGCATTCGTATTTATCATCAGAATCACCTGTGTCATATTCTCGGAATGTGGACTACTCAGCGAGACGTGATGTTTGATTGCTTGGAAGCCTGCTCAAAGAATGAGATGCTTATAAAGAAAAAGATGTATGGCGCTGGGCTGCATGCACTGGCGGGCAACTGGCGCCAATTGTTACCGTCGGTCCACGCCTAGGTCAGTTAGTTGGGGCGTTGTAGCAAAGCCAAAGACGGGGATGCACACGCTAGATGGGGCATGCTCCACCCACAAGAACATGGCACATGCAGATGACTCAACTTGCTCTAGGAAAGGCGTGAATGTCGTCTTCTATAACAGGTCATCGAATCCCTCTCTACTCTTCATCAGGGGTCTGGCCATACAAATAGGTGAAAGTACATCTATATCATCGCACTACAACTCGACACCGACAATCACTCGAAGCATCCTCAAGACCATCTGCTTCACTACACCACCACTACTTCCCCGTATCTCGGTTTTCCGAACCCCACATTTCCATTGTTTGTCTGGGGGATCCTAATATAAGACCTGAAGCTTCAGACCCTGTGTTACGCTCCTGCGACACACAACCCCACGGAGCTGGTTTCTCTCTGTTATTATTGTTCTCACGATGATTCGTTCACACATCATGCCTTCATACCTGGACTTCAACGCTCATCCGTCCGCGCTCCCTCAGTCACGATCTCGTTCCTCTGGAGCATCTGCCATGGCCGCGTCTATTGGAAATCAAGTTGGCCACAAGATCAAAAGCACTTTGATGCAAGGACGTCCTAATGTCGATATCGAGTTGAATAGTGCCCATGGCATTCATGGTTCCTTTATGACTTCCTACTCGACCATGGACAAGATCGAGGGCACCGTCAACATCACTGCCACCCAGGACACCAGGTTTGACGAGCTGGATATCACCTTTGTCGGTAAGTTGAAGACGAACAGCAGCAACAGCAACGTGCTGCTTGGAACCATCCAGGGAGCTGACGTAGAGCAGGCATATGCAAGACTTATGTCGATCGCCTGACTTCCACCCCATCTCTTGGTGGAGGCCGGACCACTGCGACCCACAGGTTCCTACGCCTCAGCCAACCTATCAATGAAGAAGACCTACCCCACCCACGCATCTTTGCAGCTGGCCAGACTTATAAGTTTCCATTTACCTTTGTTGTCCCTCAACATCTTCTACCTCGTGCTTGCTCTCACAAAGTGGATAACGATACCGTTCGTGATGCTCATCTTCGACTGCCCCCTAGCATGGGAGACCCTGAAGTCTCCGGATTTGCCAGTAATCTGCTCGACGATATGGCTCCGGAGATGGCTAAAGTCCTGTATGTCATAAAGGTCCGGGGACTTCAGTATCGGCCAGAGGATGACGAAGCCCTAATTGTCGTCGATCGCGTCAGGAAGGTCCGAATCAAGCCTGCATTCGAGGAACAGCCTCCTTTGAGTGTCGATGTGGCTGGCGCTTCGGATTATCGACTTAGACAAGTAAAGACCATACGTAAGGGGTTGCTGAAGGGAAAGAGCGGAACATTGATTATGGAAGCATCGCAGCCGAAACCTCTACATCTTCCTGGCGCACGCACTGGCGAAGCGCCTGTTCCAATATCTACCGTCGCTAAAGTTGTGCTTCGTTTTGATCCGACCGACGATTCGCAACAACCGCCAAAGCTGGGATCCCTCACATCCAGACTCAAGGTGATCACCTTTCACTCTTCTGTACCAAGAACTTGTTTTCCAGTCAAGAGCACTCTCGCATATGATATCTCCCAAGGATACTATTGCATGGCTCTTCCTCTGGCGTCCAGATGTATTGCTAATACACAATGGGAACGTCAAGATGGCTCGTCTTCTCCAGTCTTCCGTCGAGACTCAGCCGCCTCAACCGTAGAATCGTCCTTGACCGGGATCCCAGCCCCAAGCGACAACTACCACGGCAAGACATTCTACACCGCAAGAATACTTGTTCCCATCACCCTTCCCTATAACAAAAACTTCCTTCCAACTTTCCACTCGTGTCTCATCTCCCGGACCTACACCCTATCCTTGTCGCTTTCGACGCCCACATCTTCTCTTGCGTCGGCCTTGACTCTCAAGGTCCCGATCCAAGTCTCACAGGGAGTAAGTCCTGAGGCATCTGCCACCATAGACGAGGAACTCGAGGCGGCACAGGACGTTGAGGACATGATGCGACCGCGATTTGTCTCTCCACCGAGCGATGAGTATGGCAACAGCCAGTCGATGGACACCGATCTTCCACCGCAATACACTTTCTTTGCGCCGAGGACTTACGCCACTAATATTAGTGTGCTAGGATAGTCTTGCAGTTCAGCTACTAATATAGGTCATTTATTTCATTTGCTCATGGGTGGAATATTGATATCTTACGTAAAATACCCAGATTGATTATCTTCGGCGTTCAGGGCAGTTTGAAAGATGGTCTGCATCGTACAGCGTTCACGACGTGCGACAGCGTATCTGTACTGGGCTGGCTAGCTTTGAGTTGTATATGAATCAGCAATACCTACTTAATATAATATATAAACCTCGTATGAAATCATAGCAGAATCGTACCAGAGCTACAGACATATCAAACACCTAATTACCCCTATTGCCTCATTCTCGCGCGCCATCGTCTAAGCCAGGATCCAGGTCCACGTCAGCACCAAGCATTTATCAAAGCGGATTGAGCTTTCACTAAAGTCTTCTAGTTCTCCAGAAAGATGTCAGATCACCATGATTAGCCAATAGCGATCGCGGTCAGCACGAAGAGACCGATCGCCTATAAGTATCAGTTTCGTTGCACACACAACGATTCAGCCACGCTGGTCACTGCACTTAAGCTTCTCGCTTTGCCTACCCTTGAGGTGTGTGATAAGGGATTTGACAGTGGATGGACGGCTGTGGGAAATACGGTGATACGACGTATTCCAGCTCGAGCTAGCTTAACTTTTCATTACTCAGGTAATTAGCTTCAGTGACAATTCTGCCTCGAGTAGGTGCCAGGTGTGGGGCCAACTGCCGGCTGCCAGTGAGCGGGGTGCGCGTCATTTCAGCCACAGTTTGGTCCTACTCAGCTATTCAAGTAGATACCCACTTTTGGAATTTTGTTGTCACTGATCCTTCACTTACAAATTTTCTTCCCTGCTACTATTCTTCTCCCTCAAAACCTTTCATGGCTTGAGTCTTTCTTATCGAGCGCAAAGCTCTACAAATATGGCATCCGAGAAGCGTCCCGCAGCAGCAGACCCCGCTACGCCTCAGGCATCAAGCTCTTCAGCTCAAACTGACCAACCAACCTCTATACATCGTGAAGATGAATCTGATGCCCCAGTGGGGAAACGTGAAGCTTCCTCCTATCCTGGCTCTTATAGACCCTCCGACGCTCAGTCAACCTCTTATGCCTCGTAAGAACCCTATCACTACTGGTTCAATTCAAGCTAACATCCCATCAAGAACCACTGGACCTATCCACGACTATAACACTGGCATATCCGACGATCCAGCTGGATATGCAGACGAGGTTGAAGAATTACCAGCGTATAGCGAGACCTTGGGTACAATCGAAGATGATGTCGCAGGCCAAGGAACTCAAGCCTCCATCGCAGGTCAGCGACAGATTACCACTCTCTGGGATTCAACGGGCTAATCCCATACAGATGATGGACGTGTGAACATCAACATTGACCAGAGCAATCATAGGCTATCAACACTGTTGACACCCGCCCTTCAGAGTCAATATAACTTTGCTCAAGCCGATGAGCCTCTCCCACCCCCATATATACCTCCCTCGTTAGGCGGAGATGCCTCAGAAATTCCACCGCCACAGATGAACGTCGTTATACACGTCGTGGGTTCAAGAGGAGATGTCCAGCCCTTTGTTGCTTTGGGCAAGCTTCTCAAGGATACATATGGTCATCGCGTGCGACTGGCTACACACCCTGTTTTCAGAGCCTTTGTCGAGGAGAACGGCCTCGAATTCTTCAGTATTGGGGGTGATCCAGCCGAACTCATGGCATTCATGGTCAAGAACCCCGGCCTTATGCCTGGTTTTGATGTCCTCCGCAGTGGCGACATTGGATCACGAAGACGTGGCATTGCTGAGATGATCAAAGGTTGCTGGAGGTCTTGCATAGAGACAGGTGACGGTTTTGGCGTCGAAGCTTCAGACAAGACCGTCGAAGACTGGATGTCTAATGATGCAAGCTCAATCGCCTCGAATGATCCTATGGCGAAGCCTTTTGTCGCAGATGCAATCATTGCTAACCCACCCAGCTTCGCACATATTCACTGTGCGGAAAGGCTAGGCATTCCACTTCATATGATGTTTACGTATGTATGGGGATCCTTTCATGCAATTCCATAGACTGACGAGTATCACAGTATGCCGTGGTCGCCCACTCAGCAATTCCCACACCCACTTGCAAATATTCAGTCCTCAAACGCAGAGACGACGATCAACAATTACATGTCATATGCACTCGTTGACATGCTTACGTGGCAAGGTCTTGGAGATGTCATTAACCGGTTCAGAAAGAATAGCCTTGGTCTAGAGCCAATTAGTCTGATGTGGGCCCCTGGCATGCTTCAGCGTATGAAGATCCCCTACACTTACTGCTGGTACATATCATTCTTCTTGACTCATATCATGTACTAACGTCCTACAGGTCTCCTGCACTCATTCCTAAACCAAAAGATTGGGCAAACTTCTTGACCATTTCTGGATTCTTCTTCCTCAACCTGGCATCAAACTACACACCAGAGCCAGACTTGGCTGAGTTCCTTCGATCTGGACCACCACCTGTGTACATTGGCTTCGGCTCTATTGTCGTCGACGATCCGGATGCCATGACAAAGCTAATATTCGATGCCGTCAAAATGACTGGGCAGCGAGCCTTAGTCTCGAAGGGCTGGGGCGGCTTTGGCGCAGATCAGCTTGGTATTCCAGACGGTGTATTCATGCTTGGAAACTGTCCACATGACTGGTTGTTCAAGCAGGTATCGTGTGTAGTTCATCATGGAGGGGCTGGTACTACCGCTGCGGGCATTGCTGCAGGCCGGCCAACTGTGGTTGTACCATTCTTCGGTGATCAACCATTTTGGGGAGCCATGGTCGCTCGAGCAGGAGCTGGACCTGATCCTATTCATCATAAGGACCTTAATGCAGACAACCTCGCGGCTGCGATCAACAAGTGTCTGGAGCCGGCGTCGCTCGAACGCGCAAATGAGCTCTCTGAAAAGATTGCAACAGAAAAAGGTACCGACAAAGGCGCCCAGTATTTTCATCAGATGCTTGCCTTGGACAATATGCGCTGTTCCCTTGCGCCACACAGAATCGGTGCCTGGCGCGTGAAACGTACTGCGGTTCGATTGAGTACTTTGGCTGCCACTGTGTTGATACAGGAGAAGGAATTGACCTTTGATGAGCTCAAACTGTAAGTCTTATATCACCCCGTACGTTCACGATTGGCTCATGTACATATTAGACATCGACCCAAGGAGTACGAAACTGATGGCGGACCTTGGGATCCTGTGACCGGCGGTGCGTCTGCAATTATGGGTACAATGTCGACCATGATGATGGGCGTAGCCGATTTCCCGATCGAGACGCTAAAAGGCCTGGGAATTCATCCAGATGCTGCCAAGAAACGGAAAGAAGAGAAGGAAGCAGCCAAGGCTCAACTTCACGCCGCAAGTACAGATACCCTAACTGAGACTAAAACTCTTGATCGACCGTCAGTGGAAAGCGACAGTAAATCTTTCAGGAACGACTCAATTTCGAAGCCATCGAACCGAACGCCAACCATAGGCTTGAACGATAGCACAGATAATATAACTAGAGTAACGTCTCCTGAAAGTGTTAGTGGTGTCCAGACACCGTCAAGCGAGCGAGCAAACTTTTTGGCGCAAGCCATGCGCCAGCATTCAGGCTCAAAGTCACGGCCGTCTTCGCCTGCACGTGAACACAGTGAATCCCGGGGATCAGGCTTCGGGACGCCAGGCCGGTCCAACACACAGCAGTCGTCCGTGGGAGGGTCAGGCTCAAGTTCTTTTGGGATTGAACCCGCCATTGGTACCACCAAAGGTATTGGTCGTATGGTTGGTGCTGGAGTCAAAGCGCCATTAGACTTTACTATGGCGATATCGAAAGGTTTCCATAATGCTTCTAGACTATATGGTGAGGAGCCTCGTCAAGTCGACAAGGTCACCGGCTTTCAGAGCGGCATGGCAGTGGGTGCAAAGGTCAGCATATCTTCATATTACCCATGTGATTGCACTCTAACATGCCATAGGAATTTGGACGCGGCATATTCGACGGTATTACAGGTCTTGCCAAGGACCCCATCAAAGGCGGCAAGAAAGACGGCTTCGCAGGCTTTACCAAGGGGATTGGAAAAGGTCTCATCGGGTCATTTCTAAAACCAGGCGCCGCAACATTCGCCATACCGGCCTATACGATGAAGGGAATCTATATGGAGTTCTCCAAAAAGTTTGGACCAAACATCGACAACTACATCTTCGCGGCACGCGTCGCACAGGGTTATGACGATGTTGGTCGTTCGACCCCCGAGGAACGCAATGACATCCTGGTACGCTGGAGGTGCATCTCAAAGAGTGTCAAGAAGAAGAAGAACCCCGGTAAGGACCAGCTTGATGGTCTTCAAGCGTTATTGGATAAACACAAGGAGAAGAGACGAGTTCTCATTCGCAATAAGGAGCAATCAACGAGCTCTGTCCCGTCAGCAGCAAACACCTACATCTCACAGCGTGGTGTTCAGACTGGATATTCTGCTAACAACGCGTCATCTGCTTCGGATGGTGGAAGTCTATATGCAGCGTATAGACCTAGCGGAAGTGCATCTCGCGCTTACTCAACGACAGGCCCTACTTCTCCTGATTCATTATCGCCAAATAACAACCTCACTCACTCTCAGACCTATCCGGACCCGAACAGAATTCCAAACTCTCCCAGCCACCCTGGTATTCCCGAGCTTCCCGCCTACCGTGATCTATCTGGATCACAGACTACGTTCGCTGGCGAGAAAGATCAATCCAGACGCGAATTTTCGCATTCTATGCCACAAACCCCTATTCCTGGCCCCTCGGACGATCAAGTCATGGAACGTGCCCTTCAGGCCAGCATCACCGAAATGCAACGTCAACGCGATCTACAGAGCCCTGGTGAGGAGGAAGACGAAGAAGCGATGCTTCAGCGTGCTATAGCTGCTTCCATGGCCGAAGCTAGTGCGTCTGGTGCCTCAGAACAGGAACAGCGCGAACTAGAGGAAGTCATGCGCAAGAGTATCCACGAAACGACGGCACGCAAAAAGGTAGCACGTATGAAAAGAGTACGATCTTCTGACAGCGAATGGGAAAGCGACTCGGATGAGTCTTTCGAAGACGTCAGTAGTGCACAGGTGCGCGAAGAGGAGGAGCTACGTCGCGCTATGGTGGCGAGCACGCAAGACCGGCTTGAAGGAGATACGGCGTGGGAGGAGCAGCGGAGAAGGGAAGAGATTGAACTCGCTGAAGTGTTGCAGCAGAGCAAGAACGACGTCGAAGCCAGAGGTGCTGCAGATCCAAATGATGAGGAACGGCGTAGGGAGGAGGCAGAGCTTGCGGAAGTGCTTCAGCAGAGTGCAGCCGATGAGGAGGCCAAGAGGCGTGAGAAGGAAGAAGAGGAGAGAGAGGAGGAAGCTGTGCTGGAGTATATCAAGCAGGAGAGTCTCAAAGAGGCCGAAGCACAAAGACGAGCGAGAACCGGCATGGGAGGCTTGGGGATGGGTGGCGAGTCGAGTGGAAGTGGTGCCGGACCTTAGGGGTAGTGAGACTGCGAACGTGTATGAGAAGTAACAATGCTATGATACCCTCATGAATGGACAAATGGAGTTTACAATGCCCTCATTGCTCACAAAGTAGAAAGCTAGGCTTGGAAGTGTTTGTGCTTGAACGAATTGACACGTGAGCGACTGCCGAATTGAGCAATCTCCTATATCGATATCATGTGTCTCTGTCTGTCTATGAATAGGAGATTCAGTTTGATCAATCAACATTTTGTCTACCACACCACGAGACCGGGCTGTTCGTGCAGTCATGATACATCAGGGGTTGGGTATGAGGTGATATGATATGATTTATTGGACGACGAGATTGAGAATTTGGGGTATGCTGTGATTATGCATGTTTCCGCAGGTGAAGTTGTCTTTCTCCTTTGTTTAGCCTGTGGATGCTGGACTTGAGTTAGCGTCAGCATCATCATGTACCACTCAATCGGCGCGTCGAGAGTGCTGCGTGCTGCCTGAGTAGTATGATTTCAAGGACATAATCTGAATCTGCCTCTGGTTTGCTCCCTGCGGCTCAAAGGAAGAGGTCTAGTTAATCAAGGCAGCGCGTCTTTAGTCAACATGTCAACATCCTGATGGTGCAATGGACCCACAACATTAGTTTCATCTGGAGATCTGTTTCGAAACACCCGCACACGGCTCTTTGCAAACGATTCGCGAGACGGGCAGATATCATGAAACAGAAGACGGCGAGATGGGTCTTCCGTCGCGTGGTATAAGCGGTAGACGCGTCGAAAGAGGCTTGGCTAGAAGAAAGCACCGAGTCGTTCCCGTCCAGCGAGCGAATCATCTCACCGACTTATCGTAGTGCTGACGGGCAGATGTGAAGCATGCGCACACGATTGGATGGAAGTGAAGAGGCGTGAAACAAAGGTGCCGACTTGACAGGCCTCCTAGCCATCGACGGCGCCTTGGCCCAACCTCGTATGCAGAGCAACAGGCCCAACAACCAACCGTCACGTCGAATACTTAAGAACACGACCGCCTCGCGACCGCGACATAGTCGTGATTCTTCTCATTTTGCATCTTCTTTGGGCAAAGTTTCTGGATATCGCGCGCAACTTCAACCCCTCATTTTCAACGCTTTCTGTGCCTTTGACTCACACCTGCAGCTCACGTGCACCCCATCTTCGAACAGTCCGAGTCGCAGTAAATAGCAAACAGAGAATGGCCGCCGCGATGCCTGATTTCCCCAAGGATTCCTCTCCACTCTCTCTCCGCCTTTGTTACCGTCATCGTCGTCGTAATCGCGAGTTCTTTGTGCCTTTGCCTGAATTGATTTGAGCCCACTTGATGACATATTTGCCGAAATGCATCTACAGTGCGATACATCGCACCCACAGCTGAAGAGAACTGTCTCCGGCGAGAGTCGCGGGAGTAGTGGCAGCAAAGGGAGCAATGTCTCCTCTGCCTCGTCCAACCGGACACTTCTCTTTGGAGAGATTCCTAGTCCGGCCAGCTCGATAGCCGACGACCTGAAGAGTGAGGATATGCAAATGCGCACACGCACTCGAGAGACCAATGTCACTGACACTAGCCAATCAGCTTACCGCTCGACCAGCTCGATATGCAATCTTGTCATGTCGACAAGCCCAGCTTTCCAGCGATTCTGGATGACTGAGTCCACGCGGGAAAGCTTCCTGGGACACTGCGCTGCGGAAGAACTCAGCAGCCTTCGACTCGTCTGTCACGACTTTGGGGCCAGAGCGGCGCCTTTCTTGTTCGAGGACTTGACTATCACGTTTAATTCCAGGAGCTTTACCAAGCCGGCGCGCATTCGGGCACTGGACAAGATTGGCAAACATGTCAAGACCGTCACGTTCCATATGCCTCATTCGAACCAGACGTTTCTTCCTCCCTTGATCGATGCTATGACTGGAGGAGAGAAAGCATTCCATTACGAACCACAGCTTCAAAACAACCCAAAGGTGCCGCGCTACGGCACATGGGATATGACCGAACTTCTACTCCAGCAGTATCCCTCATTGTTCCATGCAGCTACAAATGTCCCTTCCTTTGTTCGTGCCTTCTCAGCCATGCCTGGCTTGCAACATTTGAAGGTCAGTTGTCCAGGCCAGGAGCCGTTTTACCACTATCGCAGAGACATAGTCGACTATGCACTTATCTCGTTGCGCATTGCGATTGAGCGAGCGCCCTTGAAGGAGCTGAACACGTTGTCTTTCCTGCCAATTCACGCAGCTGGTCTTCTTTACATGCAGCCCGGCATCGGGTTTGGCGCGACTCCAACTGGAACCCGCCGCTGGTCCCAGATCAACAAGCTTGCCATCCACATGGAAAGTGTTTCAAACGAACGGTCAACCCAGACAGACCACTTGCGCATGCTGCATTCCTACTTGCGCTTCTTCGCGCCGCACGTGCGACGTCTGCTCTTCCGCTGGCGCGACACGCGCGGCCCCTCGCCCTTCTCCCTAGATCACGAGCCATGCATGCAAGGATCCGCTGCCAGCGCCCGCGAGACAGACGGCAACGGCCATCATCTCAAGTCTCTCAAGTTTCCCCAGCTCAAGTACATGGAGCTGGAGAACGCCATCATGGACTCGAGCCAGATCAGCCGCTTCATCCACCGTCACCGACGCGTCCTGGCCGAGTTCAACTTCGAGGACGTCCATCTTCGCACGGGCACCTGGGACGAGGCGCTCGCGCCGCTGTCGCGCATCGCTGGCAACGATGACTGGCGTCGCAAGCAGGAGGAGTTTATGGATGTGCCTATTGTATTCAGCCCCGTCGACGAGGAACCGCGCATCTTGGGTCCGCTGCTCGAAGAACATGTTGAGCGGCCACGTGGTATGACGCTGTCGCGCTGGCTATCAAAGTCAAAGTCCAGCGCGTCGGCGAAGCGCGCAAAGGAGCAGTTCTGGGGCAGCTCCGAGCACATGAAGAAATTCCTGAGAGCCTCCCTCTCGCCGTGGAGATGAGGTGGCTATTCCAGGCGTTCTGTTCTGGTGATAATCATGGTGTCCTTGCTGGCAATGACACGGAAAATGCATACGCGGGGTATAGGTGTTATTATGGGGTCTGGTCAAGCGCGATACCCTCGAGATCGAGAATGACGGAGGAATGGCAACCCCGTCGTGTCTCTCTCGGTGCAGCGATCGTTGTGGTATGGGTGGAACGTATCTCTTTTAAAATATAGTCGACGGCAATGGCGACGACGACGACGATGCTGATGATGATGATCTCTCACGAGTTATACATCCTTACGATCTTTATGTTGCACGACAACGACTTTTCTTTGCATATTTTTATTCTTACCTATATTGATTGCCTCAATACATAACTACAATGAACCAACCGAAGCTCCAGACGTCACTGACCCAACCCTCGCAATCACCGTCCATATCCTACCCGACAACAGACCCCTAACTATCCCAACTTACCAAACTCAGAACCCCAAACCCCCCAAGCGAACAACCAATAACCCTGCCCAATCGGGTAATTCTACCTCGGCAAGTCCCAGAGTGCAGTCTTGGCGCGTGTCGCGGTGTATCACATGCTACTCCGCTCCTCGGACCCACTCTTCCTTAGACTCATCCAGTCCATCAATCCCCAGACTTCTCCACACAAAGTCGTTGCATGACCTCAAGCCGAGGGAGCGAGCCTACAAGACTATTTTCACCTGCGCCTGGTGCTAGTTAGTGAATGGTATAGCTGGGTTCGTTCCGTGTATAACACCGTACTCCCATCTTTCTTTCTTCTTTCTCATCATCCGCATACCTACCAACCTACAAAAACTATCTCACCACCTACCCACAAACCACCAACACCTCACACCCTCCATCCAGTCCGTCCATCCCCAAAAAAAACCGCCAAAATGACCGTCGCCCTCGAATCCCACCCCTCCTCCGCCGCCTTCGACGCCATCGCCGCCGCCCTCGCCTCGGAAGCAGACAAGAAAGACGCCATCAAAAAGGCAAACCAGATCTTCGCCTTCACGCTCAAGAACAGCGCCGGCAAGACCGAGTCCTGGTACCTGGACCTCAAGGAGACGGGCGAGGTGGGCCGTGGCGCCGCGCCGGCGGGCAAGAAGGCTGGTGGTACGTGTTCTCTCTCTTTCTCTCTCTCTCTATCTCTCTCTGTCCCTGTCTCTCTCTGTCTTTTTCTTCAATAATTGAGAATAATACAAGCAAGCGGTGAATAAATGGCTAATGAATTGTGTTGTTGGGGCTGTACAGTGACGATGGTGATGAACGACGCGGATTTCCAGAAGATGATTGACGGCAAGGCGAAGGCGCAGCAGCTGTTTATGAGCGGCAAGCTGAAGATCAAGGGCAATGTCATGGGCGCGACGAAGTTGGAGCCGATTCTGAATAAGGCCAAGGATCAGGCGAAGTTGTAGATTGGCCCTGTGGGGAAGAGAAGGAGGGGGGAGGGGGGGTTTGATTGGCAATGAAGCAATGAAGTGCGAGGGAATAGAAGAGGATAACGATTGTAGGAATATGTATGTAGGAATTTACATGCTCTCAAAGACCTTGGCTTTATATCCTGTCCACTTGCGCACACTCTATACATATGGGCGGGAATGTCGTATTTGCGGCCTTTATCCCAGCGATGGAATCTTATGTGCGCCTATTCTATCCCGCGTGAACCGTTGTTGCACTATTTGCAATTATCATCTTAATTTGTTCTAGAGACCGCTAGATAGACCGGAAGAAAGGGGTGAAAGTAGGGAGTAGAGAGTAGTATGATCGAGGAGACTGGAATCCTCTACTGAAATCTATATAAAATCTATGTATAACGTCATAGCAAAAAGAGTGTCTAATTTTCGAAAACAAAATCAAGTCGGCGGCATCATACACATACACAAGCAGGCAAGCAGCATGTTTTAAGACGGCACGTTGGCGTCCGCGTCTGCCATCTTACGCACGGAGTCCATATATTTGATACGAGACTCACTCAGCTCCTTCCTCGCCTTCCGGGCCGCCCTCTCCTCCTCGCTCAGACTCGGCTCGCCGTTCCCAGTAACAGGCGTAGCCGCTCTCTTGCGCTTCTTTTTCGACGACGACGACGACGAGCGCTCGCTGCGCTTGAAGAATCTGTCGTAGAAAGCGGCGCCGGGATCGACGTCGCAGAGCTCTATGTCGTCGTAGAAGCCGCGAGTCTCGTTGATCATGGGGACATGGGCGTTTGTGGACGGGATCAGGTTCGGCAGGTCGAGCGGAGGCGGTTCGGCGCCGTACGGACCGCGGCGGAAGAAGATCCGTTTGACGAATACGGCGCGCGTGCCGAGCGATCTGACTTCGTGGTCGAGGTCGAGCATGTCCCAGGAGTCGTCCGCGAACAGGGCCTGGAGGGCCGGGCTCATGGCCCAGTCTTCGAAGATGATGCGCGGGATGACGACGCGCAGCTTTTTGAGGTTGCGGAGTCGTGTTGCGTAGCGGGCCCAGAACTTGCGCCATCCGTCACTCTCGCGCGTCAGCACGTTGAGCTCTCGCGGGTCCAAGGGCACGCGCCGGCGGTGTGCTTGCATGAAGCCGGGGGTGTTAAACTGGTATCCGATCGTGAGCTCGTCGACCATATCGGCAATGTGTGATAGTCCGAAACGGGCCTCGCATTGGCGCCACAGCTTAGAACCAGAATCCTTGCGATTCCATGCTGACGATGCCTGCATCGGCCTGAAGAATTCTGACTTTACATACGGTCCCTGACCTCCTTGGTAGTCGTATCCTATCCTGAGACTCACCGGAACTCCATGTTTTCGGAGGTTCTGGAACAAGTAAGCCACCTTATCCATGATGTCGTCTGCGAATGTCCTGGATTGCACAGGATATAATTTCCATCGCTCAGCGTGCGGAAATCCATCTTCCATGAACGTATCCCAGGAGAATGTCGGCCGCCAGCCCATGCGCTCTCTCAACCAGTGAATGCTTTCGAGAGCTTTGGCATCCTCGAAAACATCGGCCTCACCCAAGCTCGGCTCGAAGGCATCCACCAGATTGATCGGGCACACGGCCAAGTCATCAAGTCTATCGTGTGAGCCTATCAGCACCTTTGGGTCTTCCTCGCGAACCAAAGCCATATGTCGGAGGAAGTCACCAAAACTTTTGGTTGACTCGTCTACGATGCGCCGAGCTTCGCTTTCATGGTCACGGTCACAGTTCTCGATAGGATACTGACGGAAGACTACGGCACCAGACCGTGGTTGCCTTGTCAACGGAGAATACACACCCTGTTTCATTCTCTCGCAACTCCATTGCATCCAATTTCCAAGACCAACGGTGATCGAGAGGGATTCGGTGGTCGCCAAGCCTTGGGCAAGTCGAGAGATCAGTGTTCGGAGGGGTGCTGATACGTTACGAAGCTGGATATGCTTCAAAGTGCTAGGCGCATGTTTAATGATTGGGTCGACTAGGGTGCAGATATAATCGTGCACCGAATCTTGACCCCATTCAGATGGCGATGAAGCACAAGTTAGTGACAGTCTCTCTAGACGAGGACAGATTTTGTTCAGAATATCAGCAACGGAACCGGTGTGAATCCCTTGAGGAGATTCCCTGCGGCTCAGCCGGAATGGCGAGCCCGCTGGGACGCATTTACTAGAATACCTGAGGATATGTAAGTAGATTAACTCAGTCCGATCTTAGTTATTTGTACCGATATCGAATTTTCTCATGTACGTTGAAGTCTGTCCAGTCGAAGAGCTTGAGATGGGTGGTGCGCAGAAACAAGGCTAGACACGTTTCAGCTAGTTCTGTCCAAGACCATATGTTGTCCAGCCTATACTTGTCTGGGTCGACGTTCCACACGAAATCTCTGACGTCGCTGAGGTCAAGTGTTGTAACTTGTGGGAGGTTCTGTTCAATCCAGGTAAAGTCATCCAATGACGACCAGTGCGAAACAGCCATGCTCTGGACATAGTTGCGGTTTCTGTCGTTGACAGAGTCCTTGAATTGTTCCCATCTAGAGCGACCCGCAGACGAAAACTCCCATTGAGCGAGGGTTGAGTCGTCCCAGTCCTCTATGGTGATTGGGTTCCTATACACTGCCTGCTCGAGGAGTGATGAGGCATAAAGTCCTTGGCATGTCCGTCTGAGGCGCGCTAGAGTTGATCGATCAAGATCGGTCACAATAATACCGAAGACATCATTAGGAAGTCCGAGGAGGGCTGGCTTGTATTGCTCTTGATGAGGATCCGGTGTCGGCATTGTAGTGATATGGTAGTGAAGTGTGAGATCTATGGTTCCAGGACAATAGTCCCAGGACACAAATGACAACCAGGGAGACTCGAGTCAAAGTAAGTGGTGCTGCTTAATCAACTGAGGCAAATGTCAACTTTGAAGTTAGCCGCTCAGTCCGTACTTCTGTATGTAAAGAATGAAAGAGAAAGTTTCTCAAAGAAGTGCTGATCAGATGGACTTTGCTCGCATACGTTGGGATTGACGACGATTACGTGCAGCAGCCACGGCTAACTCAAAATGGTTAGCCGGAGGCTATTTGGGCTGGACGGGAATTTACGCCCACACACAAATGCAGATGACAATTTCATTCCTGGATCCTGATAAACTTGCCCGGTCTATGAAGAGTATGGCTGTGCCAACTGCACGAGTTTAGAACGATTCTGATGCAGCCATCATCCAAGACTCTTTGTGCCCCAGTGACCCGAATTATTGGTCTGCAGTCATTGAAGCCATAAGGTACCCAGTAGAAAGATCGGCAGCTCAGAAACCACCATCAGCCCACGGGCCTAGTCTTCAAGATTGCATCTGGTACAAGTAAGCATCATAGGGCCCTGGAGTTGCGGTACTCGGGTGGTAGGGCTTCAGGCTCTTCGACTTCATGAGGAATGTTCTTCCATCATCACAGGATACGTGTTCAAGCTCTTACTTGCAGGAATATATAAAAAGGCGCATTACAAGTCTTTATGAACAAAGTAGACAAGGTAGGAAAAGCATTGTGCGTGGAAGTAAGCATCAGAGATCCATTGAGTGTTCATCCAAACTGCACAAGCTGTCTGAGAATGCGTACGGAAAATTGAGGAAGACTTGCCAGGGGAGATCGATAGTACAATGCTCTTACTGTCGAAGCATTCAAGGATTTTATATCTCAATTCCCTTGTGAGATTTCGAATCACGCTTCCATCTTGCTAAGGTTGGCGATCTTTTTGTTGAGTTCCCGAATGACCGCGCTGGTCTACTCCGTGACTACATCCTTTATTATCTCTCTATCGTTATTCGTGGATTCGATTGTCAAATTGTACAGTCATCTGCATCTGCTCTTGTAGATCGTCCGGTAACTCTTGTTCTCTCGAACTATTGTTTCGATCTCTTCGTAGACATTAGTGTAGCACTGAGGGATAGGAGGCACACCATCCTGTACCAACAGATTGGAGATTTGATAGCGCTTGGAGGCACGTAGTGTTGACGTGAGTGCTCCAAAATTTGCTAGATTCGTGGTAAGTCCAAGGTCCTCACATCGGTCTTTCGATCTGTCAGTCAGAAGACCCGTAGGCATGACTCGGATCAGGCGAGGGCGTCTCTTTCGGAAATTCTACTGCGAACATGACTTGCTCGATCGAGTCGGTAGATTTTTCTTACCATGGATAGGTCTTGGACTGGTCGAATCCGACTATCCCGTCCGTTGATATCCTTGCCCAAACATCACGCGTCCAAATTGCGGTGTATCAAGCATCACCGATAAAGAGCACATTCGCTATTATGTGACCGAACTAATAAGCGCCTATGCGTGTGAACAATACTGGCAAGGCTGCCCGTCTGTGCCAGGCTGCAATTGGACGGTCACAGAGTTTGTGATACCCGACTATCACCCTCCGAGCACGCTCCCGCTTCTTAAAAACTTAGGTATGTTCATCATTACTGGATGTATCTATAGTTGTTATGGTACCACCTACATTGTCTGATGTAGGCAAAGTTAACAGCTCTACGATGCAGCAAGGCGGATCACAGACCCATCTTTCCTGTCATGGGACGGACCGTTTCTGCAGTCACAATCTAAGGCGGTAATATCGGTAGGGTTGAATGCTCAAGTCGTCTGTGTTGAGGTAGTCAATGGTTCCTCTACGTGGTAAGATGATACCACGACTTCGAAGGTCATTCCACAGAATTCTTCATTAGGAGTTGTTGAGACGCTGACAACGTGGCCGTTGTACAAGAGCGGTTCGGCGGTCACAACAGAGGAGAAACCGCCTAGTTTGATGCATCAACATGCTCATGGACATCTTAGTATACTGATCGATGCTATCGGTATGCAAACTTCCAACCAGGCCCACGTTATCCTATAGGGCTGTATTTGACGTTATTGCTGTCTCTCAGTCCGTATAGCATGAATACCAGAGACGATGCTATTCAGTCACTCATGACCCGTGGTGTACTTACAGCGTCTGAAAATCTAATTTTTCATCGGGATCTAATGAAAAGGAGAGATGCCAAGTCATCCCCATTTGACCACTGGAGCAATTTTCCTGCACCTAGAGAATTAGAAAGCGCACAGCAGGTGTCAGTCCCACCTGTGCAATGTCCGATTTCGAAACTTCACCAGACGAGACATTCACAATTTACACGTGGACTGTGACTATCGCTAGAAAGCGGTCTCGATAAGACAACTCCTTCCGAGCATGTGTGAGAGCGGTCTACCGGTCTGGAAAAGTGCATCTCATAAGGTGAGGTGACTAGAGTGGACCATACGTCCGGTATCAATGCACTTCTACGCCGCATGAAGGTCTAAGTAGGTAAACATCGAAGCATGAGCCCGTGTAATTCGTAAATGATTCTTAACCGTGATGGCGACGACCGTATAAAAGGTCAAGCATCCGCAGCAAGATTGCGAGTCTTCGATGTTCACAGTCTTCCAGGCCACACAGCTAAACTTTCACCAGAGACTCGATCGAAGACCTTTCCCTTCATATTCAACTTCAACTACAAACATGACCTCCAATCAGAACATCAGCGCAAGAATAGAGCCTGTAAGTATTCCCAATTCACTTCACCAGCTCCAGCTAATCCAAACATTAGCCATCCGGAACAGGCCCAAGCTCCACAGCACCGCCGGTACAGCCATACTTCAAGCGATTAATACGTGATTCCTGACCTCAAACAGTGGACCGACTCTTTGATTGCCACGGCTTCCTCTAACTTTGAGTTTCAGTATCTTGGTTTCGACCCTGAGGATTGCCAGGGCATGTACCATATTCCTATTCTGGATCTCTCGCCGAAGGCTCTTATGTCGATACCTGAAATCCGTTCCGGTGGAGGACAACAACGAACAGAGGCGATCACCGGGTCCAACGCGCCAGTTGCTGGATTGAAAAGATAGGATAGCTTGAGCGGCTCGGTCATGACCAGAAGCCGGAGCAGTGCATAAGCCAATGGTCTAACGAAAGTCTTGGAGAGGTTGTGTGACCGGCATTACAGAGATCAGACTACAAGATAGGCAAAGACGAATCCTAGACATGTCCCAGAGCTGATTAGAGAAGCGAGATACCATGTTTAGCTACGTTCTCCGTATGTCACTACCTTGAATAGTCATTCTATGTCCCTTTTTGTGACATTGTTACCAGTCATGCAATGTTGTGAATCAGTTTTTGGTGCTGTGGTGCTTCCATGAGAGGAAGATGGTCCTATTATATTCCACAATGTCCATCTTTATGCACGATTCACCCGTGGAGTTAATAGTGGGACGTCACGTGTACGCTCCCGAGCGCTCTGCGACAGACGGAGATTAGTCCGGTTTTGGGCTGATTCTCCCCTGACTCTATTTGCATGACTACGATTTCGCTAGCTGGAGCATTGTACAGTAGTGTCAATCCACATTCACAGTGTAGATACGAATGACCATCGTGGAGTTGACATTGCACTGGAGCGAGAGAGCTGTTTCCATTTCGAGAGTTGCGACCCACATACGTGGCACTGCCAGGATGGTCCAATGCACGCTGTCAATTTCCTGATACTAATGCATAGTCTCCTCCGATAGGGTGGATGCCTTGTATTATTCAAATGTATGCATTGGTCCAGTATCGCATTCTCTGTTACTGAGTCTGTACATCGTGCATAACCGTTGTTGGGTCTAGCGACAGGCTCGTGTCGCCATCAGGTATCCCGCGGAAGATCGGGGCTGGTAAGAACCTTGAAAGCAGGTTCCTACAACGGATATCCTTCATTCCGTGCTTTGACTTGCAAGATTCTATGCTATTTGGAAACCTGACTAGACATCATACATGTAGCGGATTTCTTGCTTTGACTCGGTTGCCACATTCTTGCACAACGTTTATATACCTGCCTGAAGCTCTCGTGAATGATTCTGAATAACTTTAACTTTGCTCTAAACAGTGCTGAACACCTGTTGTACAGCATTGGGGTTCTTTCCTAAAGGACCATAGTTGTGAAGACCACCCTACAGCACTCCGTATCCTTCTGCTTCAACAAGATGGCATCTAGTAAGAATGATAATATCTCTGATAGTTAGCCGTCCTTCCCTTTGGGCGAAAGCAATACTGAATCGTCACTAGAAAGCCTCGATGATAAGTCTACTCCATCGGAAGGATCTGCCGTCGGTCTGCCTCCAATCTGGTCGACTCAACCGTTCTTACGATCGCTTGTCCAAGCGTTCGGGTATGGACTCGATTGGCCAGATGTTAGACTGCAGGAGATCGAGTACGAGAAGAGTAAGCATTCTGCAGCAACTTACTTCCATGATCACATCACTGATAGCAGGATACAGTTGATGCCTATCCCAATGGCTATCCACGTTTAGCAGCATATATAAACTCTGATCATAACTTTCTCGTGTATCGTAAATTTGGCACAGCACGTAATCGAGTTCTCTTGCACCGACAGCAACAGGTGGTAGCTGCTGAAAGAGCCCTTTATGAGCTGGACTGCTCGAACGAAAAGCATGGCTTTGCACGTCGTTTGCAGACAATATACCAGGATAAGGTTTCTGTAGAGTCTGAAAAAGACTTCAAGAAGAGGAACTGGTTGATCGAGGATCTGAGCGACAAACTCGCTGAATATGGTACGCCCTCTAGCGTCTCGTCTAAGATCTCTGGAGCGCTGTTCTAACAACCATTTAAGATAAGTTGCTGCTTCGCGAAGCACAGATCGAACAGTTCGATAGTCCATCGCGGAGGAATTATCTTAGTCTCTACCACTGGATCTGGAATCTCAAGCCTGTTGTGCGCGAAGAGGGAAAATTCTTCAGTCGTGCCGATGATTTCGTCATTCTCTCACGACGAGCACAGGACTCTCCGCTGAGAGTCTTCATCGAGGGGATCATTCTCAGTCTACCAAGAAGCTGGACTCGTGTAAGTGATAGTATATACTCCCAGGAAGCACGTACTAATCGCACTAAGCTCGTCTTTACGAACAAACACCAAAAGCAGGCAACAAGCGAAGCATCGGTTACTTTAGCTGACCGAGGTCGAGTCGACTCCCTTATTCGAGTGATCATTGTAGCCACGACAGTGTTCATGGTCGTGATACCTCATTCGATACTCCTCGAGGGAAGCATTTATGGTCAGATTGGAACACCCACCATCTTGACGTTCACCGCTGGGTTCGCTATGGTGGTATCAGTGTTTGCGAGACCAAGCAACCTGGCGTTGATCACAGGAACCGCCTGGTAGGTTGAGCAAGAGAGCTACTCGGGCATCAGTCGCTGACTTCTACCATAGCTATTGCACGGCTCTTTGCATGCTCCTCGCGCTGGCAAAGTAGGCCGCGCTAGATGCAGCAAGGAAAGTATCAGTTGTAGTGCTGACAATTTATTTCATAGTCTAGCAATCACCTCTCCCATGTCCCATGGATGAGCTCACAAGAATGTAAAATCCTTTTTCTGCATTGCGGCGTTCTGTGAAGAGTAACGTCAAAACCTGCGGAATTGACTAGCATGATGACCGGGTCGATACACAGAGACGCGAAGTAGATTTGAGCGATGGCCAGAGCGACGCAATCCTCGACGCACTACCTGTATGTTGCCGCAGTTTGGAAGTCCACCAAATAAAGAAGAATGCAATGCATGTTCATGGGTGATTTGAAATGTTTGCCTGCGGGTCAGTTTCTGCATGCATGATCCCTGCGACTCTCTGATGAACAAATGACAACTATCACGATATTCGTCCTTCAGGCAACGTATGAAAGACCTTCTCAATCTACAGAATCACGAGAGAAGGGATAGTGTGTTATGCCGTCGTTAACGGTCCTTCTTCGCTTCGCTAGATGCGCGGTCATAGACGGATGGCCAATGTGACATGACATGCATGCTTCACTCACACGTCATCCGCCTTTTGCGAAAGCAAACATCTAAACCTAAAACTATGGAAGTTCATCCTCGGAACAAAAGCAGGCTTGGATATGAAACGAATTGTCTTGGGCACGGCGCAGCTTTGGTTCATGCCATTCTAATAACAATGTTGAGCTTGTGCTACACCGAACGCGACTTGAGCTAAGTTTGTCTGCAGCTTTCCTTCTCACGCTGACAATGAAGACAAGTAACGTGCGCAATTTCATTTCAAGATTCATGAGGTGCATCGTATGGCTCGTCCCACAGTCTTGTGGTACGAGATCTCACGTGGATTCTTTTTGCGAGCTTTAAAGGGAATCTCGTAAGTATTTGAGTCATTGGCTCGACAGGCGGCCGATTTATTAGCTTTAGCATCTCTCAACTCCAATAGATATGAATTGCCCGGATTCAATCGTCTTCGACTGTCATATGAACCACATTTCAAGTGATGATAGGTCCGAGATGAATTGTCGGATGGAGTCTATGATAACATCACCCATGAGGGTTGCATCCCCTCAAACTTTTATAACAGGCGGCGACAGCAGTGACGAGACCGGGAAATGTTGTGTTGGCGAGAAAGTCACCCAGCTGGATCCGAATTTCAGTCGGACGAGCACTCTTGCAGGCACTGGGACCTCAAAACCGTCCATTGCCATGCGAGTGTTCTCGTTCTTTGGATTAGACGACTTGTTCCCGGGGCCCTGGGAGTGGGACGATCGTTATAAAGATGTCCGATCAGAGAGAGGTGATGATATTCTCATGCAGTCCAGACCTATGAGCTGACAAAGGCAAGTTGATGACTATCCTATCGGGTATGGTCGATTGGCAGCACACATGTCGTCTGACAACAACTTTTGCGTCTATCGGCGATTCGGCACAGCCAGGAACCGAGTCATTCTTCGGTGTCAGACTGAGATCGCCGAGCTTGAGATGGCAATCGATGTGATCGAGCGCGAAGAGAGCGACAGAGCCGAGAAGACGGGAGGGAGGCCTCGAAAACTCATGACCATACATGATCCGGATATGAGTCAAGTAATGAGTGCGTTGTCCCAAAAACTGGAGGAATATGGTACGTAAGGCAATTGCTCGCATGACCAGCGAACTCCGCATCCGAGCTCTCTGCAATACTGATACCTTGCAGACAATCTCCTCGAAAGAGAGCAGAAGTCTTTATCCATGGCCAAGCCCACTGGTCGAAATTATAGAACTCTGCTTCATTGGTGCTGGAACAATAAACCTATGGTGCGGAGTGAATCGGGACATCTCAACGTCAGAGATGATTTCGTAATTCTTGTGGACGACCAAAATTCAGTGATCCACGTCTTCTTTGGCTGGCTATTGCGCCGTGGTCCGTTCAAAAGGATAGCTGTATGCTGACTGGCCTTCGACGAATTCGCTGGACCGTCCGCTGACAAAGCGTAGAACATCTTTCGAACCAAGGACCAGCAGACCAAAGCCTCAGAGGCAGATAATCGGACAGTCTTGTTCTCTCAAGAGCGCTTTACAACATTTTTTAAGATGCTGTTCCTGCTTCTGGTGATAGTAATGCTGCTTGTGCCTGTGAGTATTCTCTATATCATGGAACTCACCAAAATGGCTCGACTTTTCGTGGTGATAAGTTTTGTGCTATACTTCCCCATCATGGTATTCTGCTTCTCTAGACGTCTTAAAAGCCAGGAGCTGCTATCAGCAACAGCTGCGTAGGTCTTGTACGCCATATTCTACGGTGCAAAGCTGACCAACATAGATATACCGCGGTACTCGTTGCATGCCTATTTTTGACATAAAAAATTCAACGTACCGAGCTCCATGATATCTATATTCCTTCTTCAGGAATCAAGTTTCGGTATTGCTGGATAATGCTAGAGGAGTTTTGTGTTTATTCACGGCGCAGTGTGTTATCATAACCAATAGCACGCGATAGTCCTGGCTCCAGCCGCACTGTTGGCGAACAGGTATTCTGCTTAATCCGATTCAAGATACACTTTTGTGGTTCATCTTCCACGATTCACTGCGTTGATGTTGATGCCGGTGTTGATCGCCAGCAAGAGTGTATTGATCCATGATTACGGTTTCTCGTATTCAATCATGTGATCCAATGTCGTCCTCAGCTCGACTGTGTGAGCTGATTCCGTCTTGTAGCAGATAAAGATAGGCTTGTCGCTGGGCGAGACTATATAGTAGTTGTTCAGTCGTATCTGTCGATGGTGTTGTGGGATTTCATACCAGCCTAGTGGTGGAGTGGGAGTGGAGACGTTCCTGAGCTAGACAGGGAGCCGATGAGCGCTAGCAACGCCTCTTTCTTGGCGGTACTAGGCCGCGCAGGTATGGGACAGGGCAGGGAAACTTTCTTGCGGAGGGCCTCTTTACTCAATTGGACGTCGACAGCCATGCGATGAGATGGTTCTCGAGCTTATAGGCATCACAATCGTGTAACATCTCCCATCGCCAACACATCGAGCCGGTGAAGGGCAACGTAATGCCAGTGGCCGTGCATGTGGTCGCTCGTAGGCCTCCAGCCCAACCCAAACATTCCCTGCGCCATCATGTCACCACCGGTTTTGCCTTTTACACTCGGACCTTTGCGCGACACCTGAACCAAGCAAGTACCAGCATTTTTGGTTTAGCCCAGCAGAGGACGCGGACATTTTCAGTGTCGTCCCGATTCCGCGGTATCTACGAGCAAGGGCACTGGGTCGACGCTAATCCCAGACCAGACAGATAATGGCTTTCACTGAGTCACATGAGACCGTGTTGAGTCCGCGTTGTATCTGACGCGTCCAATCACGTCTCCCACTACTTCCTCACTTTCCGTCCCATGCAGCCCAGGCCGAGACGGCGGTCTCCCTATATATTCCCTTAACTTGCCCTTCATCATCTGAGACTTGGATGGCTGACCTCTCGCTCTTCAGCCCTTGCTGCCTAAGGTTCATCCAGCATTCACCAAGTCTTCGTAAGTCCATTGCCTTCGAATGATTTAGAACATATAAAGCCAGCAATCTCCTCCCTCATCGGTCTGCTTCTGTGACTACTACCGTCTCCTCCTACCTCTTCTGCCGATACCTCCTCATACCATCAAAATGTTTACTTCGAAGACAAAGTATCCAACAGATAGCTTCTCGAAAAACAGAGTTGGGAAAGCTACAAAGTCCAAAAAGGGATCTTTCAGAGAGTCGTCAAGATCCAAACGTGCAGAGCACTCGTCGCCCAGAAGTCAATCAACTGGAAGTGCACCAGTGACTCCGTAAGTCTTTGCATCCAATATCTATGTTACTCCATGACTGATTCATCGCAGCAATCTTACTAGTGCCATCATAACGCTTTGTGTGGGCAGGGAACAGCGTCTCTTTGCTGCCCATGAAGATGTGCTTTGTCACTCTCCATTCTTCCAGGCTGCCTGTCGTGGTCAATTCTTTGAGTCGTCATCCAAACGTATCGACTTGCCCGACGACGAACCCGAAGTCTTCTCCTCAGTTCTCGAATACCTTTACAAAGGTGACTACTATCCACGTCTAGAGTTCGACAAGCGGAGACATAGTTGGGCTTTAGAAGATGGACATGCAGGTCAAGCTGTCAACGAAGCAGTAGTCATGCTCAACGGAGCCTATCCTATACTCAAGGACACTGTCATCTATGTATGTGTATTCCTTGGTCTCGTCGTACCGATACTGATAATCATGGCAGTGCACAGCCGAAAAGTATGGCCTTGAGGAGCTGAAGCGTCTTGCTCTCCGCAAACAAGGTCTTCAGTCTGGTGTGCAATGCAGTACCATTCTCACCAGTGCCCGCTACGCATATGCCAATACCCCTGACAGCGACTCCAAGCTACGTGCCCACTACCTCGCCCTCATCGTTCGTAGCCGCCAGACCTTCAAGCGCAGCGGTACGATGCAGTCTGAGATGGAAGCTGGTGGAAAACTCTTCTTTGACCTCTTCGTTGCAATGGTCAATCACATGGTATGTTTCAACGACACTTGATCGGTCGACTTTTTCTAGTGAATATTGCTGACGTGGCATGCAGGATGACCTTGCTGCGTCAAAGCGTTGATGTCGCCACTCCAGGCAACTACGTCGGATGCCTACGCACGACGATAACGCAACACCGTTATGCCTCTATCACTCGTCGCATGCTTGTCTCGTCCAGCCTAAAGCATGAGCTCTTATCTCACTACTGCCTGCACCACTATGCGTTGGTGCTATCACTAACACCTTCATACTGTTTCTTCACCATCACTCAGCCGTCTAAGCTTCACTTCTTGTACTATATTTATCCATAACCCAGCAAAACCATACTGAATTTGGTGCGCGTCGATATCTGGCGTTTCCAGGGCGTTCGGCATGTTCTGTATTCTTCTATCTTGTATCTCCTGCAATCTCTTTTCTACCTCTTTCGGCGAGCGCTCTAATGTCATATTCTCTTCTTGCAGGCCGTCCCGTGTCTTCTTCTTGGATTCTGTACAATAGAAATCCGCTGCCTGTATATCTGCTAACGGGTATGCGAGTGACAAGAGTGGGAACTTTGCTGCCATTCAATGGAGCAGTGGGCACAGCTTCCACCGACCCTTATAAAAACATCTAACGGCTTCTAGATGCCCCTTCCTCCTTTCTGCGCCATCATTGTACACTACATGTCTGTTTGCATTTTTACGAATTCTCTTAAGCTATGGAAACTCTGTTCTCGACGCTGCACGAAGAAGAATCATATTTGAGAGACGAAATTTGAAGGGGGGTTATCACATTCTTCAAGAATTGCGAGCAAGAGCCGCAAGCAGAATGACTTGAAGCGACGGGGAGCAAGCAGATTTGGAAAATTGCAAACTTGAAGGGCACTGTATTGCTCTTAAGCAACAGATCTATAGTACTTCATTATTCATAAATACCATGACATACGCAAACTACCGATCCAAATCTCTGTAGCATCACACGACACATTAATCGGATTTGCATTATCAGTATTAGAATCAAGTTTTAGTCGGCCATATGTTCCATTCAGGCCGTATTGATTATCAATAACATGTATGATATGCTACGTAGGTATCTCCATGCTATGAGTATGTACTCCCAGAAGATACCTAAAGAAACCTATATCTACTCGATGCAGTTGCAACGCACCCCCTACCAGAGTCCCCCCAAGGCATCCATCCCAGCACAGGCATCCCCCATCCACACAACCCCCCAAAATACAACCGAGACTTGTGACTCACAAATTTCCCCATCCGGACTGTAAAGCTTATCAACCCCTGCACACCATCCTTGAACCTCTGCAGGGCGACCTCCACAAGGACAAGCCAGGATAAGCACAATACAGGCTCCCGTCGTGCTGATCCCCAGCATACTGACCAGTCATGTTTTCTGCGCCGGGCTTATCCGTCAGCAATATGCAAGGACGGGCACTACGCGGGAGAAGGCCGAACGATGTGTAGGTCGTGGGGATCTAGGCTTCTGGGGACGATCAAGGCGTGGCGAGATGTATGCGTGTGTGTGTAGGGTTGGGAAAGGGTGCATATTCTGTATGGATGTTAGTATTGAATATCAATATGAATTGCGATATCCGAACGGTGTGGTTTTGTTGGTGAACCTGTACGTGCTTTTGGTACTGCGGGAGTTGATGGTGTATGTGTAAGGGTGTAGCACAGTGTATGACAAGATATGACTGTATTGGCTCGTAACAGTACTTCATGAGTCGTGTCTCTGTTCTGTCTTTTGTTCTTCTATTCTATTGCCTATCGCATAGAGTATGTCTCTCTATACCCCGGTCCCCGGGAACGCTTTATCACCCTTTTGCAACACAACCTTGCCGTGATCGTGAGAGATATAGCCTTTCATGAGGTTCTGGGATATCTGTTAGCATTGGTGTGATTTGAATCGGGATTATTGGTGGAAATGCATGCATGTGTACGCTAGGCATCTATGGGTACGTAGGCAGCCGTAGATGCCAAGACATTCGGAAGAGCCCAGATATGGGCCGGGCATGCAAGGTGTTTGTCCAGGTGCTGTACACATACCTTATAAATCATGTTCGCCATCAGACATTCCACTTCCTCCTGATCAAGGCTCTCGCCGTCCTTCCCCATGCTTAACCTCACCGCAGCGTGGAAATCGACCAGTGCGATCCTCGACTTGCGCACTTTGGGGGCATCTGGTGGGTCACCCTCCTTTGGTGGTTCGTAGCCTGCACTCAGGTACACCTTCCGCAGCAGGTTTCGCAATGCAATATCGCGACCTCGTTCAAGAGTAAGATATATACGCCGTTTGACGAATTCCGCCTCGCCGGATGCCAGAGCGGCGTCGTAGCCAGCAAGATCGCCACGCTTGATGCACATCGCAAGGGGCTGAAATAGAGCTTCGAGGCGTGGATAGGGACCCAGAAGGGCGCTGGTCGGGAGGGTGTGTGTTGTCAAAAGGTGACAAGGGATGAGATAAGTGAGAATTAACTCGCGGTTCTTCTTGGCATCCTTGTGACACAGGACTAGGGCATCCGTGAGGTAGTTTTCTGCCTGCGAAGCATTCCTTAGTGTTTGTTCTACGTCATTTAGTGGATGGTATCCTACCTTGATATAGTCCTCATCTAGGAAGAATATCACCCCAGCATAGTATTTGAAAGTCGTCTGGTGCGCCTTGGGAAACCGCTCTAGGGCTGGAAGATCCGATTGGGCGTGGAGCGTTCGCAATATATTTTTCGAAAGATTGATTGAATTGATCTGAAATTGTTAGTCCCACATGAAGACGATGCTTGACGGTGATTGTACCTTGAAGTGTGTCTTGAACAGAAGATTGGCGATGTAATAAATGCCCCATTTTCGCGAGTCCTCTATCGGCGACCTGTCTCCAAGAAACAGGGAGAATATCCTCATCAATTGTCTTGCCGTGTCTTCCAGTTTTTCGTTCTTATTGGCCGAACTAACAACGTCGTCTCCCAGACCGTCCGTAAATGCCACCTTTCCTTGTGTATCGGTCGTCTGTTTATCTGCCTTTATAGCGAACACTCGTAAGTACCTTCCACCAGTATACAGACATGGTATGGTCCACGCGGGGAAATGACCAGCAGCATGTCCTTTGATGAGCGCATTCACAACATCTTTCCATGCGTCATAGGCTGTTGTCCATTCGTTTCCAATAAACTTTCTCCGGTTTTGCGCTTCCTCGGCGTTCAAAATATCACCAACTGCTTTCCAATAGGCGACAAAAACATCTACCCAGGCATCCGTTTCTGCTCTGCTACTGAACGTGGCATTGCGACCACGACCGAGAGCATCGCGGATATCTCCTGCGACTGCATAGTTATTCGTACTTTTGGAGAATGCATATAACCGTCCGCCATCGTCCAGAGGCGGTATAGGGCTAAGCGTCGCAGCTAAGTCGTAGCCAGAGCTGTCATGTTGAGCGCGCTTAAATTCTTCGATGATACGGTCCATTTTGCATTCGCATGGCAATGATTGCACTGCGTCCGTCGGTGTGATGATGTTACGTGGACAGAAGCCACCTGCGCAGTACTTCAATCCATTTTGAATGTTGACATTCGCAAGGCAAGATGGTGTTCACATTTGTCACTGAGAGTTCCAGGAAGCCGAGGTCTCACCGATTTGCTGGAAGGCATCAGCGCCCTTGATTGGTTTTTTACTAGCGTTGTGGTTAAGCGAGTTTGCGAGCACACACTTTGACGAACTTCGCGAAGCCTTTATCGACAGTAAGTACACACACCCCATCAGCACGACAAACTATTCGAAGTAAGTGTAGCCATCAATCGATTGATTTTAGCCATCTCTAACATAATACAGATGGGTAAGCCTCGCCACTCCTTTTCCTTATCGTCATCGAACCTTGATATACCCGAGATCTGAGGACCACCACGAGTCGCAATAATCGTCGCATACCAGAGATAGCGTACCAAATCATAGTCGTAGGAGATGTGAAAGGACTGCAAGACGCTTTTCTATTCGAAGCGTCCTTCACGATCATCAGCTGCGAGAGACGATAAGCATAGCAAGAGAAAGATAGAGCGCACAGTTACATCCTGGGTCTTTGATACAGTGGTCTATACGCAAAACCGTGTGCCAACACGGTCTCCGAACCCTGATTTCTGGACATTGTCTTGATGGTATCTATGATATAGAAATGATGGCTAACATTGGTACTCAGGTCGCGTCAAGGAATACCAGGTTGTGGGCCGTCACCTCCCCAGCGAGGCCAACCCTACCCCAAAGCTCTTCCGCATGCGCATCTTCGCCCCCAACAGCGTGGTAGCAAAGTCAAGATTCTGGTATTTTCTCGGAAAGCTGAAGAAAATCAAGAAGGCCAACGGCGAGATTGTCTCGTTGAATGAGGTACCTACAGCGTGTTAAAGCATGAAAGTGTCTATACTCACAGGATGCACAGATTCACGAGAAGCGCCCGACAAAGGTCAAGAACTTCGGTATCTGGATCCGCTACGATTCGCGCAGTGGAACCCACAACATGTACAAGGAGTTCCGTGAAATGTCCAGGACAGATGCCGTCGACGCCCTCTACCAGGACATGGCTGCCCGCCACCGCTCTCGTTTCCGACAAATCCACATCCTTAAGGTCATCGAGGTTGAGAAGTCCGAATCTATTCGCCGCCCATACATCAAGCAGCTCCTCACAAAGGACCTCAAATTTCCTCTACCCCACCGCGTTCATGCCAACCAGGCCAAGGCTATCTTCTCTGCCAAGAGACCCTCAACTTTCTTCTAAGCGCTGTTTCGGATACTGGGGAAAAGTGGTGCAAGGCATTTGTGGCATATTGGGGCTGTTGCCAGTACTTCTATATTGAACATGGAGTAACTAGACACGAATGAAAAGCCCCATAACTCAAAGTTGTATTGAGCATGCTTATGTGCCGCTGACTGAGTCTTGTGTGAACTTTGAAACTACATGACATCTGAAAGTTGCACGCCTGTTCTTATAGCTTTGCTTTGCCGAGCTGTTTGGTCGCCTTTGCCTTCGAGAACACATCGATTGGAGACCACCACGGATACACCTGAGGTGCATTACTCTCCATCGTACCCTGATACTTCGCCTGCCTCTTCTCCATGAAGGACTTGACACCTTCATCATTATCCCTTTTTGTCATTAGCAAGATATAACGCACCTTCGCAGCAGCAGAAAGACTTACTCGCTCCCGAACAAATCATATAGAATCCTTGAATCCAACAAATGCTGTCCCTCGGCACTCCCCATATCCCTCCACATCATCTCCCTCTGCAGATACGTACTCACACTACTCGTGTTCCTCGCCACCTCCTCAGCAATCCCTAATGCCTTCTGCAGTACCTCCTCCGGCGTATCACACAGCTCTGTAAACAGCCCATCAAACAGTTTATCGTCCGCACGATACACCCCACCCGTGGTAACAAGGTGCAGCGCGCGCGAATACCCAATTAGGCGAGGCAAGAAAAACGAGCTTGCAGCCTCCATGACGATTCCACGGCGCGCAAATACAAGCCCCATTTTCGCTGATTTCAGCGCCACACGGATGGACATGGGCAGTGTCATGGTGACGCCGACGCCGACAGCGGGGCCTTGCATGGCGCCAATGGTGGGCTTCTGGCAGTGGTGGATGGCGAGCGCGGTTTGGCCGCCTCTGTATACGTACAACATATTAGCACAGCCCTCTCATACGGTACCTCTACCAAGCAGCTCGGCCTTATTCTTTATTGTTAGTCCGGCTAGGAGCGAACGTACCCATCCCGGTGATCTGCAGCCCTGCCCGTCTTACTAAAGCCAGCGTCCAGATCCGCGCCTGCGCAGAACATGCGGCCGTGGCCTGTGAATACGATGCACTTTACGCGCTGGTCGGCGTCAAAGTATTTATAGGCCTGGACGATCTCGTCGCGCATGATAGGAGTGAATGCATTGTAGTTTTTCGGGCGGTATAAGGTGAGTATGATGATTGGGGTTACTTCGGTCGAGGACGCGGGGTGGTGGGAGAGTTTGATCTGTGTGAATGGCAGCGAGGCATAGGAGTCCGGGAGGGCGATGGAGGGGTGCGCGCGGATGTCGGGCATATTGAGGGGTGGGTAGAGTGTAGATATGTTCGTACGGAGGGGAGGGTCTGGTTCGGAGGGGAATTGGAAGGTAATTGTATATCAATTTGAATTTGAGGACGACAACCTTGTAGAGCTTTCAATGCTGAGGGGTGCACCGAGGTTACGGGGAACGCGAGGTTACCGAGCTTCGGCCAATCACGTACAAGCGAAACAGGCAGGTGTAAACATACGATTGTGGTAATACAGGTGTGGAGACAATGGCACATTATTGTGCTTTTCATTCCTCTAATTATATGTTCGAATGTGGTTCTGACCGATGGCTTCGTTATTCGTTTACTTCTTTAAGCTGGTGCGGATCCGCATTCATTCCAGCGTCCTCCAGATGTAGCAAAACTCAAGCTGTTGACAAAATTATCCAGCGTGCACCTCCCGAAGATGTCTGCATTACATGTCTTCAGGGGTATTACTCTATCATTCACCACTATACGCACGAGCTCTGACTTCTGGCCAGCACACTGCATCTTTTCAAAGTATGCACGAGCTCCAAAAGGCACAGCCCAAGAGGCCGAGTACCCATTCGTTTTATCTGTACCTTGCAGAGTACTATTCGAGAGCTGTGTAGTAGAGTTGTAGAGGCCAAGTGCTGCATAAACACCTGCAAGGTCGTTATCATGGGAAAAGTCTGCGTAGAGCGTGCGGTTCAGGGGGAACGTTGCATCATTATTATCCAGCGTCGAGTTTGTAGTGGTATGATCCACCACAGGCCTTCGCGTTAGGCGTGCAATGAGCTCGTTTGCATATCCTACCCCTTGGGTGGGCCCCAACGGGTTACCGTTACCATAGCCGTACCATTTGTCGAGAGTCTCATAGTAGTCGTACTGGTGGAACTCGTTCTCAGTGAACAGGTTACAAAAAGCCGAAGGTGAACCCTGTGGATCAGCAACCGTCTCGAAAGGACACAAGTCCATCATGTAAAGAGTTTCGTCCAGGGTGAAATTGGCACCAGCAAGGTCCTTGTTGAGGCGCGCTTGGATCGGTGGTAGAAAGACGCTGGCCCAGACAGCTTTGTTATCATCCCCAATCTCTGAGGCAGCGCCGTCTTCGAATTCATAGCATCCTCCGTGCGACAGGGTGTTATTTACGCCTCGCTCTTCTGGTATGATGACCGAGAGAGCTGGAGAAGCTTGGTGTGGTTGCTCCGAGGCATATCCTTCGATCCACTTCTGTGCTGACTCGACTACACGGTTCTGCCCTGCGGTTCGAACAAAAGGCAAGCTGTTCTTTGCCAAATTTACATATCGCCGATGAAATTTGATACCAGAGTTAACCAACTGTTGACGTCCAATTGTAGTGAGCTCGTCAGCACCCAGAGTGTATTGAACGTCTTTCAGGAAGGCATATTTTCCTTTGTACTCTTTCACATTCTTCTTCAGCTTCGCAATTGTGGCATTGTACTTAGCGGTCTTGCTTGCTGAGGGATCACGAGCCCCGTGACGAGACAACATGTTCGCAAATGTAATGGAACATCCAGGAGGGACTTGGTCAGGGATCTCGGAAGGGACGCTGTAGTACAAAGAGTATTGTCCCCAAAACTTTGCGATCTTGGGATCGCACACGTAGCCATGCTCGATCGTGTCACAGGACTGTTTCGGTGCTTGCGTTGACGTTCTATATCGTGTTAAGGCACCATGGCAACTGCAAATTCGAAAGGCTACTCACACCGAGGTCGTATAGAACAAGGCCAGGACAGAAAGGCTTAGGAGTACCATGATGGCGATAGGCCTTGCTCTTGAGGTCCGACGTGTTTGATGTACAGCATCTCCGTTCAGCGGTTGGTACTTATAGTCCTTTCGACTTGCGCCGGAGCGCGATTTCGGGAAATCCATCCCGTTCAACACCCCAATCTTCGACTAGGATTATGCAGACATTAAGCTCGGTAACTTGACATGCTTGTCCTCGCTTGGAATCGACAGGCGACGTTCTCACGGACCAGCTTCTAGATTGCGAAAAGTTGACGAAGAAGTTGAGTGAAATGCGTAGCTGCGAAGTAACGTGGGGCACTCAACCAACGAAGAGGAATCTAATAAGCACGTGGGAAGGCAGTAGTGTCAATGTAAGTGCAAGTGTGTGTAAGTGAATATTAGAGAACTGGCCGGCAGGATGAGTGACCCTGGGATCTTCTCCATCCACGTGGGGCTTAGCGCCTATAGAGAAAACCCCTGAAGCCTGACCCGGCCGCAGCTGCCTGAGGCAGTATCATTCGACCACACGTTCAGAACGTGGGCCTAGTTCTTCGAATCAACATCAGATAATCCCGCTCTAACCACAGGAACGTGGCCCATCATTGCAGCCACCGACGTGACCACCAGTCGACCGCATCTCGTGTCTACAGATCTGGAGTTATGCGATAAAGCTTATCCAAGCAAGTCGGGCTGTTGTGAGAAGGATTGAGAAGTCACGCCCGAAGAGCTAGAAAAGGAGTAGTAATCGCCAATGCCACGTACCTCTTATTACTTGCGGAGACTTACAAAAAGACGAAGACCCTTGGGATTTCTTGTTATGCTTCTCTTAGCTATTGGAATAATCTGGGGAGTACTTATACCGCTGGCATACATCGTCTACAAACCTCCGGCTGCACTAATCCACTACTTTCGATATCACTGGCCGGACGTTCTTTGGGAAGTCTCGACGACACAAAAAATCGTGGCCTTGACTATCGATGATGCACCTTCAGAGTACACATCTGAGATCTTAGATGCTCTGAATAACAATGATGCCACAGCCACATTCTTCGTCATCGGCTCTCAAGTCTCTGGTCGCGAGAACATATTGCGGAACGTCATTTGGAACGATAACGAGCTAGGCAATCATGCCATGCGGGATGAGCCGTCACGGTCTCTCGATGATGGGACACTCGTGGAGCAGATCCACACAGTCGAAGAAAGAATCAATGAGGCTTATACTTCTGCCAAAGTTCCTTTGCCACCGAAATACTTTCGCCCTGGCTCCGGATTCTTCAGCTCGAAAATGCGGAACATACTGAAGAATCTTGATTATCGTCTGGTGCTCGGATCCATCTATCCACACGATCCACAAATTCCGTATTCACACGTGAACGCGAAACACATTCTAAGCATGTTACGACCAGGCGCTATCATAATCTGCCATGACCGGCGAAGTTGGACGGCACCTATGCTGCGTGAGATACTACCGGAAATCAAAAGACAAGGGTATAAAGTCGTCACTGTGACTACTTTGTTGCAGCGCACTGGCATTTCATGATGTTGCGTCATCCAGCTTCAACTATACGAACGAGCGTTACTGTGTTTCTCAATACGAAGAATTCCTGTGGCGATCCATTGTCCAGCTCGGTCACTACAACGCCGTGCTCCTCTCTCTCAACTCAAACAATCTCCTCCTTCGTGAACTGTCCACAGCGCTGGACCCACAGCTTCTCCGCATCTTCAACAGCCTTCTCCCCTCTCTTACTCATCGAATTCGTACAAGCCCACGCCAGCGCCGCAATCTGCCCTCGCGGAGCATTTTTCCTCCCAGTGCGCTTCACCACATCCGCAGTAACGAGCGTATAATTCGCCACATTATTCGTAATATGGATCACCTTCTCCCCAAACGCCGTGTCGCTCACTAGCGTATCCTTACCGGGATTGGAGAAGGCGTCGTACAGCTCCTGGCACAGCGCGCTGTAATGGTCGGCGCCCATCTGTGCGCAGTCGCCGGGTACGGCCGGGTTGCCGACGGCGCTGCTGTAGGCCCATGGCAGCTCGATGTGATACTGGAGAAGGTCGTCCTCGGTTGCCTCAGTGACGTCGTGTGCGATATTGAGTAGTTGGTGGGCTCTGTAGAGCGCTTTGCGCAGGTTGAGAAGGGCTTTCTCGTCCGCTTTGTTGTACCGGAGTGCGGCGCGGGCCTGGAGGGCCGAGGTTACGTAGTCGTCGATGGTGGGCATGACGGATGTAGGAGGCGTATTGGCTGGCTTGGAAAAGGATTTCGATTCTTTTCGGGAGGATTGCAAGGTCTAGGATGCAGAGCTATTGGATAGTGGACAATGATGGAGGCTCTGGAGGATGATGGAGGCCATCCGGTCGGCTTTATATACTCATCATTTGTCGAACTACAGGTCTTCGCATCAGTCGTATGGAAGCTCCATTCCACCATGGTTCGAACATGTAATCCAAATTAAAATCTCTGCCCAAGCGGTGAATAATGGTTTTTTTGATCCATATTCAGCTCCATTTGCAATTGTAAAAGCCACCATTAATAACTATGCAGGAGACTAACGACTTAGGTATCCACATACCTCACCTGAATGATGTACATCTGTACGGGATCGCTAGCGACGCGTGATGGAAATGATCTAATTCAATGTATATAGCTAGTTGCTACACCGCAAGACCTCAGCTCATTAGTCTTCCTACATGTAGCTAAGCAGGGTGTGGTTGCTACTGTAGCAAGAATCCCCGCTTACTTGGCGTCAGCCGTATACTCAAGAACGTGCTTGCAGAGACTTGATCCGTAACTTTGCCCCCTGATAGAGAAAAAGAAACATGATGACGAAGGTTCAAGGACAAAAACACAAAACATTCAGCAGTGGGTATTCGCTAGTGGTCACCCACCTAACTACTAATCCGCCCCTAACCAGCTTAAATAGGCGGGAGCGAACGGGACCGCTTGCTTTCTGGTTGGTATGGCCGAATGTGTTGGAATGGATAATTGAGAAAATTATATATCCTTTTGCTATAGGACGCCTGATGTGAGCAGTAGACTTACCCTGAAACGTTTAACTTGAGCGCTCATGTAAATACCATTGAGCCCAATTGCAAAGAGTACTAGCTTGAAGTGCAATCAAAAGTAAACCGGGTTCGTCGCTGTTCTAGGCCATACAGAATGATATTTTAAGTGTCACGGACGGTTGGGTAGATAAGTAAATACATACATAAGGTGTTGAATTGTCGTTATAGATAAGGGTGACGCAGCCAATTGGAGGCGGCACAGCGGGTGTCCCGCGCCCGCCTACTACCTTGGTAGCGTCCCGCAGCTTAAGCCAACGTCTCCGATCTCCCAGCGCCACAGAAAAGCAGGCAAATGATACAGTGATGATTCTGCTACAAAAATATAATGCCATCGAGTAATCAGTGTCCGGCACGCCAAAGACAGCGACTTCGCTATCTCTTGGGGTTGGCCAGTTTAGAATCCAGACTCCGAGCATGCTTTTTCTAGTGGGATAGTCCGCGACCTGCTTTAGCTGCCTACGAGTGAATGGCCATTTTTCGCGCCATCTCGTATATCTCACATTCAAGACGGGATGGACTCTCCACGAATTTCGACGAGAAATCGATGTTATGAGTGGTTCCATAGCCTTAACAGCCATGCGAAACGTCAAATTACGCTTTGGAATCTGCTTATCAGGGCCCAGAAAGCAACATTCAGGCTAAGCCAGAACGGGATCCTTATCAGTTGCTGCCCAGAATCATTCCACCACCATCCGTCAATACTCGAGTCCCAGCACTCGGCCGAATCAGCAATCATACCTATTAAAGACTTATATCGAGCTTCTCCCAACAGCATCGACTTTGATCCATCTTTGTGGAATCTGGAGAGACGAGGGATCAGCTGCTATATCAAACCCAGGCATTATGGTCTCCGCAGGTCCTCCACTGAGTCAGGGCACTGGCTATGGAGTCATCATTGGCCTTGGCTTCGCTTTTGCGTTTGGCATGATATTGACGACATTCGTCTTAAAGAGGTGAGAGACATCATCGCGATACGACAAGTTCGTTTTGCCTGACGGTAAATAGATACAACTATGAGGTACAGACAAGTGAGATGTTTAGCACAGCTGGACGAACTGTGAAGTCCGGCCTTGTCGCGTCCGCCGTGGTGTCTTCTTGGACGTGGGCTGCTACATTGCTCCAGTCATCTGGTGTGGCATACAATTACGGTGTGTCTGGTCCGTTCTGGTATGCCTCAGGAGCGACTGTTCAGATCATCTTATTTGCTAGTAAGCTCCTGCTGTCAAGTCTCAGGAATGTAATATCTGACATATTATAGCACTCGCAATCGAACTGAAACGTCGAGCGCCTAATGCCCATACGTTTCTCGAAGTCATCAGAGCTCGATATGGAGCTATCACACACACTGTATTCATGGTCAGATCTGTCTATTATCATATAAATAGTACAAAAACTGATTCCCGAGCAGGTATTTGGATTGATGACCAATATCTTGGTCACTGCGATGCTTCTCACAGGAGGTTCCGCAGTGGTTACATCTTTGACAGGTGTTCCAACTGCTGCTGCCTGCTTCTTGCTGCCAGTCGGTGTTGTACTTTACACCATGTTCGGTGGAATAAAGGCCACTTTTTTGACCGACTATGCTCATACTGTGGTCATTCTGATCATAATTCTGACATTCGCCTTTACGACCTACGCCACCTCTGATGTTTTGGGTTCTCCCAGCAAAGTATACGATCTTCTCCAGCAAGCAGCAGCTCGCCATCCAGTAGAGGGAAATGCCGAGGGAAGTTATCTCACCATGCGCTCTAAAGAAGGTGCCATCTTCTTTGTCATCAACATCGTCGGCAACTTCGGCACGGTCTTCTGCGACAACGGTCCGTCCATCCCAACCTCATTATTTACATCACTGACAACGCTCAGGATACTACAATAAAGCCATTGCTGCTTCCCCAGTTCACGCTCTTCCGGGATACATCATGGGTGGCCTCTCCTGGTTCGCTATCCCCTGGCTCTGCGCCACGACAATGGGACTCGCGGCTCTCGCTCTCGAAAACAACCCGGTCTTCCCGACCTACCCGGACCGCATGCCACACGCTGACGTCTCAGCCGGTCTTGTCCTGCCCAACGCAGCTGTCGCTCTCCTAGGTAAAGGTGGCGCCGCAGGTACCCTCCTCCTCATCTTTATGGCTGTCACCTCCGCCATGTCTGCCGAGCTGATTGCCGTCTCGTCAATCTTCACGTATGATTTCTACCAGACATACATTAACCCGAAAGCAACTGGTAAGCAACTGATCTACATGTCGCACTCGTGCGTTGTCGGCTTCGCTATTGTGATGGCAAGTTTCAGTACTGCGCTGTACTATATCGGTATTTCAATGGGCTATCTATATCTCCTCATGGGAGTCATTATCAGCTCCGCAGTTCTCCCCGCCTCTCTTACCCTGCTCTGGTCGCGCCAGAACTGGTACGCCGCGACGCTATCGCCGCCTCTCGGCCTCGTGTGCAGCCTGATCGCGTGGCTCGTGACAGCGAAGAAGGAGGGCGGTGTTCTCACCGTCGATACCACAGGCGCTAATAACCCGATGCTGGCCGGCAATGTCGTCGCCCTGTTGTCTCCTATGATCTTCATCCCAGTCCTGACGTATGCGCTCGGAAAGGACAGTTACGATTGGCTCAGCATGCGCGCAATCCGCAAGGGCGACGACACTGACCTTGCCGCCGCGGCAAACGTGGATCTCGAACTTGTACCCGGCGAGTCGCACCGCGACGACGACGATGCAGTTGAGCAAGCCAAGCTTAAGAAGAGCTCTCGCATCGCACGCATCATGACCGTAACAATGACACTCGCACTCCTCATACTATGGCCGATGCCGATGTACGGGTCTGGGTATGTTTTCAGCAAGAAATTCTTCACCGGCTGGGTTGTTGTTGGGATACTGTGGATCTTCTGTAGCTCGTTCGCAGTGGGCCTGTACCCATTGTGGGAGGGAAGACATACTATGGCACGTACATTCAAGGCGATTGTGAAAGATTTGAAGGGCCAAGGACCTCCCAGAAGGACTAGTTTGGTCGGACAGGCGGAGGAGAGTAGTGGGGATGTGACGCCAACGGAGACTGAGACTGAGAAGATTGTGGCAAAGGTTGGATGAGCATAAGTACAATGGGGTAGGAAATTTAATTTATGGAGGTCAGTTTTGTGTTCAAAGATAGCACTAAGAATGTTTGGATGAGACCAATTATTTATATGTTGTAGATAATCCGATGTAAGACTGACGAAGCCGAGGTTGTCACAACCACAAAGCGTCCCTGCATTACTTCCGCATATTTTATCCTCATTACAAGACATTCCACCATCTACTGTATTTACACTTATATTATCAAATTTCTGAGGTCGCAAAAGACCTTTCCACCAGAGCGACTAATGTATCCACCCAACTAAGCCCAAACAGGCAGCCATGTATTACGTAGCGCGTGAATGTCATCTCGCTAGTCCCGTCAGGATCAAATCCCAACGTCCCGCGTCTTCTTTTCGACATCATCCTGCAAGAACCGCAGGCAACCATAATTTCACAGTGTATATACAGACTCATGGCTGTCCTGGAATCACCTAACTGATCGCTATCGTTCCGGTTTGTTGCTAGCTATCAGTTGTGAGCGCTGCATCATACGGGACGTAATTGGCGTACTTCTAGACAACATTCGGAGCATTGGAGTAAAACCACATAATCAGATCTGCGAGACTCATCGTTTTCCTTGAACGATGGCGCGCAAGGATCCATCTCACGACGAAGTCACACCGCTCCTCGCCGCGATCGAAGAAGTGCCCATCACTGCATCATCAAGGGAAGGCGAGCAGGCACTCCTAGCCGCATCGAATGGACATCCGAAGAAGCACACTGGTAATGGGACGTTCTCAGCTGCTAATGGCGCTGGAAAGCCAGTCGATCAACCTGGCAGGAGCTCCGAGGGTGCTGCGAGCGACGACATCGACAAGCCATTGCCGAAGTTTCAGATCTTACTGTTATGCTACGCACGATTTGTCGAGCCACTCTCGTTTTTCTGTATCTTCCCGTATCTGCCACAGATGATCGCGAATACGGGAGAGGTGGAGCCGAGTGGGGTGGGTTTTTATAGTGGGTTGATTGTGAGGAGACTCCATTCTTTCCCTGGAAGAAGATATTCAGGAATAGGCCAGTCAGCTCTAACACTATAACAGGAGTCCCTCTTCTCGCTCACGCAGATGTGTCTCATGATAGGATGGGGCCGAGCAGCAGACTACTTCGGCCGCAAGCCGGTACTCCTGTTCTCGCTCTTTGGAATGAGCACAGGCATGGGCTTGTTCGGACTAAGCAAGACGCTGTGGCAGATGATCTTGTTCCGATGTATGGCGGGCATGTTCGGCGGTGTGATCATGTACGTACACACACCAAGCCCCCTAACACAAAAGAAAACACATGTTTTGCTAACAGATCACCAGTACCGTCCGAACGATGATCTCCGAGAACAGCACACAGAAAACACAGGCAACAGCATTTAGCTGGTTCGCATTCGCCTCCAATGTCGGAATCATGGTCGGTCCCATCGTCGGCGGCGTCTTCGCCGAGCCGGCCAAAAACCTCAGGCCCATCTTCGGAGGCGTCTGGTTCTTCGAGGAATACCCCTATGCACTGCCCACATTCATCACCAGCGCCATCGGCATCAGCGCATTCGTACTATCCGCCATAACCATAAAAGAGGTACACACACACATACATACACATCCCTCTCCCCCTCCCACCACGCATTTTTCCGCTAACCTCACACCCCAGACGCTCCCCTCGCACACCCGATCCACCACCCCAACAACCCCCAACAAACCAACCTCCATCCTCGCCCTCGCCCGCCAACCAAACATAACCCGCGTCCTATGGCTCTACACCCTAACCAGCCTAATCGCATTCGCCTACACCGCCGTCGTCCCCGTCTTCTTCTTCACCCCAACCGCAACCGGCGGCTGCGCTCTCACGCCGCCACAAATCAGCATCTTCATGACCCTGGGCGGCTTCGCCCAGTCGGCATACATGCTCCTCGTCTTCCCGCCCCTGCACGCACGCATCGGCACCATCGGCATCATGCGCTGTGTCGCCGTGGTCTGGCCGATCAGCATGGCACTGTATCCGCTGGCCAACGTGCTGCTTGCGCGCGGGACGCATGCCGCGAATGTGGCGTTCTGGGTGCTTGCGCCTGCTATCACAGTGCTGACGTCGGGTGTTAGTATGGGGTTTACGGCGGTGCAGTTGGCGCTCAATGACGTGGTGCCTGAGCCGGAGAGTTTGGGGTCGTTGAATGCGCTTGCCATGGCGCTGGTTGCGGGCATTCGCAGTTTTACGCCTGCGGTGAGTACGGTGATATTTGCGGCGGGCATCGAGAGGCATATCTTGGGCGGTTATCTCATATGGCTTGTTTTGGTCGGTTTGACGTTGGCATACTCAGCGAGTGTGAGGGTGTTGCCAAGGATTGCGTGGGGTAGAAATGGGGACAAGGCGGACGAAGCGACGGCACAGGAAGAGGAGGGCTAAGGAAGTACATTGAGACGGTTTCAGCGGTAGATAGACTAGAGTAAGAGAGGATGTAAAACATATGCCAAAACTTTGGCTTCTAAAGTCGTCCACAGCCCAAGGTATATGGGAGGTCATCATTCGCGTTCTGTCGATAGCAATGCCTTTGTTGTATCATTCCATCAACTTATTCAATCTCCGGATCTCACTCCACCTTGACAATACTCCCATTTCCAAGACACTAATCCGTCTCATCTTACCACTCGGATTCCCCAGCACCACCGGCTTCCAATCCGCATCCGTCATCCCTGCAGCAAAGCTCTGCCGCCAAGTATGAAAAGCGCTATTTGGAACCACCTGAACCTCTCTGAATCTTGTCAAGACCAACATCAATAAGACCGTAAGGATGAAGAGAATTCCTGCTGTGATTCCAGTTGATATTTGCGCACCCCAACGACGAGTCATAACTCCTCCTACGGCGGTAGCGACGGCGGCAAAGAGAAAGCCTATCGATTGTGAGACAAAGATGCCGGCAGTGACGCGTGGAAAAGACGAGTAGTTTGTGCGGCGCTGCTTGACGTCTGCGGCGAGACTCTGTAGGCGATGACGGCTGTTGATGCCTGGTTGGAGGTCGCTGGTGTCAAAGGTCTCCATGATCATGCCGTAACATTCGGCAATGGCGAGGTTGGAGAGGAAGCCTATCGCACCTGCGAAGATTACGGGAACAGTCCAGCTTATGTGGCTCCCGCCAGACGCCAATGTGTATGCGATACCTGTCAGTGGAAGGGTGGTCATGAAAATGATGCGCCGGACCATGTGCGAAGTCCATGTCACTTTGGCGGCAATAGTCATACTGTCTGTTCGCGGGCCTCGTTTACGAGCGCGAGAGAACTTCCCTGCTCTTGCTAGAGGTATGGCAAGAAGGGCGCCGATAGCTAAGCTGAATACCCCAGCCCCGACTTTATCTGCACGCCATTGGTAATCTCTAGACAACAGGGCTCCGAGAAGCTATCCAGAAATCAGTCTCTCAGACTCATCTTACGAGAATGGAGACAACTCACCACCATGACTAGAACAATTTGAGCGTACATCCATCCCAGGTAGAAGGCCATGACCAGGAATCCTGGCTGCTTGATCATCCGCAGGTTCAGAGTGAGGCCTGCTAGAGTCTCCTCGTACCAGTACTTCGGTCCTTCTGTCGAAATATGCAATTTCACTTCTCCGCGTGCCACTCGTCGATGGAGCTGATCTTTCTCGTCTACGAACTCGGCGTAAGAGTGCCGCCACCGGGACTTTCGCGTTTCAGGTGTCAATAAATTGAGCAGTAGAACGAACGCCAGCATCATGATAGTTATAGTGAAGCTCCAAGAAGGGTTAAGGTCGTGCGCAATGAGTCCTGCACCTGTCATAAATCCAATGGCTATAGATGCGGTGAAGCAGCAGCACCATATACCAAGCCACAGCCCTAGACCGCCTCCGTGTCGACGGACATCATTTGTGAAAGCTATCTCTTGATGCGGTGATTTACTTTGAAGCGATGCACCAAACAAGTCCATTAAGGTGGTGACCTGATTGATGTTTGCAAGCCCCATAGCAAGACCTGTCAATATACGAGGGAACATGACACCGAATCGATATATTGTCAGCGGCGAACGTGGCTGACTTGTTATTATTGCCTGAGGGAATTGAAGCGGCATGGCTACAGCGATTGCGATGAGAGTATATATTTTGCGCCCATGAAGAAGTGGCAATGGCCAAGCGATGAAAGTAGTAATTGCGAGACCTAGATAAAAGCTTCCAGGCACCAAAGTCAGTCGAAAACTTGGTAGTAGGCTCAGAATGTGCAGCCCTAAAGGAGTCTACTCACTACATATTACCTAATATAACAACATGCTGCTCATCAGCAAGCTGATATTGGATCCTAGGGACTTCGCCAGCCTAAAGATTGTTAGCTCAGGGTCACCCTTAAGACAATCAGTAGCTGACATAAAGGCCTATAATTAGGCCCATTAGGCCTGTATTCACACAAGCTACAGCTGCAGTAAGTCTCTTCTTCGAGCCACTCCAATTCCGAGCAAGAGGGTCCTTTGTACTCTGTCTGTAGAAGCTGGATCCGCCCGTTTTGCGGAAGCTGATATGGCGTCGATGAGGATGGCGCAAGCTCGGGATGCTCGCTTCAGTAAAGCCTGTATTCTGGTTGGACTGAGTCGTTGGTTGTATTTGCGTCGAAGAACGGATAAGGTGGCCGAATTGGTCGTGTGAAGGTTTTCGGATCGCACCAGGGGAACTGGGTGGCTTGGTTCCACTCCTGGTCAAGAATGACTTGATCGCTGACTCTGACGAACGTCTGTTATTTCCAAGAAGGTCTGCCCAGTCCACTGCTACAGGTTTGCTACACTGTCTCCGGGTCCTTGGAGTTTGAGGCGAGCCCTCTCCTTGTGGTTGACCTCGGACCAGGGGCTGGAGCTCTATGTCATTGTCACCATGGTGATCTGCCCGGAATCAATTCGTTGTTTGACAAAAATTAGTGACTACTTACTTTCATTTATCTCCGCATGAAACGACATGCTTGAGCTGCTTGAGCCGTTCGAGCCATAGCCAGTCTCCGGATCGTACATGCGATCACCACGAGTGGGTTGTCTCGTGGGTAGACCTGTTCGAGATGGCCGCCGCTCTTCGTGCCGGACTTCTTCAATCGCTTGATTGAGGAGACTTTCGACCTCCTCGGGTCGATCAGATCGGATTGCACTCTCGGCCATATCCATTGCTTCTCTAATCAAATCTCCACGATCATTTATAGCTTCATGAAAACGTCCTCCTGGGGATTTTGGTAAGTTAGCTTGGTATGGATCTGGCACCGAGGGCAACGATAGAGCATCTGGAGCATCTAGAGCATCTGGAGCTGACTTCCAAGAAGGTGGACTGCTCAGATTACTTTGATCATCTCTTGGGGGTGGTGAATTTTGTGGTTGTCTATCGCACGGTGGATGTGGTGCGATAATGACTGTGGGTGCCGGAGATAAGTCATTGCTGTATACAGAGGAAGCCCTGTGTTGATCAACGTGAGTATCACGGGGATGCTGGACCTTAGAAGGCTTGCGGCCCGCATTTGGATTTTTCTTTTGGTCTCTGGTTCCCAATGGTGTGCGTAAAGGCGGGTGCACAATCTTTTGCGGCGTGCGCTTAATAGATGCTGGATTTGTGCGTGACATGGACGCTGTGGTAGGCCTTTGGGCCGGCATCTGATGTATCAAGCGACTCCTGTCCGCGGGCTCGTATGCGACCATAACATTGCTACTCGAGTTGGTTGAGACATCAGAGACATATCGTGCGGCGGTTCGACTTGGTGGCAGTTGGTCAGGCGACGAAGTGCGACCGTCTAGCCACGTTGCCCTACTCTTCTTGGTTGGCCCATTGATCATAGAGCTGTTTCTCTGGGGCACAGGCTGATTCATAGCGCTTACTCTTTTCCTCCAGCTGGTATCCACTCCACGATCCTTCTCCACATTGTGCCGAATGTTTCGGTTGAGGTGGCTCGAGACACGTTGGCGGTGGCTCTGTGTCTCTCGTAGCGGTTCATAGTCGGCATTGGATGAATTGTATTCCGTCGACATATGTCGATCTACACGCCTATTAGGCTGAGCCAGACTTTGGAGAGGTCCAGATTGACACAGAGTCTAACTGCGCCGCGACGATGAGCTTTGAGTAGATTATGGATAGGCGGATGCAGACATAAGTAGTCTGTAATTCAGGCAAATGATTGTTATCAATTCGTTAGGGAATAGCAAGAGAGCTTGAAAGGTTCGATGTTGGTTTGTAGAGTCGGACCTGTGCAAACGTTCAGACAAGAGCGTGACTCTAATAGGAGGAGGTCGACAAAGTCGTGCAACAGGTCCAGGGTCAGGGGATATGAATGTGTGATTTAGGGAAGCTTATGAGTTCGATGGCGAAGAACATACGTAGGTGGTTGTGATGTCTAAAGCTGAGAGCTATGGACGTGACTTCCCAACTTCATTAATGTTGAGCATATCTTGAGACATAATCACCTTACGACTTTGCGTCAACGTCCACCTCTTTCTCCGGGTCCGATATCGTTATTCGTAACTTGTTATTCTTGTCTGACGATACCACACCGTCTGCGACTCTCTTCTTCTCCTCTTTGGTGGCAAACCACAGTAGCACTGTTGTCCAGACACCCAGTGCGATGCTCGTCGCTATCATGGCCCACATGCCCATTCGGAAGAAAGGAGCATACTGCGCGCCGTAAAAGACGATGCTCCACCACGCGTTCATGGCATTGCTTCCCATGTTCATACTGGCAATGACCACAGCACGGAGCATATCCTCTTCATAGCGCATTACATCATTGGCCCACGCAAAGAACGTTGCCTGGCAGGCATACACAGTTCCTGCCCAGTAGTATGCCCCAAAGATAATTGAAGTTGAATATGGATACGCCAGTATAAGAGCTGCTGTAGTAATGCCAGTAAAGAAGATAAAGTAGCCAACGATGTAGCGCTTCCCTCCAAAGTAATCAGTCAGTGTAGCAAAGAACAGAGTGCTGACAATACCGACGGCCGGTACACCGGTCGGATAATTGTTAAGCTGAGCAACGGTGTACTTGCGCGTTGGTGACGACTTCATGTACAGCGCTAGTAAGGTATTACTGCTGAATGATTCGGTCTCGCCGGCGATGATCCAGAGAACGACGAATCCGTACCAGTAATAGCTGGTGAGAACTTTCTTCAGGAAGCTCCATCGGATTGGCGATCGTTCTGGTACCTCCGGAACCCGTGATATAGCAAGTGCTCTTTCACTGGCGGAAAGGTATGGAGCATTACAAGTCGAGGGCGTGTTCGGAAAGAGCAGGAAGCCATATAAGGCGATGGGCAGCGTGATGATACCATCGATTATGAACAACCACCTCCAACCTGCAAGTCCATGGGAGCCATTGAGACTCGAGTGGATTCCTGTCTGAATGAAACCGCCGAACATGGTCCCAGCAAGACCAGAGGCGGTGAAGATACCACTGCGCTTGCCAAGCTCCTGAGCCGTATACCAGGATCCGAGGACGTAGTGCGTTCCAACGAAGGTGGAACTCTCTGCAAGTCCAATGAAGAAACGGATTGCCATCAAGTCTTGCGGTCTTCTGGCAGCGGCGCTCACCATAGTCAGGCCACCCCAGATGACCATCATGATGGGAAAGAAGATGCGCGGCTTAATATAATGGAGCGCAAGATTTGATGGTAGCTGGCCAATAATATATCTGAGGATTTATGAGTGGGATTTGGGTAGATACGACGACTTCAGGCACTTACCCGACCGTAAAGACAGTCGTGATCTGGTTCAATTGGTTGCCTTCAAAACTGAGGTCCTCCTTCATTCCAGAAACATACGCATTGCTTAAATTGGATCGATCCAGCTAACACTAATCATCAGCAAAAGTCGTTTACAGCTTGAGTGCAAACTTGCGTAGTTCATGAAGTACATCAAACAGCAGAAACTCAAGATAAACCAATCAAGCTTCTGCACCAACTTCCTCTCCTCCTTCGTTGCCTGAGAGGGCTTTAGATATTCTTTGAAGCTGCGACGCATCATGATTGCATAGAACGGGACAGATCAGAAAATCTAAGAAGAACAGGAGATCCACTGATGCATTTGAAGTATTGCAATCCGGTGGTTTCACGAGGATGCGATAGCAAGAATGCTGCTATCAGCGTTCCCGATACACAATTCCTCGGCCGAGCGCTAGATCGGCAACCAGAACAGTTTCGATTGGGCTGTTGACGCGACGTCGCAGATATCTTCAAGAGGGCTCAAGGGATCCTGGAGATAGGCTGGTGTTGGTAATGCTGAAGATGAGAGGGCCACGAGGGATAACACGCTAGATGGATCCATCGATGGTTGTTTACGAGTCATTCGACGGGCCGGCTTTCCCTTTGCGTCGGCATTTGACATGGATCGCCGCGCTACGATATCGGTACTTCGGTATTTAACATCCGGAATCTATGGGACTCGGATTATCCTCCTCTTGTGCATACGGAATCGTCAAGACACCTTGGCTATTCTGTAAGCATTATCATTATAACGAAAGCTTGGAAGACGACATTAGTAGATACGATATGGCAACTTGGGAAGCTATTGGAGCGGCCAAGCGGCAAGCAGTTTTGGCTTCTATCCCTGCTGAGTGGCATATCCCAGCGTCCAAATTACCATCCGAATCGATCCTCGATGTATCAAGCTTCGCCTCCGATTCTGGTCTGTTCACTGCACGTGAACTGGAGATCACAAGTCTCACTGCGGAATCACTTCTTCAAAAGCTACTGACGCAAGAATGGACATCAGAAGAAATAACACGAGCGATCTGCAAACGTGCTGCTGCTGCCCATCAGTTGACAAACTGCCTTTCAGAAGTTTTTTTCGAGGAAGCAATTGCACGAGCAAAGAGCTTGGATGAGACATTCAGAGAAACGGGTAAACCAATCGGTCCTCTTCATGGCCTTCCAATCTCTCTTAAGGACAACTTCAACCTAGTCGGTAAGGACAGTACTGTTGGATTTGCTACGTTTGCAAACGACCCGGCGACATACGATAGTGTTCTGGTGGAGCTACTCCGTGACGCAGGCGCCGTGTTCTACGTGAAGACAAATGTTCCTACTGCTATGATGATTGCCGAATCGGTGAATAACGTTTTTGGCCGGACTGTGAATCCGCTCAATCGCAACTGCACATCAGGTGGTTCTTCAGGGGGTGAGAGTGCTCTTATTGCTTTCGGTGGTAGCGTTCTGGGTGTTGGAACCGATATCGGTACGTGTATTACTAACAAAAGGCCCTCTCTTCTCTCTCTCCTTTGTCGAGCATGTAGATTCTCAATCTATACCTCTGACCCTCAGTTTTGATTCAAACCAAAGCACACGTCATCTCTAAACCTATACTGATTCACAAGCACAGGCGGCTCCCTTCGTATTCCTGCCGCCTGTACCGGCATATACACCCTCCGCCCCTCCTTTGGTCGCTTCCCGACACTCAAATGCCGCTCCGGTCTCACCGGCCAAGAAGCCGTTAACAGCGTCAACGGCCCCATGTCGCGGTCCCTATCCGACCTTGCACTTTTTGCCCGCACGGTCGTCTCCGCATCCCCCTGGCTGTCCGACCCCAAAATGCTGCCCATTCCCTGGCGCTCGGTCACGCTTCCCACGACACTCAAGATCGGCGTCCTCTGGCACGACGGCATCATCACACCCACACCACCCGTACAACGTGCTTTAAAGACCACAGTCGAGAAATTGCGGAAAGCTGGGCACCAGATCGTCGACTGGAATCCTGCATTACACAGCCCTTTGCTCTCCACACTAGGCAAATTCTTCATTGCCGACGGCGGCTCTACTGTGCGATCCATCCTCTCCCGCACATCTGAGCCCTGGCGGCCCGAGATGAGCGCATACGAGCTTGCGCCGACGATTAGTGTAGCCGATATGTGGGCTCTGCAGGCGGAGCGCACGACCCTCATGAAGAAATACTTGGACCAGTGGAATGAGAGCGGAATAGACTGCATCCTGGCGCCGACGACGCCATATGCGAGTGTGCGGAATGGAATGTGGAGGCATGTGGGATATACTGGCGTGTTCAATGTTGTTGATTATGCGGCGACGAGTTTCCCCACGGGTGTGACAGCGGATAAAGAGTTGGATGCGGAATATGGCCCCGAAGTGGGTGTTCTGGGGGAGGAGGATGGGAAGGTGCGGGAGACTTATGAAGCCGGCCTTGTGCATGGCTTGCCGGTGAGTTTGCAGCTTGTTGGGAGGAGGTTGGAGGAGGAGAAAGTGTTGGAGATGACAGGGGCGGTTTTGAAGGCCCTGAAGTAGGGGGTATTCTAGTCAATTTCTTGTGCCAATTGAAGATAAGTGTAAGCTCATCAGCTAGCTATATACTATTTATGTGCGTCTGGCACAGCGTCAATACCATAACCAAACCACCTCGAAGAACGATTTGACCTCCATGTCCACAATCTTCCAGTTTCTCCAAGCATCATAAGTCATGCGTACATTGTATTAAGTCGTTATCAAGATATAAGGGGTAAAACATGTTAAGGTATCATCAAAGAAGGAGTGCGCTTGACTGAAGCTAACCCAACGAACACATGAGTAAGGAAGGGGGAATACCGTATAAGCTTTGCCATTGGTGCAAACAGACTGTGGTATCAAGGCTGTATCGGAAGGCACGTCGCAAGAATTAGGGAGATCCATTGATACAGCACTGAGATCACTCAGGGGCTTGTGCTATGCTCAACCTGTGGTGCTCCTCGACAGCGGCTTCCGCCTTTTCAGCATGCTGCTCGTCCTTAATTGGCGGCGGTGGTGCCTCCTCAAGTGGCGTCGCTACAAGCTCTGCAGAGGCTCCCATCTCAGAGCTAACCTTAGGCAGACTTTTGTCGTCCCCGACGCCTGAGTCGGCCTTCTCTGATACCAGACCGATGATAGCTAGGCCCTTATCGACTGGCTTGACGTCGACTTCCGTCCCGGCGTCGGACTCGTCATCGCTTCCCATCAAGGCAGGCGGACGCTCTCTGCGCTTCATGGCTTTCGCCAGCGAGATTGTTTTGTCTTTGTACGTGCTCAACACCTGTGCCTCGGGGTCCTTGTCAATGGTGGCTTTCATCAACGCAGCCATCCACAGCCGGCCTTGTACGATATTGTCGACTGCGAAGTAATGCACCGTAGGCTTGGTAAAGTTGACACCACGAGACATACCATTACGGGGTGGAACGAGCTTGAAGATGAATGCTCCAGGATTATCATCTACAATTGCGACAGCTTTGGCAGCATCAGCTTGGGCCGAGGTAGTGATGGTTGCGTTGTTAGGCGACGACGGCGAGGCCATAGCTCTCGTGACAGTGGCATGAATACCGGTGAGTTTCTCTTCATTGGCAGGTAGAACACGGTGAGAAGAGATATCAATAAGGCCTTTCTCTTCCGTGTCAAATTCGCTGTAATAGTATGAAAGGCGGCGACCGCGTAAGACGAACAATCTTGGCTTCCAGGTCGTCATCATAGAAGAAGACTTCTTCTTCATCCAGCCGGAATAATCACATCCTTCCATCTGCTCCGTTGGGCTCTTCTGTTCGAGACCACGAGTATAAGCACTGGTGATTTTCTTATTCCGACGCTTGGCCGCAAAAGATGGTGCGCTGCTGCTTGATCCTGTGGTAGTCCTCTTAGCTTTCTCTGGATCACTCATGTCAAAGCTCTTCGTTGTGGTCGTTGGTGTCGTGGATCCAGTTCGGGTCGGTGATTGCAACGGTGAATCCTTGATAGGCGATGAAGCCACCAGAGTAGAATCAGTCGAGGGTGCATAGGAAGCCTTTTCACCCCCTGTAATAGCGTCTGAAATCGCTCGCAGCCCAACTATCCGCTTCTTCTTGAAAAATGAACTAGACGTCGCCGGAGAAGGCGAAGCGCGTCCCATTGATGAAGAATCCTTAGGTGAGTTTGCAACTGCGTCAATGCTATGGTTCCCACTGTAGTCCAGTTTCGTTACTGTGGGCGAATCTTTTGTGGTCAACGGTTTGGCAGTTTCAAGTAATGGGACCGTGTTATTGCGCTTGTTGCCGGAATTGCGGTGAGACTGTCCATAGTATGCTAAGGCTGCAGCTGACATACTTGACGCAGGTGAGTCGGCGCTTGCTACTCTGCTATGCCTATGGTCAACGTAGTCGGTGACCCTCTTCGATGATTCACTTCTGTAGCTCGTTTGCCGGGAGTGGGATGGGTTGTCGCGTTTGCGTAAAACGTTTCGCATTGACTTCCGATTGTCCAGCTCGTTTCCAGAGAAGTATCCTCGGTCTACTTCGGCAACTGACAAGTTTGAGTTTGATCGATTTTGCTCTACAGGGGCGGCTCCAGTGATGTTGGCACTCGCAGCACTTTGTGAGTGAGAGTGAAATATAGAGCTTGCTGGTCGAATGGACTCTGCAGATTTAGGCCCACCTCCCATAGTCCAGTCACGATCGAACGAGGGCTCTTTCCTATGCGAAGACCGGGCGGCACCAAGAGCCTCGATGCCTTCAGTGTCGTCAAGGAGAGGAGATGGAGCGCTTTCAATAGCAGAGTGTCTTCGATTGTGGTTTAGACTCCGGACAGAGGCTGCCGACGGTCTGTGCGCGTGTCCCGAGCCTGCAGGGGCTAAGGGGGGTGTAGACTCACGAGTGTTTACTCCCGAGGCGGAAGATTGTGTATTGTTATGCCTTGACGAGGTCGGAAGACTGGACCTTGTCGTTTGTCGAGTTGGTGTGTGTGAACCAGGTACCTGTCCCAGACTCGGGATTCGTGGCAACACCGCACCCATGGAAGCACTTCTGTTGCTTGACGTATCATCTGTCATGTACTGACTCGGACCTCGGGATACCGTGCCAGCGCTCTTCACTTCCTGCTGCAAAGCCTTGATCTTCATCCACGTTCGCAACCGCGGACCAACAGGGCCAAGATCAAACTCTTTGAGAAATATAGTGGGCTGATCCATGCCTAATAAGGCTTCACCATTGATTTCTTGTTCCCTGAACACATCACAGTGTTTTTTGGCGACACCAGCATCTTCAAGGTATTCGGCCACCCGTTGTGGATCCCATGTCAAGACCTCTGTTTCGGTGTGGAACGTAGACTCCTCTTCATCCGTCTCTTCGCCGTGGATATATGATATCCTCTGGTCTAGATGACTGCTGTATTCGCTCCCAGAGTCGTTGTTAGCAGCCCGCCTGTCATGGCCAGCCACACTTTGCCTGGGAGTATTCAAGTCTGTAATATGCTCGTCTATGACACTCAAGGTTTCGTTCATGACGGGGCTCCCGACGTCCCCACTGAGAGCCATGCCAATGCTTCTTTGCACTGCCGGTCCTACGTTAGACCTGCTATTTGAGCCATTGGGCGCCGATGTTTGAAGCGGGGCTGGAGTCGATAGAGTACTAGACGATGCTGCAGTATTTGTAGGCACATCGTTCTCCTCTTGGATATTATTGCTATCATTCATCGAGTAATCTCCAGTTCTGACGCTGTCAATTTTAGTAGCCTGTGAGGGCAGAGCTGGAGTGACGGGCTCCGAGATGGGCGTCTTAGGGGCAGGGCGCGAACTCAATGTGGGCTTCGGCGCAGGTTGCGTGTACACTATTCGACGCGGTTAGTCGACTACTTCTCTTTGATACTTGCACCGAAGAGCCACCAACCTTCTGGAAAGAGACCAGTTTTGCCATTTTGTAGGTGTTTGCCAAGATACCACCCATCTCCAAAGTCATCATCCTTTTCGATAAGCTCAACACGGTCACCGCGGCTAAGGCTCAGCTCGTCCGGGCTTCTCGCAACAAAAGCGTCTAGGTTTCGAGGGTCAGTATTTCGCTTGTATGCAACACATAAAGGGGGGGCTGTGCGTACGAATGACCTGGAGTGTCTCGCCTGGGCGAACGTGCTCGTTCTTTCGCGACATTGTAGCGATAGATCCAAGCGGAACGTGCAAGTATAAGAGCAGCTTCTCAGGCTATCTAATCCATCAATTTCATTGCGAAATTGGGTTTATTAAGGTTCGCTAGGCGAGACAGAGTCTACGTTGGTGGAGTAGGATGGACAGCTGTACGTCCCCGTAGCTTGGGCGGTTGTACACGGGAGCGAGGGCCGGAACGTTATGAGCTTGCGCGACTATGTGTCGAAGATGGCGAACTAGGTAGTCCTGAGCGATTGAGCAGGTAGATAGCAATAATGAAAACTGATGTGTTCTTGGGCGGCGATGAGATATGGGTAGGTACAGGTAATGAATGAGGTGTGATGTTGGCCTTGGACCCAGTAAGATCCCCTCAGCCAAGGTCGATCCCGTCAGATCCATCGGAGCCGCTGCGCACGGGCACAACAGCAGACAGGGCAGGCGCGTCTCCCACCGAGTGCCGAGCTTTGTCATGAATGAGATCCCAGACGTTGAACACAATCACTCCATACGATCATATGTGTAAAGATATTTGACCGCCACGCATCATTAATCGTGCGTGTATGCAGTCAATATCTCACTCATCGAAGTAGTCACTCCACGGCGAGCATGAGTAGTGTCCAAGAGTAGTCGCCTCAGGCAGATATGCAGAATGACTCATCATCGCAAACACCTCCAGTCTTGTTGAGTCGGACGGACACTGAAGGTTACAATGAGCCACACATGGATGCTCAGGTCCTCACTCTCAGCGAACGAAATATTGGGTCCTACGAGTCGAAGATGTAGCGAATGTCCCACCTATTCCGACGCCATCAATTGCATTGCTTCGTCCACGCCCTACCTACCACCCACGAAACACCAACCGCTTTATAGTTTGAACATACGGTCACCATCCGACCATCAGCAGCTTCGGTATGGTATACTCGGACGGCTACTCAGAGCAATCTTTTATCGCCTATACCTGGTCATAATCCTGGCTCCCCCACGGAAGGATGGTCAAAGGATCTTCGGCACGCGATCAGACTGATATACCGTCCGCTAATTCTACCTTGAATCATTTTTTGGGAAATCTGCAGAAACCATGGATGACGGGAAGGTCTACTCCTGGAATTCAACACACGCCGCCCACTCCACGCCCAACACGCTTCATCCACCAACCTCATCCCACTTATCCTCCGCAGCGTGCGACAACGGCACGAATACCTCCAGATACTGCTACGGTGTCTCCTTTGCCGCCCTGTAGCATAATTCAAGAGCATACTTCCCATGGTCAAGAGAAACACATGCTGCCCTCACCAGCCCCAAGTGATGAGGACCAGCTGGGATTTTCAGCTGAAGATATTTCAATTCATCCCACAACATTGGCCTCGAAACGGGCAATGGCGCCACCCAGACCAAACTCGCTACACCTAGACAAATCACTCATTGGCGAGCTAATGGATTACCATCAGGTAGTATCAAAGATTTCTGAGATCATGACGGAGGAACAAGCACTGGGCGAATCTTTCAATCTGCTCGAGTGCTCGCGTTTACAATGTCTGCTATCGGCATGTCGAGAGGCAGACTACCTCTATCTCTTCCTCCATCAGACTCTATATATGTGGAGTTTGAACATAGACTTGCCAGACCAGTCTCGATATTCGAAACCTATGGAGTCCGGCCTACATCGCTTCATGACTCTGATTGGTCTCACAACTCGTCAGGAGGCTGCGACTGCAAGGAATGCTCAACTTTACGCCGGCTTTCCCTTCAAATTAATCACATTACGGCATCATAACGCGGAACTGTTCCAAACATATAAAACGGAGGCGATACTTTTACTTGAGACTCTTGGTCAGATGCTACCTCGTTTTGCTCAATCCTTCGAGGAAATGGAGACCATACCATTGGTATCAGATATAGCTAATTCGCTGAATGTTGGTTCACCTACGCTGCAAAGGATCATCTTCCTGTCGATCATACGAAGGCAATGGTTTGTACAGCCACAGACTAGTCAAATACTATACAGCGAGCTACTGGAGTTGTTTCAGGACAATCAGCAAAATAGGCGTTCGGAAGACTCTGTCAGAGAGCAAGCTCAACGCATTCTTGCCGACCATGTAAAGTTAAACCGCCCACGCCCAATTCTTACACACGCTCAAGCACAAGCTGTACCAGAAATTGAAGCACACGGTCGGACGGCTGGGGGTCAGCGCGTATCGTATGGAGCTAATCCACAGGCTCTAGATCAGACACAATTGCAGGACCAATACCAGTGCCAATTGCGTCAATACCAGGCCCAGCTGCAGGCGCAGTTTCAAAGCGGCTCTCGACACATCGGAGGTCCGACTGCTTACCAGAACTCTTCCAGATTAAATCCTGCTATTCCTCAGCGTTTAGCTCCTGTTTCAAGACAATCGCCTCAGGGTCCGATCACCCAGTACTATCATCAACCTTCCAGCTACAGTGGCCCAATGGTCCTCACAGCTGTCGAGGCCCATCCCGAGGTTGCAAACCTGAACCAGGCCCTCGTTCCTTCCACTTCAACATTGCAGACGACCCAACAACTAAATTTGAATCATGTTCGTAATGCAACCTTGGCTATTCCAAGCGCTTCTCAAAAGTCCATTGGTATCATCCCACCTCCTGATGCACGCGTTCCTTACCCGCGCAGTCCAGACGCTGATGGCATGGCCTATCATGAAATGCATCTGCGTAGCCCGATAATAAAACCAAAAAAGTCTACATGGGATCATATAGAACCGATGTTTCGACAAGTCACTGGTTTCATAATGTCACCCGTTCATATCACAAGCTCTAGTATTCAACGCTTCTCATTTTCAATTCCAGACGATCTCATGTTGCCGGAAGATGAAGACACCAGCGAGATGTTACCGCGTGTTCGGGTAGTCATGAAGAATACCAAATTTCTCAGGCTCAGATGTGTCAAATGGCTAAAAGAAGACTCACCGTCCACGTCCTCATCCGAATGGTTGAGTACTGCCACACAATGGCCAGGGCTCGGGACTTGGAAATTGAACGGTCGCTACCTCGAACCCCGTAGGAAGTTTCAGAATGGTAGAGATCTTCCCATCGATATTACATCTCTCGTGTGCAAGGGAGTCAACGAACTACAATTGAGCTTAATAAGGACTGCCTGCACAACTCCCGACTTTGCCATAGCAATTGAGATTGTGTCTATTGTCTCGTTGCAAGACATTCATACTCACTGTAATACTGCCGGATTCATTGCACCGGAGGCATCTCTCAATGGCATAAAGCGAAAGCTCACGCATAGCAACGATGACGAGCTCGCAATAATCGATGCAACTGCAACAATCAGCTTAAGGGATCCGTGGAAGCGCGGTCAGATGTGGGACATCCCAGTCCGAGGCTGGAGTTGCTTACATACAGACTGTTTTGACCTGAATACTCTACTATCGATCCCCGGTAAACGCATATCGGAACACAACACCGGCACTGTCGATGACTGGAAATGTCCATCCTGCGGCGGTGATGTCCGACCTAGTAGTCTGGTACAGGACGGTTTTCTCCTAGAAGTCAGGAAGCAATTGGAGCAACAAGGGTTACTCCACACAGAGGCGATTGTGGTGGACGCAAGCGGTTCATGGATACCAAAGCCAGAGAAAATCGTCGATAATGAAAAGTCATGGGTGGGCAAGGATAAACCTATGACAAAGTCTCCCCTGCCAGCACTGGTTTCTGCGGTCTCAGCAGTTCCACCACCGCAGCCCGTCATAATCGATCTGCTCGACGACTGAGAGACTACTCGGTCATGCTCCTGTATCTTCTCTTAATCTGTCTTTAGGTGTTTGAAAATCACGAGCACGCAGGCTTCTGCGCAGAGCTCGAATGGAGTTGTCCTTTTTCTGGAAGCTATCGGTTTTTCGTGGGCGTTTGCGAGCGGTGTTGGGTGGTTTTCTACGTCAGCAACACATGGTACGCTTTGTCGCAGGAGACTATGACGATCATGACTTTACGAAATGTTGATATGATTTCATGGCATAGTTGAGGGGCTTCGGAGACAATTATAAACTCCGGCTACGTAAACATATACAATTTTCAGTGCTCAATCGGATCCTAACTGCAAAGACACTGACTGCTAGTATGTGGCCTGGCCTCCGGGCATTAGCAACAGTCTGTAATTAGCCAAGGACGTGCTTAACCAAAAGTTTCGAACCGGGTGGTACCATTGACTGAGCATCAAGTCAAACTCCGGTCATAGATCTAACATTGTCATTCACTATAAGTACTCGGTTTCATATATGCATGTGATGTTATATAAATCAACATTACGAAAGACAGTAAAATAGTCGACAGACCGCGACGGAGCGTGACGCGACATAACGCAGTCCGATGGGCGCATACTTGGGACCGTGACGCTGCGTGACTCCCGTCCTAACTCTAACTCTAACCCTAACCCTAACTCAGATCGTCAACGATGGACGTGCCAGCAGAATTGCCGTGTTCTCGCGAGTGTGGCCAATCAGCATCGGAGCTCTGAATGACACATCATGGGCGTATATCTCATCACATCCGTACACATGGAATATCCATGTAGGCAGCTGCGTATATGAAGTTAAGGACATATGGGTCGCAAAAGATTACCTATGTAAATCTAACTTTTTTCTTTTGATAATATATTCGATGATGATTCATTTTCTTATAATTGTCGACTGCTCGTCGGCTTGGGTGTCCGAGCACTTGGCAGTACGCTTGCCCGATTTACGCTAGCTTGGAACTATCCTGAAACGTCACTTTGAACATTTGCTCTTGCGCTCCACAATGAACTTCACCAGATGGAGGTACGCAGATTTCCAAGTACTCCAACACCCAAGAAGAGTACACATAGCAGAATATGACATGGACACCACAAGGAGATCGTGTTGGTTCAACGTACCTTGATTCAGAATTGAAGGCAAGCTTGAACAGGCGTGAGCATATACAATCGGATACAATCCAAGGTCCTAGATTAGGATTGTATGATTAGTCACCCTAAAAGTACAGATTGAGATTACAATCTATGCCCAGGGATTGGGATTGTACCGTCTTGGCAATCATTTTGAGGCGTGAATTGAGCTTGTATTCTCTATCAAAATTTTGGCCCAGATTGAGATTGCACAGATTCGGATTGTATATGCCCATCTCTGAGCTTGAAGCGGTTCTAAGTACCAACCTCGCACATTCGGACATGCCCAAGCGCAAGGTCACTATGAAGACGAACCGGCATATTCACTGTTGTCACAACCGCTGCTTAGTGGGCAATCGTGTACAGTTGAATAGTCAAGGTTGATGAGAAGTCAAGCTTGGCTCGCTCACAGATTGTATGAAGATTTCCATCTCTGCCTTTACAGGTCCTTCAAGATGGGCTTGTATTGCCACTTAGGACAGTAAGTTACATCATGCTGCGTCCCAGCGAACGATCAATCGATTGTCTCCGGTAGATATCTACTGTCGTACCAGAAATCGCTTCCCCAGACTTTCTGTGCATGCAACAAGCTTACAAACTTGCCGTCCGGTTTTATGGTCTCGAAGCCTACTAGAGGGATTTTCTCGACGACTCTCCACGCCAAAGGCTCTGTAGCGCTGGTTTGTGTCCTCGTAGATAGTACCCTCAAATGATCGCTCGCAACAAATGGCTTTACTCGCAAGTCTCTTGTCGGACCTGCGCAGGGGGGGCTCGCGGTGGTATTTTGGTTTACAGGCCATTGCCCTGTGGCATGGTCGACGCGTTCGAGAACCCAAGCTCGACGGACATGGATGCCGTAGGACGAATGCGCCAAGCCAGTGGGAATGGCAAGACAATGCTCTCGAGTGGATGTGACGGTTTTTGTGAGAGCTCGGTGACCATACCGATCGACCTGGATAAGAGCATGGTCTTCTACGGTCATGGGGTAGAATTCTGGATGCATGAGGACAAACAAACACTCTTTTACTGGCTCAAGGAACGCCTCAAGATATCTATGGGTCGTCTGCTCCGCATAACCCTGGAGAGCCAGTAATTCACGAGCAAGTCCCGACGTCGAGTCATCTACCGCAGAGAAAAGCTCGACGAGGTGTTCTTGGGAGTTTGCTGTTTCTTTGAGAGCCCGTCCGGTCTTGATGATCCAGTCCACTCCCTGCTCTATACATATCGCTACAAGTTGTATATGATACTTAGAATGCCTGTCTTTAAGTTTTGCTGTCGCTGTCATGACATCACTCGCCTGCGATTCGAATCTCGTAGCTGTGTAGCTTGCGGTAGTGTGAAACAGAAGCATATCTAGCTCTATCCAAGACTCTGATATGCGGCTAATGCCTGCATCTGGCGATACGGCATGATGATGGAGTTCAGGGAGGATGTAGTCTCCACGTGGGTGGCGCGCCCACGAAGCAGTCTGTGTTGATAATCTCAACGCAGGTCCCGTACAGGTCAGAACTGATAATTGTTTGAAAGCCAGCGCGATAAGCCAAGATATGAAGAAGCATTCATCATCAGTACTAGCCGGGCCGTCGTAGTAGAGATTGATACCACAAATATTAAGCGTTATATTGATGCGGTCTTTCGGTATCAAGCATTGGAGACGGCCGATCCGTGCATATTGGAGGGCATATGAAACTCCAGAGTCTAGCGAAGGTAATCTTTGGAATGGAGACCATTCTATGGCGGTACTGAATTTCCAGTACGCGTCCTGCTGAGCTTCTGGATCCCACAGCGGAGATAGCTTTTGCTGAGTGAGCACTCGGTAAACAACAGGGCCGAGCCACACGAAAAACAGAAGAGGAGCCCTGACAACATTTCCGCTTTCGTCGTACATTCGGACCGTGGCTGACTTCAGGGGACTTGTGTTCCTCCAGGTTTTTGACGTCTTGATCTCATGCCCACACCAAGCGCGGGAAAACCATCTCGAAGATGCAACACGTGTGAAGACAGAGGCAAGGAGGATCATCTCTGATGGCTCTATCTCCGAGTCAACATTGCCATCCAACATTGCACCTAAAAACTTTCCCAGCACCACCTCCTCGGACGCAGTTAGCATGACATCCTCAAGCAGTATAATCATGCGTCGGGCGCTTCGATATATTATATTCATCGAGGCAATGGCATAGAGCTTTTCTTCGGTATTGTTCTGGTCAATACAAGGTTGGTCGACGAATATACCCTCATCGACTGACTCTCGCAGACCTAGAATGGTGTCGGCAATAGCTTCACAGAACGGCCAAGGCTTATGCTGTTCCGGGTTTCCTGGACTCCAAAACTCGTTGTGCCAGCTGTAGCTTACCACTAGATAGCTCGATACTTTGGCGCTTCGATCAGCGATGATTCGTGCATCCCGTTGGAACAGTAATCGGAAGGGTGCCTTGGACACCGCGTCCTCCTTCTCGTGTACACATTTGCCGATATTCGGATTGAAATCCCTTAGTCTGTCTAAGGCAAGCGCCGATTCTTGTTTCTGGACCGAAAGAGCCCTCAATGCTTCGTCAAAGAGTTGTAGCTTGTTAGCTTCGGAGAGTTGCACAACGATCGTGTCCTCGTCGACGGTCTTCCTCTCATTCATTCTTCTCCAGACTGCGATGGCCAAGACTGCTTATACAGGTGCCGGTGCTCGTTATCGGCTTGTCAGCGGCTTTGCGGACGACTGTCAAAGTCGTGGAGATGTGTGAGATCTCGAGGTGGGCAGCTCCTGGCCCCCACCTTTAATACCCCTGCACTCCGGCATGTAGGCTCTATCGGGCTGTCCACCCTTCACGCACAAAAAGGCGATCTAAAGTAAGTAAGAGATAACACGACTCTATCGACTTGTGACAGTCTGGCATACCCCAAATCTAAGATCCAAGCGGAAAAAGGAGGTAACGCAACACAAGAAAGGCTTACCTCAACGACAAAGAATCTGGATTTATTCTCCTGGTCTGGGATACGATTAGTTGATAGGTTTGTGCGGAGATCAATACGCCATTAGAGACGATACAAGTTATGAAGAAGCTCCTGCCTATACCAGGGCGAGATCTGAGTGATCTTGATAGTATTGATGAACAACAAGTCGATGGCAAATGCGCATGCTTTAGTATTGCATAGCGAAAGATAATAGCGATTGGAAAACGAGCAAAGGAGGACATTGATAGATGTTGAGAAGGAGTGAAAGGCTCTACTATCTGCTAGGATAAGGGCAATAAGCACGGCATTCAATCAGTGTTGTTGTTTGGAATATCGTTTTGATTCATATATATTCATTCGTTATCATTGAGCCCACGACACAATGATGGAACTATGTACAACTGCATCCAACCCTTGAGCCCTCAATCAGCACTCTAAGAGAAAGCAGCAATAGCCTGAGCGAACTTGTCGTCAATCTCCTGCAGCACAATCGGGGCAACCTCCTGGAAGTCGGGGGTGAGCTTGGCAGAGGCCTTGGAGCCAAAGTCGGCAGTGTCAGTCCTCAGGGTCTGGAGAGTCATCTTGACAATGGGCGTGGCCGGGAATCCGAAGATGGCAGTCTGGAACTTGTCCTTCTTGGCGATCAGGCTGTCGAGCACTTTGTCGACCTTGGGCTGGAGGTCGAGGACCTTGCCGGCGATGGTGCTGGACTCGTCCTCGGTGAAGGGGGCGGAGTTGGCGGAGTCGTTGGCGCCCTTCTTGATGGCCTCGTCGAGCGTCATCGAGTCGAGGTAGATGGTCAGCGCGCCGAAGGCGTCGCCGTTGAAGGAGTCGACGTCCTTTTGGACCTTGGAGACATCGCTGGCGATGGTGTCGATGTCGGCGCCGACGGTGGCGGCGTCACGCTTGGTGACGGTGAGGCCGGAGACGACGCTGCTCGCAGCGAGGAATGCAAGGGCGGTGGAGAACTGCATTTTGGATGTTTTGAGGGATGTTTGGGTTTGAGATGTTGTTCGAGTATTGGTTGATCTGGAGAAGACAAAGGTGAGGAGTGATTTCTTGATGTTTATATACCTCTTTTTTTGAGCCTTTTTTGCTAGAAAGTATTCAATTCCATCGCTTACAATCCCATTCATGAAGCCGCGGTAGCAACACGCATTTCTTCAGCACGTTCTACATTGCGGTGCCTTCATGTGTGAAGTGATTATGCTATAATCACACGAGATCGACACAACGGTTCCTGATGAAGCTTGCGCCAATCCCACCACGGACGTTGATCAACACTCTAATTCACTTTAAGCTTGCGCTAACGCAGCTTGAGCGAGCGCTAACCTCCATCAGCTCATAGCTTACCCCTAAGCCCTCTCAGATCTACTTCCCCAGCTCTTGGCATTACAGCTAGCGTCTACCCCGCGACCACCCGTCTTGGCCGTCAGGCACATGTAAAGCCATGCCGTAGGCAAGCTTAGGACCCTGCGGAACGGACACCAGCCTTGAACGTCGTAGCCGTTTACACGTTGGTAATGCTGCTCATTACTCGCTGCAGATCCTCTGATTCGGATGCCGGAATCACTGATCAGAAGACGTTGTCACCGAGGCTGCGGTTGTGGCGCCATGTGAAAAGCCCCTGTGCACTTTGGAGCATTCAGCAATGCTACAGAAACGTTGAATGGCTTTTGGCGCAAATTCTATGTTCAATAGTAAGCACGCAAGATCGACTTTCTCGTTTGACCCATATTATGCAAGATCGATCGATCATAACCGGTCATCACCATCAAGAACAGCGTCGATCTCGGGGACCTTTTCGAAATCGGATCAATCGTTTTGAAACCTGGAATATGGGCCGATCAGCTGTGGGATGTGGAGAACAAAGGCTCTTCATTGCAGGATAGCACTGCAGAGTTGCAATTACCCCAGATATTTTGCCAGGTTTGGTATGCTGCAGGTCTGTGGGTCGGTAAAGAGATTCTAGCATGTGGATCACCCGTTAGACTTCCGCAGATCTTCACATGGGTCGGAACCACAGCTTCCATTGCTCAAGTGCATTGATCTACATCATAACTTCTCGTTTCACATTAAGTCTATGCGGGGACATAGGAGAGCCATTACAGAAAAATAAAACGTACAGAGTTTACAACCGAGAATCGTGGACCAATACAATCGTTACTCTGTCTCCTTAGTTCATGTCATCGTCATAATACCCCATCCAACGACGAGGATCCGGCCGTTATTATGGCGACTTCTGAGAAGTGCCAGCTGGTTTGGGACTAGTTTCTTTCAAGGACTTGGCCGGTGTATTATGTGCCGTGTTCCCATTTTGGAGTCCTGCTTCCAAATCGTTCTGAGCCTCTTCGTGGACACTGGCCGAATCCTGGCCAGGGTTGGCGACTTCATACTCGAGTACTTTGATGAATTGATAGAAAACAATGGCAAGTAATGCGCCGATGCCCGGGCCAACCCCTGCAACGCCATTAGTATCATGTCTGCATGCTTGAGTCACCAGAGCAGCTTACAGTATATCCAGTGTTCCTTGTCGAACGTGGCGGTAACAACGCACGGACCGAAGCTTCGCGCAGGGTTCAACGACCCTCCGGTGTAGTATACGCCAACAAGCTCTCCAATGAACAGTGAGAGACCAATGCCTACAGGCGCAATGAAAGTGGCCTTGTGCTTCTCTTTCGCGAGCATGAAGATTGTGAACACAAGCTCAGCAGTCAATACAGCTTCGATGAATACACCACGAACTAAAGACGTGCTCGGTGAGAGCGTAGTCCGGACGTTGAATTGTGTTGGAAACAGGACCGAGACAATGTACGAGGCAAAGATCGAGCCAGCTAACTGCGCAACAAGAAGTAAACCAGCTCGTGTGAGTGTGATGGTGCGAGTAAGCAGCATGGCTAGGGTCACCTGGGCCGAGTCAGTAAACGCACGACATCGACGAGTGTGGAACCTGTACTTACCGCAGGGTTGAAGAGACCGCCAGATACACGGAAGAACACCCAGACGTTTACAAGTAACGAGAAAGAGAAGACCAGGGAGATGTACAGCAGTACGATAGGGCTGAACCCAGTGGAATCATTCGTGGTAGTATTGCTGTCATTGCTGCCTTGCGATCCAACGTTGGCGACTTGGGTACCAGAAAAAGCGAAGAATAAGAACATGAATGTTCCAACAAACTCTCCAACGGTTGCGACAAAATCTTGCGCGATTAGCAAGGGACCATGTCAGGACGCCTCGAGGTACTCACGGTTCTTTGCGTTGCTGTTCATCCACATGGTCCAAGGTAGCCTCAAGACTTCCTTTGGCGGAGCGTTCTTTAGGTGCTCCGTGAAGTGAGCATGACTGAGAGTAGTCCCACCAGCTTCCTGTTGGTTATATTCGTTCAAGGAAGCCTGGTCGTAGGAGTCTTCCCTGTTAATCTTCTGCGAGTTTTGATGTCGCATTGGGGGCGGACCACGGATTGTCGAACCTGTAGTTCGACGTTGATAAGGGCCTGGGGCCTGTTGGCTCGGAGGCCCGCCGTAGTAAACATCTTGGTCCCAGTACTGTTCTTCCTGTTGATAAGGATCGTACGAATACCTGCCATATAGCCTAGGGGGCGGTTGAAATGAATTTTGCCGGTATGGATGAGGGCTGTTGGTCGGATACCCGTGCCACCGAGGGACCTCTGGTGGCTGTGAACGTCGCCCACTGCGTGTTGGCACTGGAGTGTTAGCTGCAGAGTCTGGCGGAGGCGGTGGCAGTGTTGTGGGAGGGGCTTCGGGAGCCTGTTGATTGAAAGGCGAATGAGTATAGACATGAGGTCCTGCTATGTGTTCGTTGTCCTCTGCGCCTAGATCAACAGAAGGAGCGTTGACTTCTGAGGGGCGGTGTTGGCCCCTCTGTGTTGGGGTATCTGTGACATTGGGAAAAGCGCTATGAGCTCCTGGTGCTGCCATTGGAGTTTGATAGCTTTGGTAAGACAGCTTTGATTCAGTCTTGTGTTGTTGCTTGGGGAACAAAGTAAGGGCCAATCAGTCTTATAGCAGAGTAGTATGCTGATCGTTATTAAGCTCATCAATGGACTACGATATGACTTATAAGGGATCAGAAATTACGGCGGCTGTTCTCATCTCTTTCGTCATTGCAGTGGCAGGTTAAGGCCAAGGCGTACTGGGACCAATCCTTACAGTTCGAGATCATCATCATACGAGCATTCAGCGAGCCGTCCATGCGTACAGCGCCGATTGGCTTACATGGTTCAACATCAACGGATGGTACGAAGAAAAGGTACGAGCTAGGATGGACCATGGCAGAGATGTGCATGGACGGAAATAAAAAAGAAAAAGAACAGTGAAAGGCTGAGCGTAGGCAGTGTTGGTGCATGGCCCCCTTACTGACACCGAAGTCCACAAATAATGACTGAGAGACGAGCATGAGAAGAATGTTACGGAAGGGTTCTGCACTGAAACTGGAACCATAGTAACGAATTTGCGGAGGGTACGGCAAATGATTTGTGAAGTTGGTCGTAATTCCCTTGCACGTGACTCTGTAGAAGGGTTCTCCCTGTTTGCCAAGGAGCGATCTCTCCACACAAAACCACGGTGGCTGGGAATCTGGGACAGATTGAATCGTTCGGTCTTTTTTCGAGTGCGGCGCAATCGAAACGGATCCACTGGCCACGTCTCTGGATAGCGAGAGTGGAGTCGCGATGTCCAGATCCATGGCTGAGACCCATCAGGGAGTCGGAGATCATTTCAGTGACGTCAAAAGAAACTGCTTGCGACCAACAACGTTTTGCTTTATGAGCGGACTACTTCCGTTCTGGGACCATCTTCCAAGCTCTTAATAAACTAGCAAGTTTCATCTTGAGAAACAGAGATTTGTTCTAGAAAAACCAATGTTCTTAGAGACGAGAAGAGTCTGCGTGTGGAGTTAGCCTGAGTCTGAGTACCATAGGGCTGCTTAGTCAGGACCCGTCTCAACTATCCACGTCAGCTTGGCTGTTGAAACCCTTAATTATCTAAACTTTGCCTGAAGATCAACCTTCAGTCATCGGAAGTATTATGGAGAACATGCTAGACGCTATCAAGGACGATGCGCCACTCGACGGAACAAATCTGACACTATTTGCAGACTACCCGCAACCTCCGCTCAACGTCCTATGAGTCTTGACATGGCAAACGGCCTGCTCAGAAGCTCTTCCTTGCGAAGCGAATGTAGATCACGTCAAAAGACGTACATTGCCATAGACCCTTTTTGATTCAAGATACCTAGGAACCCTCGTCAAGGACTTGTACGGCCATGGAAAATCTTCACCCGAGATCGGACCTGCCTGTTGTCTCCGGCATGTCACTGTGAACTGACGGGACGAATGAATTGCTCTAGCAGTCCTCCTCCCTTATCCGAATGTAGCCATCGTGGAGAATTCTTTCACGCATGTTGGCACCCCATAGAGAGAACTTTGGTAATCATCGCGTCAGCCCACTAGGACTTGACGGCCAATGACAGGAACTTTCATGCACTAGCTCACAATATGTTGCGCCTTGCGATTCACGCAGAGTTACTATCGAGGTGGCTGGCTAGAGAGCAAGAATTATATCATACGACGCGACACATCGACCTCGATATATTGAATTCGGTGGCTGTACAGTAGCTGATGCAAATTTCTCTATAACAATACCGCATACGTCGTCATGACATGTATTCGGGGAAAAGTCTGACTTCCTGTGACTGTATGGATCTTGCGGAGGAATCTCTGGCAAATATTCTTCATTAGCTCCGAGGTATATCCCGGGACTTTCGAAGTCTACTAGCGCTATCGGGTGCTGCATCGGTGGTCGTATACATGGATTTGACCACTTGGTACACTACGTTTCGTATCATTTTCAGATACTCCACGAGTCCCACCGCTGGTCACAAGATGGTGTTGTAACTCTCACAGCTGTGGGCTCATGTCAACCGAAAGTATTCTTCCCACCGCACTCATCGTTATAGTATGCTTCTTTTGTTTCAGCGAAAGAAAGATCGAGGGTTTAGTCGTATTTGTTTGCTGATGTTGTCAGCGTCTTACGCTCCAAGGTGGGACTACAAAGCAGAGACCATCCTGAACGATACGCAAAGCTCAGAGACATGTATGCATTAAATCTCTACGGGTATCATGCAAAATTCAGATCTGCTTCGGCCTATCAACATCCTCTTGCAGTGCCGGGTCCTTTCCAATCCCAATTAAGCAACGGAGAGCCCAGTGCGTCCAGCCTTCTCGTTCTTTAGTAAGTTCCTCCAACTCCATCACACGACTCTCAACGTCGCGAACCTGCCGTTCAAACTCTCCAACGCTGTCCTCGACATCTTCGATCTTGCTCTTCAGCTGGTCGATCTCGTATCCAAGCTGCTCACCAAGCTGCTCGACGTCTGCCGTCGTATCTTTTAGCCGCATTCTCTCACGTGTGAGCACATCTTGCGTGTCCTGCCGTAAGGCGTGATACTCATCCAGCTGAGGATAGTAGAGCTCCTCAAGCTCCGACTGATCGTTGTACGCCTGTTCGTCCAGCTTTCGCACGTCCAAAAGATTTCGTTCCACCCAACTGCCGACATCTTCAGCGAGAAACTTCAGTTTTGCCCTCGTTCTTCGTGCATCCGTAGCTTTGAGTACTTCCACGCTCATTGCTTCAGTGGGATTGCTAGGCTTTGGGTCATCTGTAAATTCAATCAGTGAGTTCCACGTGAGCACACTCTCTTCGGCAAGGCTGAATGACATATGTCGCGGCCACCATCCATCATGACGAATCCCATGATCAGCTATCTGGGGATGTATAAAGCTTTGCGTTCGGCGTAGTGTGATACCAACTCCATCATGAAGGCCTTGGTCTGGCTGTAGGCCTCCGTCTAATTCGATTCCCTTGTACATGGATCCAGCAATAGAGCTCTCTGCGGTGACAGTCCCGGACCCGCCGTGATCTCTGGGCGGCAGAGACGCACCAACCTCAGGTTGCTGGTCACGGTGAGGGTTTACGGCAGGTGGCATAAAGCGTGGTGCCTGGTATTCCTGTGGTGGTGGTGTCTCTGTCATGACTTTGGTGAATGTTGGCTCAACTGATTCTTCGACCCGAGCTTCGGGGGTCTCAAAAGGCTCTTGATCATCCATGGCATGGCGCATGTTATGCTCATCCCTGGACGCTTTTGTTTGATGTTTTCGGCCGCCCACAACGTCTTTGATCCTGTCGAATCCGCTTCTTCCATCTATGTTTCGACCAGTCGCACGTCTCAATACCGCTCGTCGAGTCGATTCCTTTTCGTCTTCTGCTCCTGTATTTGCTCTCGACAACGGTCTAGACGCCTCTGTCGAATGCCTCTGATCTTGACCATCTTCTTTGGCACTGTCTCTCTGTCTGTTCGACCACTTGTATTCGCCTTGATCATCTTTCTGGAATGCCATGCCTTCGTCTCCAGGAAGGCGACTAAACATATCTGCTCCAGGTGACTTTCTTGGCTTTCCGTGCCATAGCCATTTCGGTCGTTCTCCGTACACCAGGTCCACAAATGTATCAATGTCGACTGTCTCAATCTCTGAGATACCGGGCTTGTCACGTGCGCCAACCATTTCCATGACCATCTCGCCGCCTTTACCACTCAATTCTGCGACTGTCGATTTGACGGCACGTGGCATTGCCCATCCCTCGCCGTTTGCTGCTTTTGCTGTAGCCCGCTGGAGACGCTCCAGAGTATTGTGATCTAGCCGCCGTGTCTTGTCTATCCGTTGTGATTTCTGGAAGTAAGCGATTCCTCGTTTTGTTGATTCTACGTCAAACACGTCTTTTGGTACAGGTGCGCCATAGGCGTGGAGCCGGTTCCTCGCACCCATAAGCATGCCCAAGAGTCCAGCCACTGTGCTTGGACCTAGCATACCATCACTGGGCTCCATGTTGTAATACTCTGTCCCCAGCTTGATCCACCAATCATTGATAGCTCTCTCGGTCATGTCGCACAGCAGTCCATCCACATAGTCCGCGCGTAATGTGCCAAAGACAAAAAGAGCCACTTGGCAGAGTTTGACTAGCTCGATGACAGAACTGTTCAATGGTACTTTCTCGCTCGTCCTGTAGAGCTGATGGAACTTTGCCTGGGTTGCAGGAGTCGGTGTAGTCAACTTGAGCCCTGCACGCCCGGAGCATCCCAGTCTTTTCAAGTTCTCGTTTACGACGAATATCTCCTTATTCATGTACAAGTCTCCATCTGGTACGTGTATCATCGACAGGGACGATGGGAAGCCGCTCAGGTTTGTGACCATCAGCGTGCCGAGGGGTGTGACTTTCTCTCGAGCATGATATTTACGCAGTGCCTTGTCGTATATCTTCAACTGGGGCGACCACGCCTCTTCATTTGAAGGCACGCCCAAGACATTCACTCTGATTTTGTGAACAGGGTCGCCGGTGAATGTCGTGATGGTGAAGCTAGGATGAGAGCGGGAACACGCCCATTGCTCTACAATGTATACTTCATAGCCCTCCAGGACGGTTCGGCGTGCGAGGACGGTGTTGGAGTGATCATCGGCGAGATAGCTATGGGAATTATTAGCTCGACTTGGATTCGTAGACCACGACGTGACTCTTCACCTGAAAGCCACTGGATCAGCGAACACATAACGCTTGTGTGCCGTTTTGTGACTGGAACCTGAAGCCGGGGTCCCAAGAGAGGTGTCTGTATTGGCAGACCGAGGGTTGTTATCTCGAGACATGGACGTGCGAATTGGCGGGACTTGACGCTCTGAGTCGATATCCATAGAGCCTGAATGGGCTGCACCCGTCATATGGGCCTCAGTCGTGCTCATTCTTGCCAGGTGGCCGTTCGGACTTCATGCAATCGACTTGTCTGGCAAAGGTCCAAGCATTGACACTGCAAGCTTGCCGGTCATGCTCGCGATCAGTGGGACGACGGTCGTGGGTGTGCCTGTCATGCAAGATCTGGAGAATCTGCAAGATGAGAATAGGAGGTAAGACAACTCCTACTGCCTGGAGTAGGTATCGCGCAGACGTCTTGGTGTCGAGGTGTCGTATGACGTCCTACCAAGGAGCTCAAAGGGTCATGAATCAGGCGGCGAGTCTCGGAGGTCCGCAACACGTTAACAACCGAAGTGTTCCCCGCCGCCAACGTCGACCAAGGCACACTCACAGGCGTACGCCTGTTCTTCCTTCCACCACATAACTCGTGTGAATCATGGCCACGGCTCGTGCTGGCTCGAAGTTGAAGTGGAAAACGCTGCATGCACGTTCGCTCTCATCAGATTCATTCGAGGCCTGATAGCTCTATATACAGATGGACGTTTCATCGATGGAGGCGCTGCTCGAGGAGCATGCGAAGCTCGAAAAGCGCGGCAACCTGGCAAAGACCATCGAGGATGTACAACGAACCATCGAGCTGCTCCAGTCTGCTCGAGATGGGCTGGTGGCGAGTTGGTGTTTTCTTGCCTGAGTGCATGGAGTGGTTGGCTAACGTTGTGATCCCAGACCCAAGTCCTTCGCCAAAGGCTCTCGAGAAGCTTCAGAAACCCACCAAGCTGCTCAATGACAAGGTGAACAGCGATCTTACGGAGATATATAAAGCTCAAAACAGCTACTCGAAAGCTCTAGACAAGGTATGAACGCTTCTTCAGGCTGGAGCAGAATGACCGCTAAAGAGCTTGTAGAAATTCACAGGCAAGTTATACATGGACCCCGACGGCGATGCTTTGGCGTCACATCCACACTTGATCAACCAGGCCATCTCGATGCATCTCCTCCGGGAAGGACAGTTCTCCGTCGCAGCAACATTCATGGAAGAGGCCGAAGCACACCCTCGAGCACCCGAACCCACCCCAGGCACCCCAGACCCATATGCAGCACAAGGAGAAGATAAGAGGAAGGTGACGGAGAACTTCAACGCAAAAGAGCTGGAGCAACAGTTCTCAGACATGTATCACATTCTGCGCGAGCTGCGCACACGACGGAACCTCACACCCGCAATCGCGTGGGCACGACAGAACCGCGAGACCCTCGAGACGCGAGGGAGCAATCTCGAGTGGGAGCTGTGCAGGCTTCAATACGTATGCCTCTACAAGAACGAAGCCTGGAACCTCCGCGAGCTGGGCCAGACGGGCGGGCCGCTTGGCGCCTTTGCCTATGCAAACCAGGAGTTCAAACACTTCCACAGACGCTACGCCCGAGAGCTGCAACAACTGCTCGGCGCGCTCGCGTTCAACGAGAACCTCTACGACTCCCCCTACATGAGCCTGTTCTTCAACGAGACGGCGTGGGAGGAGGTGGCGACGTCCTTTACGCGGGAGTTTTGCTCTCTCATCGGCCTGTCGGCAGATTCGCCGCTGTACATTGCCGTGACGGCAGGCACGATCGCGCTACCACGCCTGCTCAAGCTGCAGAACATCATGCGCGAGAAGCGGACGGAGTGGACGACGGAGGAGGAAATGCCGATTGAGATTCCCCTGCCGCCATCCTATCACTTCCACTCCATCTTCGTGTGTCCCGTCAGCAAGGAGCAGGCCACGGACGAGAATCCGCCAAAGATGATGCCGTGCGGGCATGTCATTCTGAAGACGTCGATGGATGCTATCAGCAAGGGGCAGAAGTTCAAGTGCCCGTACTGTCCGGGCGAGAGCATACCGAGGGAGGCCTTGACGTGTCGGTTCTAGTCTCGAGGACGGCTGTGCTTGGTTTGGGGGGGGGAGTGATTAGCATTCCTTCGGGATGTCAGATGGGGCAACACGATCTTTTTTGCCGGCGTTTCTGAGGTCATTATTGGGGGGCTGCGACGGCGTTTGTGGGTTGGGGCCTGCCTGCCTGCCTGCCTGCTAATCCAGGTTTATTCATTTATCTACCTGCCTTTTCTTGCACGAGGGGGAGGGGGCCGAATCAATCGGTTCAAGCAAGCTGCCTTTTGCCTTTATTTGCCTTGCTGTTGTTGTTATTTTCTACTCCAGCCTTGATCGATGAAGCAATACCCTTGACCCCCATGTTTGTACAAGGGGGGGTAGTCGGTAATTCAGAGCATACGTACAGACAGACTTGGAAATGACACAACAGAGTCACTCACTATTCTCGCATGCACCATTTTTGATCTTCGCGCGCCAGATAAAACATGGCCTGGCACTGCACCATACGATTCGATGGCAGGATATGTTGTGAGCGTACGTACGCACGGACTTTGCTCTCCAAAGCGCCGCCGAGTTGACAAGGCTGTGGATGGATGGATGGATATACATTTCGGCGGCTAAGGTCTGGTTGATTGATTGATTTAATGTCTTAGTATATTGTATCTCGCACTGCAAGTCTCACGTATATAATTACCATGCAAATGCAAATGCAACGCATCGAGGCCAGGCCAGCCTTACGGCTTACCATGCGCTCAGATCGGATCTGCGCAGATGCGCCGGTTTGCCTGCTTGCCTGCTTGTCTTCCTGGCTGTCTGTCTGTCTTGTCTGTCTGTCTGTCTGTCTGGCTGTCTCATATACACTCGCCTCGCACGCATCGATACGTCCTGCCTGCTAGCCTTGTCTGTTCGTTTGTTCGTTTCCCTGTCTGTCTGTCTGTCTGGCATCACTATCATCAGCCGCATTTTCGTGTATGGAAATGCACAGCCACATAGCACACACACTCGGTTCATTGGATGTGTGCTTATTTGCTTACTTACCCGCGAGCACTAGGCTTAGAGCAGGCGGGTAAGTCCTAGCCTGTGTCTGAGAAGTGTGTCTTGGCTATCTATATATTCTACTCTACAGTGTATATCGATATACGACCCTGCATGTTGATCGGCTTTTGGCGGGTGTGTATGTGTGTGTGTATATCCGTACCTGCATTGCTCAGTGCGTATGCATTGCTCTCTATGTATATAATTAGCACAAACGCATCCACACTTCCTAGCTAGCTATCCATAACCAAGCCAAGGCACGTCACGTCGTGTACAGCACAGCACAGCACAGCACAGCACAGCACAGCACAGCACAGCACAGCACAGCACAGCACA